GCACTAGTCCACGACACCACAAACTCATACCACAAAATATGAGACCCATGGCTAACCAGGACCATACTGGCGCCTTAGCCCCCCCAGGTCCAAAAACAAACTCCACCAGCCAAGAACACCCCCACCTCTCTAGGCCCTCCCTCCACCTCCCCCCTACCCACCCAACCTTCCCACTATCCCCCTCTGCCTGCCACACACCTTTCCGTCCTCTTCACCCCTCCCCTTCCCATCCCTACTCCCCCCCCCCACACCCGGGGATGACTCCCTAACGCATCCGACAGACCATCAAAGGAACCCCCCTACCCCCCAAAAGACGGACATCTCCTGCTCAATACCCCCACTCAAATAGAGACATGCAACAATAAATCGTCCTATGAAACAGGACAGCGATGATAATGTTCAGGAAAGACACACGACTGCAAGATGACAAGTTCACCCCCACCCACGAGACACACAAAAACCTAAATGCCCACGGGAAACAAGAGTCACAAAATTATGTTCCAGGTTACAACATAAATAATTCTAATCTATGTATATAACAATTTTCTCCGCACTGTTATTACCATGAGAAAAACACTGTGAACAATTCTGACTCGCAATGTAAACTGTGAGGAAGTGCCCTTCGCCACTTGTGCCTGGAGAGGACTGCTTGCCCGCCTCTTGCCCTGTGACTATGGCCCCTGGGATGTATTGCACTTTAAAGACATGATTTGGGCATAATGGATTTGTGTTGTGCTGCTGCTGGCCCTTTAGGAACCATCTGGGGACATACTGTGGAGTTACTGGGTGGCCACCATTTCCTGTATCAGAAGCACATGGTGAGAACAATGGATGGCGGCCATTTTAACTCACAGACACTGTTTGGACTTTTCAACACGGTGCCATCTCGCCAGTATTTGGTGCACAGAGACATCGTGCAGTGGTTTTGGACTATACAGCAGGGGACACATTATAAAGTGATTGTTTTTCATTTAGCCTGTATATGTTCTGCAGAATCTGCATTAAACTGTATTTTCCAAAGTACTGAGCGGATCTGGGTGAATTTTGGATATGTGGTTCACCCAGATCCCCCGGTTCCAAGGATTTTTATGGGTTTATTGCATGTTTTGGGGTCCCTGTGTGTTTTATGAAACTGTATTATTTCTGGCCAGCAGATAATTGAGCTTTGTGTATTGTAGAAACTCAATTATCTAGCCTGGCCCAGAGGAGGAGTTTTGTGTTGCATAAATTGTGAGTTCTGTGTGCCAGTAAATCAGTCTTGTTCCAGCATTAAGCCTTGGCTCATGTTTGGGGGAAGGGATACCTACACTCTGGGGATTGCTATAATCACTTACTCCCCAGAGGAAGCTCTTGCAATAGCTTGATATGTTCCTGTTCCTGCTCTCTGGGGAAAGAGAGGTTCACCCACTGGAAGCTGGATCCTGGCCTTGGGTCCAGGGTGGGTGGAAACAGCAGAGACCCCGGCGCAGTTGCTTCGCTGGAAGTGGGGTCTGCAGTGCTGATGGTGTCGGTTGGAGTGCTTGGAGTCCTCAGCGAGCACTAGGAGCATCGATTGGCGGAGGTACTCAGTCGGAGTGCCAGCGTTCCGTCACATTTGGTGGCAGCGGTGGGATGGCGTCCTAGTGCGAGGACCAGCAGCTCGGAGACACCGGTAACGTGTGGAGTTACGGATTTATAATTGAGGGCAACGCTAGCCTCTGCGCAGCGTCCCTACCTACAGCAACATGGAGCTAGCAAGACCCTGGACAGCAGCCAGTGAATTGCAAATCCGCCTGTCACAGTGCTATGAGGGTGCTGATTTCATGAAGGAAGTAAAGGCGCGGCTGGTCTGGTTTGGCCCAAACCCTTCAGATGAGGTGGTCCATCAAGTGATGCGCATGTTGAGTGCTGAGAACCAAGACGCACGGAACTTCGAGTACCAACTGTGGAGTTTGGGGGTATTGACACCCCGTCTCCAGCGACAGAGTGAGTTACAGGGAGAGGAGAGCAGCGACCTCCCATCCCAGCAGCAGTGCACCGTACAGAGGGAAGAGACAACCGGTCTCTCTCCCCAGCGGCGGCCTGAGTTCCAGGAGGAGGTGATGGTAGATCCCTCCCCCATACAGCAACCAGCGTCCTGGGGAGGGGAGGCAATCGGCCTCCCTCTCCAACAGCAGCCGGAGGTGGGCGACCACATAGACTTGTCCTGGGGACACAGAGAGATGGCAAGCGGAGATGGGACCGAAGTCTCTCTGCCAGCCCTACAGGGATGCTGGGCAGTCAGCCCAGGTCCCCAGCGGCAGTATAATATACAGGGAGAGGAGACAACTGGTCTCTCTCCCCAGCGGCGGCCTGAGTTCCAGGAGGAGGTGATGGTCGATCCCTCCACCTTACAGCAACCAGCGTCCTGGGGAGTGGGGGCAACCAGCCTCCCCCTCCAACAGCAGCCAGAGATACCGGGAGAGGGGGAAGACAAACCTACCCACACTGGCGCAGATGGGACCGCGGTCTCTGTGCCAGTCCTACAGGGAGGCTGGACGGGCGGTCCAGATCCCCAACCAACTCCGCAGGGATGCCAGGAGGAGGAGGTAAGTGAAACTTCCCCTCCCCAGCTACATCCCAACCGGGTCCTGGGGGCAGTGGATGAGCCTGCGATACCCACTGACCCCCTCCCAGCAGAAGAGCTGGCATCTGGGCAGAGCTCTGTTAGCCTCTGCCCCCCCCATTTCCCCTGTATCAGAGCCTGACTTACCATGGGTTACCCCAGCAGAAGAGGTGGCATCTGGGCAGAGCTCTGTTAGCCTCTGCCCCCCCATTTCCCCTGTATCAGAGCCTGACTTACCACGGGTTACCCCAGTGGAAGAGCTGGCAGCAGGGCAGAGCGCCGCTGGCCTCTGCCCCCCAAGCAACACCAGCAGTTTGCCTAGCTGCACCAGGGAGACCGAGAGTGCTGCGCTGTCCCACTACAAACTTGAACCTACAGACCAGTACCATTTATTGTGGGGGGGGTTACTCTGCGTATTTTTCTTTGTGGGTGGGCTGCCCGACTAATCTAGGTACTGACCGGCAGAAGGTCAGGTACCTGTTTAGTCTTCCCCCCAAAGGGAAGATGTGTGACGAAGTGCCCTTCGCCACTTGTGCCTGGAGAGGACTGCTTGCCCGCCTCTTGCCCTGTGACTATGGCCCCTGGGATGTATTGCACTTTAAATACATGATTTGGGCATAATGGATTTGTGTTGTGCTGCTGCTGGCCCTTTAAGAACCATCTGGGGACATATTGTGGAGTTACTGGGTGGCCACCATTTCCTGTATCAGAAGCACATGGTGAGAACAATGGATGGCGGCCATTTTAACTCACAGACACTGTTTGGACTTTTCAACACGGTGCCATCTCGCCAGTATTTGGTGCACAGAGACATCGTGCAGTGGTTTTGGACTATACAGCAGTTTTTATGAAACTGTATTATTTCTGGCCAGCAGATAATTGAGCTTTGTGTATTGTAGAAACTCAATTATCTAGCCTAGCCCAGAGGAGGAGTTTTGTGTTGCATAAATTGTGAGTTCTGTGTGCCAGTAAATTAGTCTTGTTCCAGCATTAAGCCTTGGCTCATGTTTGGGGGAAGGGATACCTACACTCTGGGGATTGCTATAATCACTTACTCCCCAGAGGAAGCTCTTGCAATAGCTTGATTTGTTCCTGTTCCTGCTCTCTGGGGAAAGAGAGGTTCACCCACTGGAAGCTGGATCCTGGCCTTGGGTCCAGGGTGGGTGGAAACAGCAGAGACCCCGGCGCAGTTGCATCGCTGGAAGTGGGGTCTGCAGTGCTGATGGTGTCGGTTGGAGTGCTTGGAGTCCTCAGCGAGCACTAGGAGCATCGATTGGCGGAGGTACTCAGTCGGAGTGCCAGCGTTCCGTCACATAAACGTTTTGTACTCCCCACCTGACCCCATTTCTTTTATGTACCCCTACCCACACCCCAAAACTGGGGGGAAAAAAACAAAACATGGAAATAAATAAAGAATTTATAAAAAAAAAAAAAAATTGGTGAGCCTCGCACTGTGTACATGTAGTATGGCAGGTTGGAGCAAAACTGGAACTGTGTATTTTCTGGAATAACAGGCTGAGGTGAAGCTGGTATCACGTATGTCATGGTATAGAAGGTTCGTGAGAGCCTGGCACTGTGTACATGTAATATGGCATGTTGTGGTGAGCCTGGTACTGTTTACTTATTGTCGTTAAGCTGGTTGTGATGAGCCTGGCACTGTGTATATGTAATATGGCAGGTTGGGGCGAGCCTGGCACTGTGTACATATTGTCGTTAAGCTTGTTGTGGTTAGCCAGGCACTGTGTACATGTAGTATGACAATTTGGTGCGAGCCTGGCACTGTGTGTACATGTGGTATGGCATGTCGGGGAAAGCCTGGCATTGTGTATGAGTTGTGGTACGGCAGGCTGAGGTGGAGCTTGCACAGCATATTGTCATTAAGCTGGTTGTTGTGAGCCTGGCACTGTGTACATGTAATATGGCAGGTTGGGGCGAGCCTGGCACTGTGTACATATCGTTGTTAAGCTGGTTGTAGCTGAGCACCCTGTACCTAAGCTGGGTACCTCCGCCCAGGATCGCTTCCTAGGGGAAAACCTCAGCGTTTCTGCCCCAGTCGCTATGGTTTGACTAGGGTCGTCCTGGAACAGGGTAGGGGACTAGCTCTATTCCTTCCCAGGGACTGGATGACACACCTCCATGAACTCCCTCCCAGCAACCGCACGGTCACCTCATACCGAAAACAGTTCCATAACATTTGTGGCTAAGTACCGCTGAGGTGACCTGGGGACTCTCAAAGTCCTGTTGCCGAAATTAGTCCCATAGCGGTCGTGGCTAAGTACCGTTAAGGACCATTCGTGGGTTTGGTTCATACGAACGGCCGCCAGGGAGCTAGCGTTCGATTCCATTTGAATGAAGGGAAAGTGCCAAACCAGGGGCACCCAGGGAAAAACTGCTAATGGCGGTTTGGCAAGGTAACTCCCGAACAGGGTTTCAGACCTAGACCATAGTCACTGGGCAGGAGGCCGGCAAACGTTTGTGGTAAGGAGCGTTTGTCACAGTGTTGAGCTTGGCACTGTGCACGTGTAGTATAGCAGGTAGGGGTGAGTCTGGCGCTGTGTACATAAGGTAGAATAGCAGGTTCAGGTAAAGCTGGTCTCATGTCATGGTTTAGTAGGTTTGGTCGAGTTTGGCACTGTGTAGATGTAATAAGGCAGGTTGGGGTGAGTCAGACACTGTGTATATGTGGATCACATGTTAGGAAGAGCCTGGCACTGTGTGCATATTGTCGTTAAGGTTGTTGTGGTGAGCCTGGCACTGTGTGCATGTAGTATGGCAAGTTGGGGTGAGCCTGGCACTGTGTACATGTAATATGCCAGGTTGTGGTGAGCTTGGAACTGTGTACATGTTGTTGTTAAGTGAGCTGTAATTAGCTTGCCACTGTGTACATGTGGAACGACAGGTTGGAAAAAGCCTGGCACTGTGTACATATCGTTCTTAAGCTGGTGTTGTAAGCTTGGCACTGTGTATATGTGATATGGCATGTTGGGGTAAGCCAGGCACTGTGTAGATGTGGTAGTATAGCAGGTTCAGGTATAGCAAGTTTGGGCGAGTCTGGCATTGTGTATTATGGCAGGTTGGGGCGAGTCTGGCATTGTGTACATGTGGTAGGCAGGCTGGGACGAGTCTGGCACTGTGTGTGTATATACACTGCTCAAAAAAATAAAGGGAACACATAAATAACACATCCTAGATCTGAATGAATTAAGTATTCTTCTGAAATACTTTGTTCTTTACATAGTTGAATGTGCTGACAACAAAATCACACAAAAATTAAAAAATGGAAATCAAATTTTTCAACCCATGGAGGTCTGGATTTGGAGTCACACTCAAAATTAAAGTGGAAAAACACACTACAGGCTGATCCAACTTTGATGTAATGTCTTTAAAACAAGTCAAAATGAGGCTCAGTAGTGTGTGTGGCCTCCACGTGCCTGTATGACCTCCCTACAACGCCTGTGCATGCTCCTAAAGAGGTGGCGGATGCTCTCATGAGGGATCTCCTCCCAGACCTGGACTAAAGCATCTGCATCTGCCAACTCCTGGACAGTCTGTGGTGCAACGTGTGACGTTGGTGGATAGACCGAGACATGATGTCCCAGATGTGCTCAATTGGATTCAGGTCTGAGGAACGGGCGGGCCAGTCCATAGCATCAATGCCTTTGTCTTGCAGGAACTGCTGACACACTCCAGCCATATGAGGTCTAGCATTGTCTTGCATTAGAAAGAACCCAGGGCCAACCCCACCAGCATATGGTCTCACAAGGGGTCTGAGGATCTCATCTCGGTACCTAATGGCAGTCAGGCTACCTCTGGCGAGCACATGGAGGGCTGTGCAGACCCCCAAAGAAATGCCACCCCACACCATTACTGACCCACTGCCAAACCGGTGATGCTGGAGGAGGTTGCAGGCAGCAGAACGTTCTCCACGGTGTCTCCAGACTCTGTCACGTCTGTCACATGTGCTCAGCGTGAACCTGCTTACATCTGTGAAGAGCACAGGGCGCCAGTGGCGAATTTGCCAATCTTGGTGTTCTCTGGCAAATGCCAAACGTCCTGCACGGTGTTGGGCTGTAAGCACAACCCCCACCTGTGGACGTCGGGCCCTCATACCACCCTCATGGACTCTGACCATTTGAGCAGACACATGCACATTTGTGGCCTGCTGCAAGTCATTTTGCAGGACTCTGGCAGTGCTCCTCCTGTTCCTCCTTGCACAAAGGCGGAGGTAGTGGTCCTGCTGCTGGGTTGTTGCCCTCCTACGGCCTCCTCCACGTCTCCTGATGTACTGGCCTGTCTCCTGGTAGCGCCTCCATGCTCTGGACACTACGCTGACAGACACAGCAAACCTTCTTGCCACAGCTCGCATTGATGTGCCATCCTGGATGAGCTGCACTACCTGAGCCACTTGTGTGGGTTGTAGACTTTGTCTCATGCTACCACTAGAGTGAAAGCACCGCCAGCATTCAAAAGTGACCAGAACATCAGCCAGGAAGCATAGGAACTGAGAAGTGGTCTGTGGTCACCACCTGCAGAACCACTCCTTTATTGGGGGTGTCTTGCTAATTGCCTATAATTTCCACCTGTTGTCTATCCCATTTGCACAACAGCATGTGAAATTGATTGTCACTCAGTGTTGCTTCCTAAGTGGACAGTTTGATTTCACAGAAGTGTGATTGACTTGGAGTTACATTGTGTTGTTTAAGTGTTCTGTGACGAGAGCAATCTCGCCACATTGCATTGGAGGAGCCTGGTTGCCCGCCTGCTCCCTTTAGACTATGGACTGGACTTTTAAAATACTTTATTTTCCCTGCAGAAAGACTTATTCATGCCTTTCTGCCAGGGCGTTTGGTAGATTTTATCTACCGAACAAAATACCGAAGGCGCAACCATCAGGAAGCTCGCCTGTGCCTTCAATTCACCTCCCTGAAGCTAGCATGTGCCGTCAATTGACCACCCAGTAGCTGCGGTTACACTTAGCGGCCACTAGGTGGCGGTGTTATGGAGCTCCCCGGACGACCAGCGGTGCTCAGCCCGGAATCAGTGCACTAAAAGCGGACACTTTTACATGCAGGCACCGCTGAGCCTCCAGCCTTTCCTGCTTCTATTCATGGCTGTTTAGCCGAACGCTGAATTGATTGGGACTTTACTTCAGTGAATGTTTTAACCCAGATAGCTATGCCATGGAGCCTATTCGTGTAATTAAAGACTTTGGCTCCATGGCAATTGAACTGTGTGTATAGGATCTGAGCGCTATTCGGTAGTTATGTGCGCTCAGATCCCAGCTATCTGGAGATATGTGACATGTCTGTATTTTATGTATTAAATGTAACACTGTATGTTTTAATGTATTTTACTGTCTTTGTGTCCCCACGTGTATAATGGAGTTTTGCCTCTGTCCTGGGAGATAATTGGATTACTTCCAAATTATCTCCAGGATAGAGGGAGGGAAATTAGGATGCATTGTGGGGATGTTTTACTTCTGTGTGTCTGAATGTGATACATGTCGGTCTGTGTTACAGTCTTCCATCTGATCCCCTAGGTGAGTGTCCACCAGGTGGGAGACCTGCATAAATACCGGGCAGGTAGCCCTCAATAAACCAGACCACTGCTTGACCCTCAACACGGAGCTCTGTCTCATCTTTGGGGGGATTTACTGTATGAGGTGAAGCTGGCATTGCATATGTCATGGTATAGCAGGTTGTGGTGAGCTTGGAACGGAGAACATGTGGTATGGTACGTTGGAGTGACATTGACACTGTGTATGTTGTGGTATAGGAAGTTGAGGTGAGCCTGGCACTGTGCACATATTGTCGTTAAGCTGGTTGTTGTGAGCTTGGCACTGTGTACATGTGGTATGGCACGTTGGAGTGACATTGACACTGTGTATGTTGTGGCATAGCAAGGTGGGGTGAGCCTGGCACTGTGTAAATATTGTTGTTAAGCTGGTTGTGGTGAGCCTGGCACTATGTACATGTAGTATGGCAGGTTGTGGTGAGCCTGGCACTTTGTACATATTGTCATTAAGCTTGTTGTGGTGAGCCTGGCACTGTGTACATGTCGTATACCAAGTTGGTGCGAGCCTGGCGCTGTGTGTACATGTGGTATGGCATGTCGGGGAAAGCCTGGCATTGTGTATGAGTTGTGGTACAGCAGGCTGAGGTGAAGCTTGCACAGCATATTGTCGTTAAGCTGGTTGTTGTGAGCCTGGCACTGTGTACATGTAATATGGCAGGTTGGGGCGAGCCTGGCACTGTGTATATATCGTTGTTAATCTGGTTGTAGCTGAGCTCCCTGTACCCCAGGATCGCTTCCTAGGGGAAAACCTCAGAGCTTCTGCCCCAGTCGCCATGGCTTGACTAGGGTCGTCCTGGAACAGGGTAGGGGACTAGCTCTATTCCTTCCCAAGGACCTCCACGAACTCCCTCCCAGCAACCGCAAGGTCACCTCATACCGAAAACAGTTCCATAACATTTGCGGCTAAGTACCGCTGAGGTGACCCGGGGACTCTCAAAGTCCTGATGCTGAAATTAGTTCCATAGCGGTCGTGGCTAAGTACCGTTAAGGATCATTCGTGGGTTTGGTTCATGCGAACGGCTGCCAGGGAGCAAGCATTCAATTCCATTTGAATGAAGGGAAAGTGTCAAACCAGGGGCACCCAGGGAAAACTGCTAATGGCGACTTGGCAGAGTAACTCCCGAACAGGGTTTCAGACCTGGACCATAGTCACTGGGCAGGAGGCCGGCAAACGTTTGTGGTAAGTAGCGTTTGTCACAGTGTTGAGCTTGGCACTGTGCACGTGTAGTATAGCAGGTAGAGGAGAGCCTGGCGCTGTGTACATAAGGTAGTATAGCAGGTTCAGGTAAAGCTGGTCTCATGTCATGGTTTAGTAGGTTTGGTCGAGCTTGGCACTGTGTAGATGTATTAAGGCAGGTTGGGGCGAGTCTGGCACTGTGTATATGTGGAACGCATGTTAGGGAGAGCCTGGCACTGGGTACATATTGTCATTAAGGTTGTTGTGGTGAGCCTGGCACTGTGTATATGTAGTATGGCAAGTTGGGGTGAGCCTGGCACTTTGTACATGTAATATGGCAGGTTGTGGTGAGCTTGGAACTGTGTACATGTTGTTGTTAAGCTAGCTGTAGTTAGCTTGCCACTGTGTACATGTGGAACGACAGGTTGGAAAAAGCCTGGCACTGTGTACATATCTGTGAAGAAAATAGACTTAGTTCTGTATTTTCCTCTATGTTCTGGCTTTTTCTGCAGTATTTGGTACATGTTGAATCTATTGGTTCGGTAGTTTAAAACTACCAAACACCGACCACCCTCCTGGCTCATTAACTTCAAAAGAACCATCTATTAAGGGCTCTCTGGGTGGCCGCTGTTCGTATAGCCGAATGCAACGTGGAACAGAAACCGGCGGCCATCTTGTTTTCACGAAAGGAGGCAGCGGGACTTGGTCGTCGAGAGTCTGGAACTAAAATCGGACACTCAAGTTCCCGAACCACCGCTGAAACTACCGAACGCCTGCTTCCTTTAGTTGCCGAACAGCCAGGAGAGCGCCATTCGGTAGTTTTGTTCATACGGACAAGGGGAGCAATCGCTCCTATGATCCAGGAGGATGCATTCGGGGATTTTTATTCGTTTTATGCCTTTTTCTGAATTGACCGACCGCACACGCTGAATTCGTGGAACTGTTTTGGCAGGAGCCGCGTGTGTGGTCGGTAACTTGTAACTTCCATACTTTTTAAGAACCCCTGAACCGATCTGGGTGAAATTTGGATATGTTGGTCCCCCAGATTGGGGCTATCAGGGGATATGGCGAGTCTGGCATTGTGTACATGTGGTATGGCAGGCTGGGACGAGTCTGGCACTGTGTGTGTGTGTGTGTGTGTGTGTGTGTATATGTATATACACACACACACACACATATATATATCGATGTTAAACTGGTTGTGGTGAGCCGGGCACTGTGTATGTTGTGGTATACCAAGTTGGGGCGAGCCTGGCACTGGGAACATATTGTTGTGAGCTTGGCACTGTGTACATGTGGTATGGTACGTTGCAGTGGCATTGACACTGTGTATGTTGTGGCAAAGCAAGGTGGGGTGAGCCTTGCACTGTGTACATGTAATATGGCAGGTTGTGGTGAGCCTGGCACTGTGTATATGTGGTATGGCATGTTAGGGTAAGCCAGGCACTCTGTAGATGTGGTAGTATAGCAGGTTCAGGTATAGCAAGTTTGGTTGAGTCTGGCACTGTGTATTATAGCAGGTTGGGGCGAGTCTGGCATTGTGTACATGTGGTATGGCAGGCTGGGACGAGACTGGCACTGTGTGTGTGTGTATATGTATATATACACACACACAAACATATATATCGATGTTAAGCTGGTTGTGGTGAGCCGGGCACTGTGTATGTTGTGGTATACCAAGTTGGGGCGAGCCTGGCACTGGGAACATATTGTTGTGAGCTTGGCACTGCGTACATGTGGTATGGTACGTTACAGTGACATTGTGTATGTTGTGGCAAAGCAAGGTGGGGTGAGCCTTGCACTGTGTACATGTAATATGGCAGGTTGGGGCGAGCCTGGCACTGTGTATGTTGTAGGCAAGTTGGGGGCGAGCCTGGCACTGTGTACATGTAATATGGCAGGTTGGGGTGAGCCTGGCACTGTGTATGTTGTAGGCAGGTTGGGGTGAGCCTGGCACTGTGTATGTTGTAGGCAAGTTGGGGCGAGCCTGGCACTGTGTACATATTGTTGTGAGCTTGGCACTGTGTACATGTGGTATGGTACGTTGCAGTGACATTGACACTGTGTATGTTGTGGCATAGCAAGGTGGGGTGAGCCTTGCACTGTGTACATGTAATATGGCAGGTTGTGGTGAGCCTGGCACTGTGCACATATTGTCGTTAAGCTGGTTGTTGTGAGTTTGGCACTGTGTACATGTGGTATGGTACGTTGGAGTGAGTTTGGCACTGTGTACATGTGGTATGGTACGTTGGAGTGACATTGACACTGTGAATGTTCTGGCATAGCAAGGTGGGGCGAGCCTGGCACTGTGTACATCTAATATAGCAGGTTGTGGTGAGCTTGGAACTGTGTACATGTGGTATGGTACGTTGGAGTGACATTGACACTGTGTATATTGTGGCATAGCAAGGTGGGGTGACCCTGGCACTATGTACATGTAATATGGCAGGTTGGGGTGAGCCTGGCACTGTGTACATCTAACATGGCAGGTTGTGGTGAGCTTGGAACTGTGTACATGTGGTATGGTACGTTGGAGTGACATTGACACTGTGAATGTTCTGGCATAGCAAGGTGGGGTGAGCCTGGCACTGTGTACATGTAACATGGCAGGTTGGGGTGAGCCTGCACTTTGTACACATTGTCGTTAAGCTGGTTGTTGTGAGTTTGGCACTGTGTACATGTGGTATGGTACATTGGAGTGAGTTTGGCACTGTGTACATGTGGTATGGTACGTTGGAGTGACATTGACACTGTGTATCTTGTGGCATAGCAAGGTGGGGTGAGCCTGGCACTGTGTACATGTAATATGGCAGGTCGGGGCGAGCCTGGCACTGTATGTTGTAGGCAAGTTGGGGGCGAGCCTGGCACTGTGTACATGTAATATGGCAAGTTGGGGTGAGCCTGGCACTGTGTACATGTAATATGGCAGGTCGGGGCGAGCCTGGCACTGTATGTTGTAGGCAAGTTGGGGGCGAGCCTGGCACTGTGTACATGTAATATGGCAAGTTGGGGTGAGCCTGGCACTGTGTACATGTGGTATGGTACGTTGGAGTGACATTGACACTGTGAATGTTCTGGCATAGCAAGGTGGGGGTGAGCCTAGCACTATGTACATGTAATATGGCAGGTTGGGGTGAACCTAGCACTGTGCACATATTGTCGTTAAGCTGGTTGTTGTGAGCTTGGCACCATGTACATGTGGTATGGTACGTTGGAGTGACATTGACACTGTGTATGTTGTGGCATAGCAAGGTGGGGTGAGCCTGGCACTGTGTACATGTAATATGGCAGATTGGGGTGAGCCTGGCACTGTGTATGTTGTAGGCAAGTTGGGGCGAGCTTGGCACTGTGTACATGTGGTATGGTACGTTGGAGTGACATTGACACTGTGTATATTGTGGCATAGCAAGGTGGGGTGAGCCTGGCACTGTGTACATTTGGTGTGAGCTTGGCACTGTGTACATGTGGTATGGTACGTTGGAGTGACATTGACACTGGATATTGTGGCATAGCAAGGTGGGGTGAGCCTGGCACTGTGTACATGTAATATGGCAGGTCGGGGTGAGCCTGGCACTGTATGTTGTAGGCAAGTTGGGGGCGAGCCTGGCACTGTGTACATGTAATATGGCAGGTCGGGGCGAGCCTGGCACTGTATGTTGTAGGCAAGTTGGGGGCGAGCCTGGCACTGTGTACATGTAATATGGCAAGTTGGGGTGAGCCTGGCACTGTGTATGTTGTAGGCAAGTTGGGGCGAGCTTGGCACTGTGTACATGTGGTATGGTACGTTGGAGTGACATTGACACTGTGAATGTTCTGGCATAGCAAGTTGGGGCGAGCCTAGCACTATGTACATGTAATATGGCAGGTTGGGGTGAACCTAGCACTGTGCTCATATTGTCGTGAGCTTGGCACCATGTACATGTGGTATGGTACGTTGGAGTGACATTGACACTGTGTATGTTGTGGCATAGCAAGGTGGGGTGAGCCTGGCACTGTGTACATGTAATATGGCAGATTGGGGTGAGCCTGGCACTGTGTATGTTGTAGGCAAGTTGGGGCAGGCCTGGCACTGTGTACATGTGGTATGGTACGTTGGAGTGACATTGACACTGTGTATATTGTGGCATAGCAAGGTGGGGTGAGCTTGGAACTGTGTACATGTGGTATGGTACGTTGGAGTGACATTGACACTGAATGTTCTGGCATAGCAAGGTGGGATGAGCCTGGCACATATTGTCGTTAAGCTGGTTGTTGTGAGCCTGGAACTGTGTACATATAATATGGCAGATTGGGGTGAACCTGGCACTGTGCGCATATTGTCGTTAAGCTGGTTGTTGTGAGCTTGGCACAGTGTACATGTGGTATGGTACGTTGGAGTGACATTGACACTGTGTATGTTGTGGCATAGCAAAGTGGGGTGAGCCTGGCACTGTATGTTGTAGGCAAGTTGGGGGCGAGCCTGGCACTGTGTACATGTAATATGGCAAGTTGGGGTGAGCCTGGCACTGTGTACATGTGGTATGGTACGTTGGAGTGACATTGACACTGTGTATATTGTGGCATAGCAAGGTGGGGCGAGCCTGGCACTGTGTACATTTGGTGTGAGCTTGGCACTGTGTACATGTGGTATGGTACGTTGGAGTGACATTGACACTGTGTATATTGTGGCATAGCAAGGTGGGGTGAGCTTGGAACTGTGTACATGTGGTATGGTACGTTGGAGTGACATTGACACTGAATGTTCTGGCATAGCAAGGTGGGATGAGCCTGGCACATATTGTCGTTAAGCTGGTTGTTGTGAGCCTGGAACTGTGTACATATAATATGGCAGATTGGGGTGAACCTGGCACTGTGCGCATATTGTCGTTAAGCTGGTTGTTGTGAGCTTGGCACAGTGTACATGTGGTATGGTACGTTGGAGTGACATTGACACTGTGTATATTGTGGCATAGCAAGGTGGGGGTGAGCCTGGCACATTGTCGTTAAGCTGGTTGTTGTGAGCCTGGCACTGTGTATATGAAATGTCAGGTTGGGGTGAGCCTGGCACTGTATGTTGTAGGCAAGTTGGGGCGAGCCTGGCACTGTGTACATATTGTGAGCTTGGCACTGTGTACATGTGGTATGGTACGTTGGAGTGACATTGACACTGAATGTTCTGGCATAGCAAGGTGGGATGAGCCTGGCACATATTGTCGTTAAGCTGGTTGTTGTGAGCCTGGAACTGTGTACATGTAATATGGCAGGTTGGGGTGAACCTGGCACTGTGCACATATTGCCATTAAGTTGGTTGTTGTTCGCTTGGCACTGTGTACATTAAATATGGCATGTTGGGGCGAGCCTGGCACTGTGCACATGTGGTATGGTACGTTGGAGTGACATTGACACTGTATGCTGTGGCATAGCAAGGTGGGGTGAGCCTGGCACTGTATGTTGTAGGCAAGTTGGGGAGAGCCTGGCACTGTGCACAGGTAGTATGGCAGGTTGGGGTGAGCCTGGCATTGTACATGTTGTAGGCAAGTTGGGGCGAGCCTGGTACTGTGCACATATTGTTAAGTTGGTTGTTGTGAGTTTGGCACTGTGTACATTAAATATGGCAGGTTGGGGTGATCCTGACACTGTGTACATGTGGTATGGTACGTTGGAGTGACATTGACAATGTATGTTGTGGCATAGCAAGGTGGGGTGAGCCTGGCACTTTGTACATAAGGTTGTGGTAAACCTGGCTCTGTGTATAAGTTGTGGTATGGCAGGCTGAGGTGAAGCTGGCACTGCATAAGTCACAATGACCTATCAAGGAAAAATGTCGTCATTACGGTTGTGGGGAGTCTGGCACTGTATGTTGTGGTTGGTATATACACGTGGTATACCAGGACCTTTCAAGGTAAAATTGCTTGGCATTATGTACATATTGTTAAACTGATGGGCCTTGCTCTGTGTACACGTAGTATGGCAGGTTGGGGCAAGACTGGCACTGTATTTTCTGGAATAACAGGCTGAGGTGAAGCTGGTATCATGGTATAGAAGATTTGGGAGAACCTGGCACGATGTATGTGGCAGGCTTAGGTGAATCTGGCACTGCATGTGTCATGGTATAGCAAGTTGGGGAGAGTATGGCATTGTGTACATGTGGTACGGCAGCTTGGGAAAAGTCTGGCACTGTGTACATGTAATGGCATGTTGTGATGAGCCTGGCCCTGTGTACATGTACACAGTGCCAGGCTCACGCCAACCTGCCATATTACATGTGATAGTATAGCAGGTGCAGGTAAAGCTGGTCTCGTGTCATGGTTTAGGAGGTTTGGTCGAACTTGGCACTGTGTTCATGTATTAATGCCAGACCCGCCCCAATCTGCCTTGTTTATATGTAGTATGGCAGGTTTGGGTGAGCCTGGCATTGTCCATTAATTGTGGTACAGCAGGCTGAGGTGAAGTAAGCACTGCATATGTCATGGTATAGCCGGTTGTGGTGAGCTTGGAACGGAGTTCATGTGTTATGGTACTTTGGAGTGACATTGACACTATGTACATGTGGTATGGCAGGTTGTGGTGAGCCAGGCAGTGTGTACATGTGGTATGGTATGTTGGGGGCAAGCTCGGCACTGTATATCTTTCTCTGCTTCACTCCACCTGGTTTGATTGCTACCTCCTGTCCTACACCCCACCTCCTATAGACTGTAAGCTCGTTTGAGCAGCGTCCTCTTCAATCTATCATTGCTGTAAGTTTTCTTGTAATTGTCCTATATCGTTAAATCCCCCTCTCATAGTATTGTAAAGTGCTACGGAATCTGTTGGTGTTATATGTGGCAATAATAAATGAAGATATACCAAGGACTCTGCGTTCACTTAGAGCAGGCTGCATTGAACCATGCACTGTATATATGCATAAAATGTGTAGAAGGATGTGGTGAGCCTGCCACCGTGTACATGTTTCAAAGATGGTGACATTAACATTGTTTAAATATAATGTGTGGTTTGTGCTGCACTCAGAAGACTGCCTAAACCTTATGTATAGCAGGTTGCTGCGTGCCTGGCACGGTGTAAATATTGTTGCATAGTGGACTGGAAGCAGGCACTATACATACAACTTGTAAATACTCCGCTAGTAGTTTGAAATGTAGACGTTTATGACATGCTATCTTAACATTCACTCCATGCACCCCCACTGGAGAAATGGTTATGGTAGAGAACCTTTTAATCCTGTATGAATTCATACTGGTGGTGTTCAGTAGAGAGTCTCAGCTAATTACCACTGCCCATTGTTGCCTAATGCTTCCTCGGCTTATAAGGACCTGTTTGTTGGTAAATGTAACCTTAAAACATCAAAACACAGTTTTAACACTGAAAAGGATGGATGGCTCCAGTTACTATAACAACGTAAATGAGATTAAGTGGTTACAATATTTTGAGTGTCCTTTCAGGATCTACATTATTATCCTTAAAGATGCTGTGCTGGTGTAGAATGTCCTGCTTAATTTGCATACAGCCCTGTAATTGCTAAATGAGCAGAACATTCCCTTGTTAAAAAGAACTCAAGTACTTTAGCTTCCTGAAATACTTTGCTTGAAAGCCAGGGGTGTAGCCGTGGTTATTTACAAAAGTGCCAATTTCTAATGAAATCAGCACTTCGTAAAATGAAAACTAGGGCAAACTTCACACATACAGCCTGTCCTGTTATTTCTGGTTGTTTAGTTCAATGCATCTAAACTCAAGAGGCAGGTAATAGCTCAGAGCACCTGCCTTGCAAACACTTTTCATTGAGCGGTGATTGGACAGCCATAGAAAGTCTGGGCTGGGTTAGAAGGTGAGGGCTTGCAAAGGCAGCAGTTAAAGGGATACTCTAGGTACCCAGACCACTTCTGCCCATTGGAGTGGTCTGGATGCCAACTCCCACTACCCTTAACCCTGCAAGTGTAATTACTGCAGTTTTCATAAATCTATCAGACAGCCCCTAGAGGGACTTCCGTGTTCTTAGAACACGAAAAGTGTTTTAAGCAATGCTGGATGTCCTTATGCTATGTGAGGACCTCCAGCGTCGACGAAATCCCCATATGATAGCATTCAATGCTTTCCGATGGGGAGGGCTAATGACGTCGGCGGGGGAGGAGCGTAGGCGGAGCCTGTCCCAGCGGAAACAGACATCGGCACTGGACTCTGGTAAGTCACTGAAGGGGTTTTAACCACTTCAGCAACTTTGGGTGGGAGGGAGATGGGCACTCAAGGTCCTGCAGTGCCGGGAAAACAGATGTTTTCCTGGCATGGGAGAATCCCTTTAAAAGAACTGCAGGTTTTGCAAGCTGTTTTTAGATATGCCTGCATTAGAAGAAAAACAAGTTGTTTCAGTGGGGTTTATCTACTACTACAGTAATATTTATATATTTTTATTTGGACAGTGGAGTTTTCCTTTAATACTTTAACAATTAGCCTTTAATGGGTTAAAAGAAAATGCACCATAATATAGCAAACTGAATAACCCTGTAAAAGTTAACTCCATTCTAGCTATTTGGTTTTCCAAATGCTAAAAAGGTAACAGATACTTAACTTTATTCCAAGCAATATCTATATTTAACCAACCCTGTTCTAAACAGCAACGCTTGTTTTATTCTCCAAATACAGTACAGCAAGGAAACTAATCATTGATACACTTAGCAAGTATATATATTTGATTTACAAATTTGTCTGGAAAGGTAGATTTTATTAAAACTCAAATGCATAAAACCAAAAAAATTACACACAAAAAAAACAGTAACCAACAGAAAAGCAGCATACCGAAAAAAACCGACACATTGCTCATATTCCATCAGGCATCTAGAACTATGCAGACAAGCACTCGGAAGGGAAATAAAAAAAAGAATTATTCTCTGAACCATTTTTTAGCCATTTTACAATAAAAAGAAAAAGCTATAAAATGTGGATGATTACTACAAGACACAGATCTGTAACATTACATTTATGTTTACAGTGCTATTTAATCATGTACTCCATCATACACAACTCCCTTGGTCGATGAGGCTTTGGCTCTAACCTTAAACTGATTTATGACTCTGATACCCAGCCACTTTATTCAATGGTTTAATTGTACATGTTATATGGTGACACTCGATAGAGAAGACAATGCTTGGGCTTACATTATACAGCACTGGCAAAGTGTGCAGAACAGATTACCAAGGAAAAAAACTATGGTGCAGTAATTCAATTAGCACATTAACCCTACAACAACATATACGCCATCATTAAGTCACTCAATTTTTTAACAAGTCAGGGGATAGTTTCAGACAATAGAAAGGGGCAAAAATAGTTTGCAGGTGGAAATAGCTTTCAGTTCTTAAAATCATTAACTTAAAGGTAATCCAAAAATATACACGGCTATGTTTTCTTGATTTGGAGGGGGGTGGGTGACAACAAGGAAGGAAGAAATGAAGCAAATTACCAGAAAGGGGGAAAAGAAAGTACTAGGCCAACTATACCTCCGCCTGTAACAAGCTGTTTGTTACCTGCGCATATCACTCTTCATTGTCATCTCTATATAGGGGCTGATGACCTTCCCCAGCAGTATACATTTGTTTTCTAAAACATCAACTTAGTTAATTGCGGCTGTCCGCAGAACTCGAGCGGGATTGACGCTTGGTAGAACGAGGAGATGGAGAAGCCTGAGCAGGTTCTGCACTGCTGCTTTTCGGAGGATATTTCTTCTCAGGCGTGCGGCTGGGAGAACGAGATCTACTTGCAGACCTGGAGGACCCGCGAGACTTCGACTTGCTTCGGGATCTAGAGTAGCTCCTCGAACGAGATCTGCTTCTTGGATGAAAAGGATTAAGTGTTGTAGCACAGACAGAAATTGACTTGTTGTAAAAGAACACAAAGCACCATAACTAGAAGAAGTGCAGAATGGTTATGATGCTTCCGCATGCAAGTAGTTTTTACAATATATTTGTGGGGAGCTGGTCACTTCCTCCCCTAAGAGACAGAAGCTTCTGCTAGAACCTTCTGATAATTTTAAACAAGAAAAGAGCAGAAATCTGTTCCCACAATCAGTATCAAAATATGTGACAAATGAAAAAATACAAAATATTGCTAAAAGTCTGGAAAACACTTTATCCTTAAAGACCAAAAACAAAAAGTAAAAAAAAAATGACAAACAAACCCTAGCTAAGGCTGCCTGACTAAATGGGAGTTCATTTCGGCAGTACAAAGGGGTAATAAGGGATAAATTATCCCTACACCAAGGACAGGCAATCTTTGGCACTCCAGATATTGTAGACTCCATCTCAGTCCACAATAGCTGGAATGCCAAAGTTTGCCGACCCCACCAAACTTGACTCAATGCAGAGAGCTTCCATCTCATAAGGAGGAGGTGACAAAATCAGCTTCCAAACAGGGGTTTATGGTTTCCACCCCACTATGGATGCTTTACAAAAAAAGCGTTAATTTTAATTATTTTCATTTAAATTGAATATTTTTTAATACCAAAACCCCTACAATAATGTAAAATAAATGACAAATGTGACAAAGGAACAGTATCATTAATCTTTCACTTGGTATGATTTTAAATGTTTTACATTGGTTTTGTTTTGGCTGAGCAGCAATGTGGGTTGGATTCAGCTATTCAAACTAACTGTAGTAGCTCTTGCAGTCTGATCCAGAATGCGGCTATCAAACCACACTGACACAGCTACTAGGATATGCATGTGGGTAATGAAGGAAGATGTCCTCACCCTATGAACACTCAGCAGGCAAGAATGAGTTGGTAGGAATAGCTGCATTCAACGCAGGATGGTTGTTTAGACAGAGGTTTACGTAAAATAAATAAGGTAGTTATGGCTTAGAGGTTCATTGAGATAAAGTCATGTGTTCGGAGTGGTCATTCATGTAACGGCAAATGCAACAAACTATTCAATCACATGTGAAGTCGGTAAAGATAGATTAAGGGACGCTCTAGGCACACAGAGCACTTCATCTCAATGAAGTGATTTGAGAGCAGTGCCCTTTTTTAGTCCTACAATATAAAAATGTTTGCAGATACAGCAGGTTTACCTTGCAGGGCTAAATACATCTAACGGCTATCTCCCTGACAGCCAAAACAGAGTCAGACTTGAATCTTTAATGATTATATAGCGCTAGCAAATTCCGTAGCGCTGTACAATGGGCTCAATGTCCTATCTAAACAATGCCTGCAGCTTCAATGCTTCTTATAAAGAACCATCAAGCTCAATGCTTTTCTTTGAGAAAGATTTATTTGGGAGGGGGAGGAGTGAAACAAACAGATGCCTCATTATAAACTCCCATTTACAAACTACACAGTTTTACATTCAAAGAGCAAGATTATAGTCCCTCTTAAAGATGGAGATCAATTCATACAGGAGACAAAAATGCAGTTTGTGCAGTGGAACCTCTTATGCACCACTAAAGAACGACTGCAATCTAACCACTACAGATCAATCTCTCTTCAACCAACTCCGTGAACACTTCGAGAATACCAATTCGATCCAACTTGAGCAGCACTGATAGGCTGAGCAGACCTTCCGTTAGTCAATCACTGAATTATACTCCCATAATAAATTAGCAATGTTCGGCAAACAAAAATAAAAATTTAATAACTAACATGCTTTTACACATACCACAAGAGTACTGACTGAAAAGGTCCTAGTAGAAGGGGACAATATAGGTCTCCGATTATCTATTGTTTCTAGGTGCATTTAACATTTCTGCATTTTGGAGTTCACCCATTTCTCAGTAAGTGACACCTAAATCTTCAAAAGGTGGACTCTCAGGGAGCGGAGCCTGGAAGCTAAGATGGCCGGACGTGTTGTCCCTTAGTTCTGACACGATCCAGCACAATAAACGCTAAAACTACTTAAACCCACGCTGGTTGCAGCAACCCAAGCACGGATGACTGACCAGTAAAAAAAAAAGAGTGGGAACAAAGCAACCCCAGAATTGTGCAGACTGGAAAACCGAGCCGTCCGGCTATGAGGCCTAGCATGCGCGGTGACCTGATGCCTGGGAGTGACAGCCAATCTCCCACATGGGGCTAGCTCCACACGACAAACCTCCTGCAATGCATGACCCACTCGGAAAGCCTAGCGTTCCAAGCCTGGAGAACAAGCTTCGAGGCCAGATTCGACATGGCGTGTCAAGCCTTTTGAGAACGCATCGGAAAACCTACTCCTAACACCACTTTGCCTGCAGATCCAGTGATCCACGCTCCTGCCCTGAAGGGTCGATACCATTCTGGGTCAGGGTCCCACAACAAGGGGAAGCCCACCAATCGCCTATGCAGCCTTAAGCACCCCCAAAACAAGAGCTAAATCAAGCGTGCAGCCCAGAGATAAGGAGAAGGCGGCTTCCGACACAAGCAGTGAGGGGCCCCTCCTTGAACACAGCAAACAGAGAGAGCCAAGCTCTGATGCCCAGCCACGAAGCCGCAATATGATACTGGGCCCAACCAAGAAACCCCCTGCAGCACACTAGTGGCATTGGATAAAGTCGGGAGGACCAGCCTCCAAGAAGTTGCTGCCAATGCAATTACGGGACTTTGTACACATGCCTATTCTCTAATCATGAGAACCCTGTTTTAGCAGTCGCTATGCTTAATCAGCATATCATAATGCCTCAAGTCTATTCCCATTGGTTAATCTTTCTATTAATTTCTCTTTTATTCGCCAGGGAGTAACGTTTACCATTACTATAATTTACTGCCCAGCTACTCTGTCCTACTGTAAGGTCTACCTGGTATCTAGTCACGCTGGCCATGCCTGCATATGCCCTCAGTTAAGCAACGTTGTCTTTAGTTTAAGTACTCTGTGAGCATGTTATATTAATCTCACCCAGCATGACCAGCTTGTGCGTAGCAAACTACCAACCTTTACTATGACTAAAAAAAGTGCCACTATCTCAATGCCACATATGTGAAAACCTGTGATAATATTGTGACTACGTATGATGTTGTGGAATCGTATGTGGTCTTTTAAATCTCACAACAAAAATAAAAAAGGTGGACTCTTGTGTGACCGCCTTCTGAACTAAAAATGCATCATTGTTGGTTCATATTAAAAGGCATAAGCCACCATAAAATGTAGCAAGGACAAGTAAGGGACTTTAGCACCTTAAAGTAATGAATTCACCATAGTCTAGTGCAGGGATAGGCAACCTTGGGCACGCCAGATGGTGTGGATTACCTCCCCCATAATGCTGGTAAAGCATCATGGGAGGTGTAGTCCAAAACATCTGGAGTGCCAAAGGTTGCCTAGTTTAGTGAGCAGGCTCTGGTTAATCTGAGTAACCATTTGTGGACTCTGCACGATTAACTGCAATTTGTCGGTTTTGTATGGGTAAATCTCCAGTCAGCTTCCTGAGCAACTTCTTGCCTTTTAAAACAAAACTGTGCAGTTTGACATAGACCTAGTTTAGTCATTTATATCTCCTCCAATAAACTGCAGTGGGTATTGCAGTGATAAAGCATTTCACTCCATACTTATCTGAACTACATTTCAAATGATGTTCAGCCATCTTTAAAGCTGGCTGTGTATCTTGGGAAACGTAGTTCCAAATCATCCTGTGTACACCAATTAGCATATTTTCTTTACCTGTGCTTTTTGCGATCTTCGACCAATTTAATTTTGCGACCACTTAGTTCAACACCATCCAGCTTGTCCATAGCACTTTTCATATCGTTATAGGATGCAAACTCCACAACCCTTGAAAAAGTAAAACCTTTTGTAAATATTTGATATTAAGGCAAATTTAAACAATTTTCCACATTACAATGTTTAATGTGAGTAAAGCAGGATTCTATTAAGGATCTTTGCCAGGGCTTTTAGAATAACCTCTCAAAGAAACCATGGAGGCTAGCAGCAGGTTGTTTTTAACATGGAAGTTAATGTTTTAGTGTAATTCTCCATTAATGTTGGTCTAGAATTTATCCATAAGTAAAATAAATGAATCACTGAGAATTTATAGAGTCTGTGCATAAGTAGAGCTTATGGCGTAGATACCTGCCTCCTCTCCAACGCTTCCAAAGTCAGAATGGTTTGTGTTCATCCACCACATTCCCCTTTAAGATGCAACTGGTACTACTCCCCATGACAGACCATCTTCATTGCTAGCACATCAGTGTCAGAACCGAGAAAACGCACTGTATAATCCTCAAACAAGAACACGATAATTCCAAGAGGATTATTACAGCAACTCCAGTTGCCCTTCCTGTGCTACAGGTCTCCCAAGATATTATGGTGGCCTAACATGTTGCATTGGTCGAAATATTGCTGGTTGCCAGATGTGATCGACAAGAAACAATTATCAAAATTCATAAACTACGTGAAGGTAGTTTTGCATCAGTAATGTAGCAGTGGAGTTTAAAGAGACACTCCACTAACCCAATACAAAAGATGCCATTTAGTAGATATATCCTCAATGAAAGAGTGCTTGCATTTCGTTAGGCCTTTTATAATTGGAGATACATCTAAAAACAGTGTGTAAAAGCAGTAAAACTCGCCTGTAGTCTTTGCAAGCCTTTTTTTTTTTTTTTATAAACAGTACAGACGGCCTGTGAAATGTGAAAAATGCAGAATTCTGTGGAGCTAGCAGAGTTGATAAGATACCCTTCTCTGACTGCCTGACAATCAGGGAGGTGTTTCTGCAATTATTTATTAAAGAGTCGATTTCAAACAGAAGTCAGCACTTTTATAAACTGCAATTAGAAGTGCTTTGTGTGTGAAGCATTCCCTTAAGCACAACACATTTAATCAGAGAAACTGGCACTAGAATGGCCCATACTACATGGTGCAGCAACTTTCAGTGTGGGACTGCCACTTTTGCAAGTGTGTTTAAAGGTCTGCCTTGTTCGAGCCACCTTGGCTAACTACAAAGTAGTGTCATGAACTGGGTAGGACTATGACAAATGAAAGTTTGGTATCAAAATGGTAGAACCTGACAAATACTGTCAATACTCACTACATTTGCCACAAAGATTAACAGATTCCAGACTGGCTCCTGGGAGCAAGTGTCAGCACATGAACGGTTCACTGAGCTTCATGCAATGTGTTTCCAATGCCAAGCAACGGCATGCCAGCCAAAAGCATTATGGCACGTTTCCGAGCACTGTACCCAATTATGGGTTCTCTGTAGTGATAAAATCACGTCCACCCGTAAGTACTCACCCTTCATTCCTGTTGCTTCTGTGTGCATCCACATAGGTCACTTCACCAGCCTTTCTCATAAAATCCTTTAGATCCTGCAACAAATAAGCCAGAGGGCACGCAGGTTAGCATTATGCATTAATTCACAGAAAAAAATAAGAAAAAGTGTACATAGAAAGTGAGTTATAAGCTAAAATGCCTAGGACAAGTCATCGTTAGTGCCATATATGTAAATATATGGAATTTTACATAGAAACTTTTTTTAACTGAACACTAAGGCTTAAGAACGTTATAAAAGTAGCATTCATAACAAGCAGCAATTACTTAATTACTTTATATTACGAACACCAACACATATACTGTAATGAAGCTGTAATTATGATTTAACTAAAAAAAGTTCCTTTCTAGTTATTTATAACTTGCAAGAGAAATACTTGATATATTTCAAACCCAAATTACTTACCCCAGTATAAAACCAGTGACTGGAGGTACCTTAAGCAAAGAGCCTCTTGTCCATTACCTAGATGACCCAGAGAGTAACTCGTTTACATGAGAAGGGTGGAAGGCGGCTGGAGAGCACCAGAACCTCATTAAATCAGTGAGGTTAACCCTGAAATCCCTGGATGCAATCACTGGAAGTGGCTAGAGAACCTGAAGCTGACCTGAGCTAGCCACTCTGGCTCAAATCTGGGCAAACCAAGATCTAGATCGGCAAAGCGGGAGGGTGATAGGAACCAAAAGGAAACTTCAGAACAGGCCCAAGCCCTAGAATTTCAGCCATTAGCAAACCAAAAATTCTTGGGCTCTCCTCCACACAAGAGAAACGAGGCTTAACCCAAAGAAAGGCTGTTAAAAGAGGTTCAAAATGCACTTGGTTAGAAATATGTTTAAGGGAAAAATAAAGGAAAAAAGTATTTTCTACAACAAAGGATGGTATAATATCAAATTTAGTACACAAAAAGAAAAGGCATATAGCAAAGAAACAATATATAAATGTGCAACCGGTAACACATTTAAAATGTCAACCTAGCAAGTTTTAAATGGATGCATTAATTATATATTTAAGCAATCCACTAAACCATCTTTATAATAAATGTAACATTTGTAGAAGCAGGAGACATTTCTCACAGGTTATTAGAATAAAAATGTGTGTTTTTCCATCTAAATTCCAGAGGGGAAAGGAGCAGACTATACCCAACTCAATAAATGGGAGTAAGACATGCTTCATCTCCATAAACTGTGCCAAGCTAAGACACTTGCTGGTCTCATCACTAGTGATACACCAGTCCTGATAATTCACTTCATCTGCACTGTCTCTGTCAAGGGATGTTCTTTAACTTATGCCAAGGGAGTTGTAGGATTTAAAGTGCACCATTCACAAAAATATATTTAAAGGGACATTAACCACACAGTGAGCCTTAAAAAAAGAATTAAAAGGCGATTTCATAATGGCAATAAGACTAGATCGCTTAAGGCTACATAGAAAGGTTTTGAATATGTAAGTGGTGATTGTTTCATTTACAAAAACACGAGTGAGTAGCTACATGATGAGTGGGGGCTTATGGAACCCTGGTCCCACTGAAAAGGCGGCCAAGATCAGATGAAAAATGTAAGCTGCTTGGTCCCTACAAAAACGGGAGATGTGAATGAAAGGATGTTTTTGTATATGCCAATGTAAGTTAAATACTATTTTTTATTGTGATACATTTTATTTTCTTAGAAGTGTTCTTTTACATACAGGAAAGCAATATCCTTTCTAAATTTACTGGCTAGTAATCAGTGGCTTACCCTGTACTTTCCTTACTAATGCATAAATAACTCCACAACTTTATGGCTGAGCACTTGTTCGGGAGGGAAAATCCCACTTCAAAGGAATATTACCTGTACGTGCCTGTTGAGAAGGCAAGCTTCCTTGACAGGCAACATGATTAGGTAACACTAGCCGAACTGTAGCACATGAATCCTGTAACTACAGCCAAGGACACAAGCTGCAAAGCTGTCTACATGCTTCAGCATGAACTTTTGCTATGATCAGTGCTAATTTTTTAGTAGATCGAGAATCTAGAGAAATCCATGCATTTACCCTCACTTGGAAGGGACACTAAGCACCAAAACCACTTCATCTCAATGAAGTGATCTCTGTTTAAGCACCATGCCGTTTTGCTCCCAAAATGTAAAAAACATTGAGGGGCTAAAAACAATTTAGGTGGTGGTCATTCTGACAGTCACCAGCTGGTGCTTCCTTATTCACTACAGAGTCAAACTGTTCTGTAAATTCGATGTCCTACTGCAATGCAAGCAACTCCGATGCTTCTCAAAGATGAGCACTGCATTCCATGCTTCTCTACAAGAAGCATTTGATTGGCAGAGCATGTTAAAACTTAAAATAAGGGTTGGCATTATAGTTTCCCTTTAAAGTAATGGTTTAATACAAGACTTCAATTTCTATTTTTAAATATATTTTCATGGTAGATGCACACAATTAATTCCCCATTATTTTACTATTAAAGAAAGTAATGAACCCCACACTACATATCTGACACAGTAGTAGCTATTTAAAGACACTAGAAAAGGGAGATATAAATATACATGTGATGAAGTTTTAAATGGTCATACAGATTTTATATAAAACATAGTGCATTCTGGGCGTGACTGCTTTCAAACCAACATAGAGGACAGGGAAAGATAGGTCAGGGGCCAGGTGTGACCAAGAACACCACTTACACAGCACTAGCAATTGGACAACTCTTTAAAGCCTCAAAACAAAACCTCATTTTAAAAAGCCACTAAAGTTACATGGATTCTCTGATTCTTGATCATCGGTATACAGTCTATCAGTACTCCATTCTAGTTCTATTTAAAGCAGAACAGTCAGACAAGTGTATGTTTCTGGTTCCTTCACCTAAGTAAACACTATTGCAGTATTTATTCAGGTGAATAATGCAATTCAGAAAAACAAACAAAATAAAATGCAACTTACCTCTGCTGCATTTCCACTTTGGGTGCTACTTCGCTGTGACATAACTGATGCCAGAGCTGGCCTCAGGCATCATGCCATATGCACACAATGTCTTTTCATCAGGAAAGCCATACACACTGTGTGAATGGCACTACAAGAGTTAACTAATTTGCCTACTTTGCAGAGCAAAGCATGGAAATTAAAATAAAATTGCAGCACAACTTATGGCCAACTTTAAGTTGGTCTAAAAGTGAAGACAAAATGGTAACTCTTTCAAAAGGGTCACTTAAACAATAACAATGGGCACCACACTACAGTTCTTTGTGACGAAAACAGACCACCCTTTTGTCTATTACCAATATGAAAATGGAACTTTCACACTAGCAACAGACATACTAGGAGGATGGGCTGGGGAGGGGGGGGGAGAGGTCAAACAGTTCAAAATAATTTGACCAAGAACCAAAGGATCTGCATGCAGCTTAGAGGCACCATAACAAGATGCCTTTAATCATTGGAAGAGGATCAATCCTAGACCCTCACTGTTGGAATAACAGAAAACTGAGTGTTACCAAAACATTGATCAGCATTTACTTAGCAGACCCATTCAGTGTGCATGTTCTACACAAGCTGCACTCTTACAATTCGAATGCCATCTTTCAAGGAATCAAAAGGCTATGAAATGTTATTTAGTGGCTTTTTAACAGTGTTTACACCAAATATGTATCCATCACCCATCCTGAAGCAAGTGTTATGATACACAGACAAAAGGGATGGTAAAACAAGTAGATCTTATATTAAAGAGCAAACTAACAATATCAGACGTGTCAATTTCCCCTCGTTTAAAGAGATATTTATTTTACTGTAGTCTCTCCTCTACAGTGGTGTTTGATCACACTGTCTGTGCTTCATCAATAAAGAACCTTGTAAATAAAATATATAAAAGATATAGGTAATCCAAGCCTCCTTGAAATTTAGGGTAAGAGGAGTTTGCAGACCTGGACAAAAACACTGAAACAAGACAAACCGCTCCATTGCGTTATTATAGAAAGATCTAGAGAGATGTGATTGCAATACCACAAGTCTTGACATTTAGTTCTTGGGTTTTATCCAGCTTTAATAGAGTATTTTGCACGATCATTTAAACCTGGGGACCGTAATTGTTAACGTCACCTGAAAACTTAGAACTAAGTTATATCACACATAGATACAAGCATCCTTATTAAATAATGTGATCAAATGTAGTCATTGTAATTCGATGCATAATTTCTGGTGGGGGGAAATGTTAGGCAAAAATGAAGAAAACTGGAACATTTGGCTATTCTGGCTAAGAAGTTAAAAAAAACCCTCCCAATTTCACTTTAGTTAATGACCAATCAAAATGTACAGCTGCTAGATCCCTGTCTAGATGAAATTAACACAGCAGTAAGAGTATAGCAAACATTCAAAGATGTAAAATAGTGTTATGTTCCTGTGTCAATAAAGAATGCATTGGACACTAGTTTTAACAGCTTCCACGGAAATTGAGCTTTCTTCCCTACACACTGTTCTGAAAGGGAAAAAGGCAAGCCATAACAAATGACAAAGGCTGTGTCCATATGCTACTGTAAAGAATACTTGGTATTATGTTGTGAAGTAGGAAGGAGACCTTTCAAGTTACAACAGTAATCCCATAAAACAATCAATCTGCAAAAGGTAAAACATTTATATATTAAACTAGAGAAATTGTCAGCAAACTGATAGCCATGGGAAAAAGAGTTGGCTGCTGCACCCAGGCATTCTGGAATTGATGGATGTATCAATACTTGGATTTACACACAAAAACGTTTTCAGCAATTCAAAATTAAAAACTTTATTGATGCTGGCTATCTGGCTGGCACAAGGCAAAGACTATTTTCATGATCTTTAAAAAGTGACACCATTTTCACTACACGACAAACACTTTAGATTTAGTTCATGTTTTAACAAATATATACATTAAATGCCATTTTGTATGCCAATACATTTACAAAGAAATTCCCTCAAAACAACCGACACACACAAACAGCCAAGGCCGTGAAGCATGAACAAGAAGAGCTGTTCGAGGAATTACAATGCGAAGCGTAAAACGAGAAGATATTGATGACTGTCAGGTCTTTGTACTGTACTGACAAGGCTCACGGACCTAGAAGATCTCTAATTTTACACGAAACACGTATATAAACCTAAAATCACTGTGTAATTTCCAGAGGACTCTAAAGAATATTTGTTTTTAAAATAAATTTGCTTTAAGAAACCCAGTAGTTACAAGCGGAGGGTATTAATAAACACGTCTCATTGTTAATATGTCTTATTCATATAAGTTCAACTTCATGTCAAACACTTAAAAATGCACATTTCTGTTTACTAGGAGGCAAAATGAATTTAGAGCAACCTGTTACTTTAGGCAGGGAGTAATTTCCAACTTCATACTGTGCTACCTATATCACCATATTAACACAGCTGTCGTGCACTCTGTTTTCTGAGATGCTTGGTCAACTATTTTGCGAATAAGCATCATTGGGAAACAGACCACAACAGTTGGCCAACCACGGTGCAAATCAGAGGGTGTTTGTTTTATTGCCTGTAAGCAGAATCCCAGGCACATCCACCACTCAATACATTACAACATGGATGAACACTGACTGCAATCTATAAAGTGGTGTTTACATCACAATGGAGTTGGCTTACAGGTTTAAATAGTTATGACATTAACGTTTGCTAGCCACTCATGTAGTACAATGACCACAAGAAAAAAGTTAAAGCGTTACTGAGAAGCTCAGTGTAACCATATAAATCTGCTTATTAAATTGGCACAATAATGCCAAGTCAGAGAGGAAATTCTACCCAGCATTCAATAAATAACCTGAAGAGAAGCTTAAAAGTGTACTAGTTTTATTTAGCAATTGGGAGTTTTAATGTCTTTAACGCAAAAAGGCAAAGATTGCACCTTAAAAATGCACTCTGATAAAATTATGTCAAACCGTCTTCACAAAGAAGATTTTGAAATTCTAATGGACCTGCAATATGATATAAATGCCTCTCCGCAGAAATTGGTTTAAATCTCAGTATGTCAGTTTTATATGTTCATGCCAATTAAAGTGTCTCAGTACTTCTAGTGGGGACCTGCCTCATTCTCAATAGGACACGGAGGCATAAAAACTCAGTAATTGTACAGCTGACCATCAAAACACAAAATGCCAGCCAGATAAATTATGTAGCACTGTCGTACGACATAAAAATACAGTGTATTGGCTAAATACTAAAACAGCAATGTATATTTTACAGTGTCTTACAATGGCTGTGCCAGCCTACCAAGCAGAAAAGGTGGAATTTTGCTTTTTAAACACCACTAAAGTAATGAAAAACAAGTAGCACACACCCTATTATGCCAAGGCTATACATAAGTGTGTAAAGCCGCTCTAGGCTGACGAATCCTTTACTCATAAAGTTATATTTGAGAACAAGCTATACAATTCTCACCTGCCAGCTGACACGTGAGGAGAGGTTTTCCACGATAATCCTATGCTCGGTTCGAACTGGAGGTCCATACCTACTAGGAGAACCAAAAGAAAAACAGCAGATTTAGAAAAAGAAAGCTGGCAGAAATGCAAGTCTGTTGGGCTTGTGAAAAGGGGTGGAGACACATAACATACACAAACTACCTTCGTAGCTTGAAAACTTAATCAAAAACCACATTACCTTGGTCCACCAGTGTTAGACTGACGATAGCCAAAGCGCATGGGATACCTCCCTCCACCACCTCCACCTCCCATCATTCCTCCTCGTCCTCTGCGATTCCTGGCATGTTCAATTGTGACCCTTAAAGAGACCAAAAGATATACCAATAGTGAGATACTACATATACACTAATCCCTGCAGCTGTAAAGAGTGTTTCAGGGAAAAGGCACTGTATACATTTTGCAGTTTCCGTGCCTATTTGTGACTGTCAGACAAAGCCACTAGGAGCATCAAACGCTAATAATATTGAATTAGAAATCCAGTTGATGTCCATTGCCAGCATGCAGATACAAAACGCTGTTTGTCCAATGCTTCTCTATAAGCATCATTAGATTGGCACATTGTGTATTGATTGCTGTGCATGTATGGTGTCTAAGGTTTAACTTCCTAATATGCAGATGTACAAATGGTATTGGTTCAAGAGAACAAGCGGCTAAGTTGTATTCTAATTATGAGACTTATCAAGTCTAACACTCAGTGAAGATCAAGAATATATACACACAGACAATTTAATAAAGGAGCACCCAATTAAAACATAATTGCATAACGAGAATAAAAAAAAAAAATACATAACTTACAGCTGCATCTGAGTGCCCAGAACAGCACCATGGGGACTCAGAAATGAAGCAAAAAGCACAACGCGTGTGGCACGTTATTCCCAAAGTGATGGATTGCAACCATCAGGAAAGGACAGCACCACCACTGGTTATAGTTTGCGCAGGCTCACACTGACCCACTGCTCACTCCACTCGAGACCAGAACTGTGCGCAAACAAAGACTGGGGCTTCATGATGAGTGCTATCCTCATACATTTTTCTTAATGTTTCTATTAGCTTCTGACTGAAGCACTACTGGGCAGAGCCAGCTCATTAGCTGAGCTCAGTGCAGGAGCTTCCAGCAGCAAAAAGATAGTGGCAGATGTCCAGCGGGTCCCAAGTTCTGAAACGGTTCTCAAACATTTTGTCTATAACTCTGGGAGGCCTCTATTGCACTTCTGGCACCATAATCACTACAGTGGGCTGTATTTAAAACCGGCCACGCATTTCTCAACTTCCAGCTGGATTTTTGGTAGCTTAGAAGATCACAAATATAAAAGACGGACAGTTTAGTAAGCAGTCACTAACCAGATTCATTTCTAGCTACATAGCTTTATGCAAAGGTTTGTTGGCAACTGGAAAAAGACAAAGCACAGTAAGAACTGTGCATAAGTCATAGCACGTAAAGCTCTATTGTACCAAACGCACACTGCCTATTTTGTAAACTCCCTGATGTAAAGCTCTATTGTGCTCATATTTAGAATTCAGAATGTATGGACATACCTTTCACTGCATAGTTCTTTGCCATTCAGTTCATAGACGGCATCATCAGCATCCCTATGATCTTCAAATTCCTATGAAAGAACAAAAAACAAAATAAAAAACATGTCGGGAGTGGGGTTACCAAACCTATCCGGGTTTGACATCATTTTTGTGATAATGGGTAGAATATGAAAAGCTGACTGGCTACATGCATTGGAACGCAACGGATCACCTCAGCAGTCCATCAATTTGCATAAGTGATAATTGTCTGGGAAACGTGGTGGATCTGACAAATTTAGTTGGAAGCAACTTTCTATAACAAATACTAAATATCTGAAATATATTCATGAAACTAAAATTAGGCAACCTCAATGCCAATCTGATATCTCTTCTTTACCACAGATCCCTGTTAAGCGCCACTGCAGCCACCTATTGCGCAGTCTGGATCCTTAATATTGAGAAATTTGTTTCAGAACACTGGTATCTTGTCTTGCTTAAATGTTTCCTTAAACAAATTTGTATAAAGTTATTCCAGAAGACCAATATAAACATATTTTGTAGCAGTTTCATTGTACTTTGAATTGCAATTCTCCATTTTGTCTTTTGCATTTCGTTATTGTATAGTAGTATGATTTACATACTACATTTACACCCTGCCACTGATGGGATTACTTCAATTAACGTTAATTGTAGTTGTAAAGCAATTAAAGATGTCATTTAAAAAAAATGACAAAAAAAAAAATAATTAACTTTTAGGGCTGGGTCATCATGTTCACACAGATAGATCCTGTTTAGGTTGAAACATCGCCTAGTCCACATTCTGGTGGAGGAAAAAACCCATATCGAAATGTATATAAAGCTGCAGCACTATATATTTCTACTTGACTCATTAGGACTGGAAGGAGCCTTGCAGCCTGCGCCTATTATGCCTCACTATAAAACGAAGGCAGTTTTATCATTGCTTGCTAGCATCTTCATTTTCTTTGTAAATTCTTTATTTTCACTTTCGTGATGTTATAGTTAGGGGTAAAGCATGAGGAAAGGGTACATTTTAAATAATGCACAGTGATGAAGTTCAGTGTCGAAGGCATAACATCTGCTTGTACTGTAGTAAGCCTATTTTCTGATAAATTCTTCTATTATAATGCCTTTTTATATATGGAATCAAGTACAATATATTTGGTTGAATACACCTTTGTACATAGTGGTTGCAATGAGGCTCCTCATGCCAGGTGAACCATTGTATTGTTCTAATAGTGTTTGTGGTGGTGTTGGTTTTGTGAATTGAGCATCTTCATTCTTACACACAATTATGCAATTCCAATTACAACTGGCTAACAATGAGCAGCCAGCAATTCTCCACCCCCACTGCACACTTGTAAAATTAGGACTTGTGTACGGCAGGTTGAAGATCAAAAAACAAGCAGCTCTGTCCTGTACAGGAGTGTGCACAGAAGGGGAGTGTTTGGATTCTGTCGCCACCTTATCTGCACTTTCTTGCACTGTCAGCATTTTATCTTGCTATACACCTCAATGTACTCTTATCCTGCGGTTTTCCTCACCGAATCACCTGTACTTTAACTCCTTAAGATAATGCCACAACAACTGATGTGACTTACTAAAACACAATCACAAGTTGACATCACCAATTCTTAGTCTATCCTTAACCCAGTTTCTCTCATTCAAATCCCTAACGGTCTAATGTTGATGGGAACTAATCAGGTAAACTGTGGACGTCTCTGGGAACGATTGCATATATCAAGTGTTAAAGGAACACTGCAGTGCTAAGCCAGGTGACAAAAGGAAGGAGAAGAGTCCCAAAAGTAAAAGGAAATAGTTTAATAATTTGTAATAAAAGATAAGTTTAATCTAATAGTTTGATACTGATTATTAAAAGATCCAGTCATACTGTTGATAGACAAAATAAAATGGGGAATTGAATTTAAGGCTAGTAGAATGAACACTTGGGCAGTAGGGGTGGTAGAAAATGAATATTGAAAGAAACTCAAAATAACAGTCCTATGTATCAAATATGGATTCCTGTCAATTCATAATGGTATATGCCATTTGTTCAGCAATGAAAATACAAAATAACGATTCTAATGTGTTGATATATCTGATTACAGACAAATTAAAAGATTTCTAGTACCCAATAGTTGCAAAGTGTTTTGAAATATGGCACATTAAAGAGCTGCTTGACAGACAAAACGTGCACCAGGGCTGTCTGTAGGTCAGTAGCTCTGTGGCTACAACACGACAGACTTTTGCGTACGTTTGTACCGCTACGTTAAAGACTTTATGGCTCCGATAGTCACTGATCTTATTAACATATGTTTATATCAGCCTCGCAGTAGCATGCTGATAGATAATAGGTAATCTAGCCAGTGCAGCCTCCGCAGATAGGTACCTTCAAATAGGCAAAATAAGGGAAAGATTTAGCAGGCAGAGGATACGGTTATAACAGCTTGCCTATTTTGCTTACAAATATTTCCTGGCTTTACATTTATATTTTACCTTTTATTATTTTTTCCAGTTATAATAACCGTCTCTGAATCTGCCAGTGGGCTAAATGCCTATCTTTATATTGTAATTAATTTACAAATTACTCCTGACTGATTCACTATTACGGGCTCCGGTTTTTCGAACACAGTTATGCAATTGTAACCAACTACTGACAGTAATTTGGCTGTGTACTCTTAGTTTTTTTTGCATACCTATTGGGATATTAGGGCAGTCTGTTTGTGCTGCCATATAGCTGCACCATATGTCAAAGCACTTTAAACATTGTAACCACTAGGTACAAGTAACCTTTCAAACGATTAGCTCAGATGATCCAACAGATAGTCCTGTTTGGGAGCCTCTAGCTCTCTAAAGAAAATAGTGAAGGAGAGGATTGATGCATGGTGGAATCCAGGTAAGTAGTCAAACTGTCCTAAAACCGTTTGACTACTTACAATGAAGGATGTGCCAATGTGTTCCTATCCCAATAACTACTACAGTGAATTGTAGTATTTATGGCACCTGGAGTGTTACTGGTGATGGGAGTGTTCAAGATTAAAAAAATAAAATGAATACAGTTTTTCTTAAATTCCACTGTGCAACTTACCACAAATCCAAATCCATTTTTCAGATTTATCTCTCTGATCCGTCCATACCCTTTAAAAAACTTTTCCACGTCTCTCTCCCGGGCATGGGGACTCAGCCTCCCAATGAACACTCTGCAGCCACTCATTTTATCTGTCGATTTAAAAAAAAATATTTTTAAAAAAAATGACATTTGCAATCACGATTTTCCTATAGAAAAAGTACAACTAACTAACTGCAGTTAAAGAGTAACCAAACTCATACATTATATAACAGACAGTTAATTCCCACCATTATCACAGTTGTGACAAGAGCAGTATTAACCTGATCTGTAACAGAGGGCCAGTAAACCCCATTGATTTCTCATGTTGGTGATGGAAATGACTAATTTACAATCCCATAAGAAAGATTTCTTTTATGGTAATGTATTCATTATTCTGGGAGGACTATAATTTCTGTTTACAGGGAATGTCTCTATAAATCCATAATACAGTCATCAATAATCATCGCATTCAGAACTGTAGTGGAATATACCTACAAATTAATCTAACATTTGAAGACCATTAGTAAAGGCTGACAAACGTTTCACGACCAAACACCAACTGTCTCATTCTACATGAACATTTGGGATCTACTCTTGTCTAACTATGGTTAAAAGGTACGACGTGGACACCATAACTTCAGCTTGAACAGGTTTACTCCAAAGTGTGCTTGCAGCACCAATCTGTAGATTTCCTTGGCAGCATCTGAATATCATTTCAGGAAGCAAAAGGTGAGGAGTGTTACCGTACAGGGGGGCAGCTGATTCTCTGATCCAATCAGCAGCACCCCTGCCTGGCGGCATTCCGCTCTTCCTGAAACGGAGGTTAGAAACCGCATGAATGACCTGCAGATCGGCGCCGGGGGCACAATTTGGAGGTAAACCGACACCTGCACCCAAGGGCCGTCTGGCACCATAATAACTTATTTAATACGCTACACATTTAACAAGCTAGAGATTTACTGTATTTTTTTTTAATAAGAAGGTGACGGTTTTAGACATCTAAGAACTGCCCAAAGATAAAAAGTACTATATCTGCAGCTCCACTTATGTACTCTAATATGAAATGCCCCTGCAGTCACATCTATGTTGACCTAGAGGAATGAAAGGCTCAATCAAGACAAATCCACAATTAGAACAAAAAACAAACTACCACTTTTCTTGCCAGTTTTTGCACATACATCACCCAGTATTATTCTTAAATTATTTACCAGGTACCCATTCAAAAGAGCAGGCAATAGGATTAAACTTCTGAAAAAGAGGGAAGCACACCCTAGACACCATGCAGCCCCAGAGTCATAGCACACCTCAGGTTTAGGAAACACACATTTAACCAAAAATCTTGTTTGTGTGTAAATTGGGGAAAAAAACAAAACTATTTTACTACAATACTTAGAGTGTCAGTTAAATGGCTACATAATAAGTATCAAAATACCCTTGAGAGGTCTACTTCATATAAATACTGTATACACTTTTGTGTGGCAATATGGTTTTCATTGATTGCTATTAAACTTATTAAAACATATCCAATTCTACAATCATTATAGATTTAAATTCTATTTCACGACCTGTAACTACCAAAAATAAACAGAAATCCTAGACATAAAATATACCCTGTAAATTAGGGCAAATTAATATATTTTGAACAGTTTTACGTACACTGCATTAATTATGCATACATTGTTATTGCTAAAATGTGGAGGGAAATGCATTTCCCTCCTTTTTTATTTAAAATATTATATAGGCCAATTTAAATATTTAGATGTCATAAAATTCTAGCCCTATTTGTTGTTTCTTTAAAGGGTATGTATTGGTGTAGTAATTGAAGACTATGTAGACCGCATTTGAACACATACAAGTTACATGAGACCCCCACTGACCCCTTACATGGACCCCACTCAAACCCTGACCCCTTACATGAGACCCCCACTCAAACCCTGACCTGAACCTGACCCCTTACATGAGACCCCCCTCACTCAAACCCTGACCCCTTACATGAGACCCCCCTCACTCAAACCCTGACCCCGCATGAGACCCCCTCACTCAAACCCTGACCCCTTACATGAGACCCCCCCTCACTCAAACCCTGACCCCTTACCCATGAGACCCCCCTCCTCAAAACCCCCCTTAACCCACCCTGACCCCTTACAGAGACCCCCCTCACTCAAACCCTGACCCCTTACATGAGGACCCCTCACTAAACCCCTGACCCCTTACATGGGACCCCCTCACTCAAACCCTGACCCCTTACATGAGACCCCCTCACTCAAACCCTGACCCCTTGGGACCCCCTCACTCAAACCCTGACCCCTTGCCCCGGACCCCTCACTCACCCTGATGGACCCCCCTCCTCAAACCCTGACCCCACATGAGACCCCCTCACTCAAACCCTGACCCCTTGAGACCCCCTCACTCAAACCCCTGACCCTTACAGGACCCCCTCTCAAACCCTGACCCCTTACAGAGACCCCTCCCTCAAACCCTGACCCCCTTCTGACCCCTGAGACCCCCCCTCAAACCCTCACCCCCCTCAAGAGACCCCTCACTCAAACCCCCCCCCCATGACATGAGACCCCCCTCACTCAAACCCTGACCCCTTACATGAGACCCCCCACTCAAACCCTGACCTCCCCTCACTCAAACCTGACCCCTTACATGAGACCCCCCTCACTCAAACCCTGACCCCTTACTGAGACCCCTGACCCCTCGAACCCTGACCCCCTCACTCAAACTGACCCCTTACATGACCCCTTACATGAGACCCCTCCTCACTCAAACCCTGACCCCTTACATGAGACCCCCTCCTCAAACCCTGACCCATGAGACCCCCCACTCACCCAAAACCCTGACCCCTTACATGAGACCCCCCTCCTCCAAACCCTGACCCCCGCCCACCCCCCCCCTCGACATGAGACCCTCACTCAAACCCTGACCCACATGAGACCCCCTCACTCAAACCCTGACCCCTTACACGAGACCCCCCACTCACACTAACCCTGACCATAGATGGCCCTAGCCTCCCCTGCGATCCGGCTGCCCACGTTGTGTATAGAGAAAGCAGCACCCTACCCCATGTATTAATATACCCGCCCACCCGCTGCAGTAAACCCATTATAAATACCCAGCCCGGATTCCACGATCCCAGCTCCGGCAGAGCCAGGCCTCCGGCCCTCCCACTCCCAGTAGGCCTCATCCCCGGAGCGCAGTGCCGATCCCCCCACTCCCTCCCCCGGGCACAGCCGGCTGGATCTCAGTCCGTACCGCGCCCAGGGATGGCTGTGGCATGTTAGTAAATGGCCGGAGAGCTGGCTATTGCCGTAACGGAGCCCGCACCCCGTGAGAGCAGCACTCACCACTCCTTCCGCAGGATGAAATGGCGGATGGGACGCTCCGGATGTGACTCTAACAAGATGGCTGCCACAGGGGGAGGGGCTTGTTGTCATGGGAACAACGGCGGTTAACATCCGGGTCTTGGGAACAGTGGATAACAGTGTCCGCGCTCTGTGTGTAGAACTCCAAAACCCTCTATCCAAGAATAAAGAGTTCTAAACACCTCTGCCAAGGATATAGAGCTCTAAACAATTCCGGCCAAGGATATAGAGCTCTAAACACCTCATGCTTTCTGTACAGAGTAGTGATGGCTAACCTTGACTGTAAAAGCTAGCTGAGCATCTTGGGAAATGTAATCCAGAAAAAGATTTATGGTGTCAAGGATAGCCATCACTGGTATAGAGTGATAAACATCCTGTAGCCAAGAATATAGAGTACTAAACACACCATGCTTTCTGTATAAAGCAATAAACAACTCTATCCAAGTATACAGAGCACTAAACACCTCATGCTTTCTGTATAAAGCAATAAACAGCTCTATCCAAGAATACAGAGTACTAAACACACCATGCTTTCTGTATAAAGAAAGACAACTCTATCCAAGTATATAGAACACTAAACACCTCTTGCTTCCTGCATAGAGCACTAAACATCTCTATCCAAATATATAGAGTACTAAACACACAATGCTTTCTGTATAAAGCAATAAACAGCGTTAGCCAAGTATACAGAGCACTAAACACCTCATGCTTTCTGAATAGAGCACTAAACACCTCATGATTTCTGTATAAAGCAATAGACAACTCTATCCAAGTATATAGAGTACTAAACAGCTCTGGCCAAGTGTATAGAGCACTAAAAACCTCAAGCTTTCTGTATAGAGTACTAAACACTGCATACTTTCTGTGTAGAGCACTAAACACCTCAAACTTTCTGTGTAGAGCACTAAACAGCTCTATCCACGTGTATAGAGTACTTAACATCTCATGCTTTCTGTATAGGGCAATAGACAACTCTATCCAATTAGAGTACTAAACACACAATGCTTTCTGTATAAAGCAATAAACAGCTTTAGCCAAGTATACAGAGCAATAAACACCTCATGCTTTCTGTATAGAGCACTAAACATCTCATGCTTTCTGTATAAAGCAATAGACAACTCTATCCAAGTATATAGAGTACTAAACAGCTCTAGCCAAGTATATAGAGTACTAAACACCTCATGCTTTCTGTATAAAGAAAGACAACTCTAGCCAAGTGTATAAAGCAATAAACAGCTCTAGCCAAGTATACAGAGCACTAAACACCTCATGCTTTCTGTATAAAGCAATAAACAGCTCTATCCAAGAATATAGAGTACTAAACACACCATGCTTTCTGTATAAAGCAATAAACAGCTTTAGCCAAGTATATAGAGTACTAAACATCTCATGCTTTCTGTATAAAGCAATAAACAGCTCATACTTTCTGTATGGAGCACTAAACAGCTCTAGCCAAGAGTATAGAGCATTAAACAGCTCATGCTTTCTGTATAGAGCACTAAACACCTCATACTGTCTGCATAGAGCACTAAACAGCTCTATCCAAGTATATAGAGTACTACACACACACCATGCTTTCTGTATAGAGCACTAAACACCTCATACTGTCTGTATAGAGCACTAAACAGCTCTATCCAAGTATATAGAGTACTACACACACCATGCTTTCTGTATAGAGTACTAAACACCTCATGCTTTCTGTATAGAGTACTAAACAGCTCAAGCAATAAACCGCTCTAGCCAAGTGTATAGAGCACTAAATGCCTCATGCTTTCAGTACAGAGTACTAAACAGCTCAAGCCAAGTATATAGAGTACTAAACACCTCATGCTTTCTGTATAGAGTACTAAACAGCTCTAGCCAAGTATATAGAGTACTTAACATCTCATGCTTTCTGTATAAAGCAATAGACAACTCTATCCAAGTATATAGAGTACTAAACAGCTCTAGCCAAGTATATAGAGTACTTAACATCTCATGCTTTCTGTATAAAGCAATAGACAACTCTATCCAAGTATATAGAGTACTAAACAGCTCTAGCCAAGTATATAGAGTACTTAACATCTCATGCTTTCTGTATAAAGCAATAGACAACTCTATCCAAGTATATAGAGTACTAAACAGCTCAAGCCAAGTATATAGAGTACTAAACACCTCATGCTTTCTGTATAGAGTACTAAACAGCTCTAGCCAAGTATATAGAGTACTTAACATCTCATGCTTTCTGTATAAAGCAATAGACAACTCTATCCAAGTATATAGAGTACTAAACAGCTCTGGCCAAGTGTATAGAACACTAAACACCTCATGCTTTCTGTATTGAGCACTAAACACCTCATGCTTTCTGTATAGTGTGCTAAACAGCTCTAGCCAAGTATATAGAGTACTAAACACCTCATGCTTTCTGTATAGAGTACTAAACACCTCATGCTTTCTGTACAGAGTACTAAACAGCTCTAGCCAAGTATATAGAGTACTAAACATCCCATGCTTTCTGTACAGAGTGATAAACATCTTTAGCCAAATATATAGAGTTCTAAACTCTTGTGTAGAGTACTAAACACCCCATGCTTTCTGTATAGAGTACTAAACACCTCTTGCTTCCTGCATAGAGCACTAAACAGCTCTAGCAAAGTATATAGAGTACTAAACACCCCATGCTTTCTGTACAGAGTGATAAACATCTTTAACCAAATATATAGAGTTCTAAACTCTTGTGTAGAGTACTAAACACCTCATGCTTAGTGCATAGAGCGCTAAACACGTCATGCTTTGTGTATGGAGCACCAAACACGCCATGCTTAGTGCATGGAGTACTAAATGCCTCATGCTTAGTGTATAGAGGGCAAAACACCTAATGCTTAGAGCAAATAGAGCATTAGACACTGCTTACACCTACCAAGTGTCCCTATTTAGGTGGGGCAGTCCCCATTCTGAACCCAAATCCCTCTGTTCCTTTTTTCCCCCCTATCATAATGGCCATCTTTTGTAGGAGCTCAATATTCTGGCTGAGTCTAAGTATATACCAAAGCTCCACAGCAATAATATTCAGTAAATTATTATTGTTTAGTACTTAACCGGTAACAACATATTCAGTAGCGCTTTACAACAGATTGTATACAGACAAATAATGAACGCATACTGATACAAAAGAAACAGAAATACTATACCCATGAGCTTAGTGTTCATCTAGCATTGGTGAACACTAAACACCTCATTCCTTGTATAAAGAGCCATAAACAATGCTAAATAGTGCTGTGGATACCAGCAGGCCTACATTTACTGAACTCAATTGTTAATGCGTCCCTGACAAAGGTGCATCTAATAGCACTGAAAATGTGTTAGGACACGTTTTCACAGTTTCACTATTTACTCTTTATAGTGTCATACCTCTCTGCATTAGGAGGCATGAAATCAGGACAGTGGGCAGACCTTTAAGGGGGCATTGCCAGTGATGCAACTTGTGAAACCATAATGGCCATACCTGCTCATTAAAGAACCGTATCAGCCTGGCTTCAAGCACACCAGTCTGACAGCCAGCCTCTCAGCTGTGCCAGACGTACAGGACAATTGGGATCTCTGTAGTGGTAGCTTTGATTTTGGTCTAGTGTAGCGGTGTGGTAGGTTATTATTATAATTATTATTGCTGGTATTTATAAAGCGCCAACAGATTCCGCAGCGCTGTACAATTAGTGGAGAACATACAATATACACACACAAATACAAAAGGTAGAGAGGGCCCTGCCCGTAAGATGAAATCTTGCCATTTAAGCTCTTTTATACAAAGTGCATAGGTAGATAGTCCATGAGCTTACACTCTAAAGGATTATACAGCTGAGGTATAATTAGATCGCTACCTTTTATAGGTTTTAAGCAGCATTGGTAGGATACTGTGGCCTTGGTATAGACTGGCTACTAGCGACCAGCTAGGCTTTCTAAAGCCTTTTGGACATGTCTAGCAGGCAAATATAGGCCTGGTGACTGAAGTATCCATAACTCTCTTTAGTAGACTTGCGCAAAAATGTTTTACTTATAAACAAATCGATGAATCTTAATTAAAAATAATTTTTATCCACACCTGAACAAACTGATTTGTCCAGAAAATAATTTATTCCAAAGATACTGCAATTTAGAGTATGGATTAAAAGCATAATTAATTGAATGAATCTATTTATTTATGGATGAAAAATATCTGCATAAGGCTACTCGTTAGCTCATGTATGATCTAGTTCCTATTAGTTTATTCTACACTCACGTTATAACACGCTCTCACTGACATACACAGTGTCACTTACACGCTATCACTAACACACACACACTCTCACTGACATACACAGCGTCACTTACACGCTCTCACTGACTAAACAGCGTCACTTACACACTCTCACTAACACACACTCACTGACATACACAGCGTCACTTACACGCTATCACTAACACGCTATCACTAACACACACACACTCTCACTGACATACACAGTGTCACTTACACGCTCTCACTAACACACACACTCACTGACATACACAGCGTCACTTACACGCTCTCACTAACACACACACACTCTCACTGACATACACAGCGTCACTTACACGCTCTCACTAACACATACACAGCGTCACACGCTCTCACTAACACACACTCACTGACATACACAGCATCACTTACACGCTCTCACTAATACACACTCACTGACATACACAGCGTCACTTACACGCTCTCACTGACATACGGTGTCACTTACACGCTATCACTAACACAATCTCACTGACATACACAGCGTCACTTACACGGTCTCTCTAACACACACACTGTCACTTGCACACTCTGACTGACATAGACCATGTCACTTGAACACTCAACACACTCACAGACAGACTGTGTCACTTGCACACTCACGAACACACACTCTTACTAACATACACAATGTAACTTACACACTCTCACTAACATACACGGTCACTTACATACTCTTACTAATGCACACACTTTTACTCAAACAGAAAGTCACATCACTTTACATAAAGTCACACTTAATATATACACATACACACAATTTACAACCATGCACAGAATAACCAGTTTCCCTTAGCCTCCAGATATGCCATACCTGCACTAGTGCTGTGAATGAGAAGGGAACCAGCATGCAGGAATTTGTATTATTTTTATAATGGGGGAGTAGGGGAGCACTGCACTGTGAGCACAGCGTGGGTCAGCTGGAACACCAGGTCATGTCCCGGTACCGGTAGGACAATTTCACAGAGTCAGTAAATTTGATAGAACACCTGCCCTAACCTCTGGCATCCTGACATATGGTTGTCGGGCTAAGGGGGTATTCTGAGAACCATAACCACTACCGCACACTTTAGTGGTTATGGCAATGCATGTTTCGTGGGGCTTTATTTTAGTCAGCTGACAATAGGTTTGATGCTTACCTGGCTTTGTCTGTCACCTGTGATCCTTCCAGCCAGCACTGCTAAAGCAGAAACATCACACTTTTGTATCTGCAAAAATATTAAAGAGATACTATAGTGCCAAAAATACAAAGCTGTATTTCTGGCACCATAACTCCCTCTGTCTCAAGCTTTGTTTTCAAGGTGATGAATAAGTACATTAAAGTGAGGACAAGTCAGCATGTAACCATGTGGTATTCGGTGTTCAACTCAACAAGCTCTATGTTCCATTATATCTCTCTGCACACTTTTAAGACAGTTTGTGATCCAACTACAGTAATCTGTTGTGAAACTGTACCAAATGCTTTAGAGCATTAGACACTGTGACACTCTGTGGCCGCAGACCGTTCAGAGTACCCATGATGACCCATGTCCACTGCTGAAAGCGCCTTGGGGCACCCAATGGGGATGTGAGTGTAAGAACTGGACCAGGGAGCAATGGATGATGGTTGATTGATCTGATGAATCATGTTTTCGTTTAGATCAGGTAGATGGCTGGATGCATGTGTGTCTTTACCTGGGGAAACGATGGCAGCAGGATGCACTATGGGAAGAAGGCAATGTTTAGCTAGGAAACCTTGGACAATGGCATTTATGTGGATGTTACTTTGACAGTACCACCTACCTAGAGATTGTTGCAGACCACGTACACCCCTTCATGGCAATGGTGTTCACTTCTTTTAGCAGGTTAATGCACCCTACCACACTGCAAAATGTGTTCATGAAAAGTTTGAGGAACATGAAAAAGTTCAATTTCAAATTTACCAGATCTAAGCAGGAGGTTTTAATATTGTAGATGATTAATGTACATATAAATTATATCCGTGAATATTCTATTATTTATTTTTATTTTTTTAAATCCAGGCTATAAAAAAAAAAAAAAAGTGTCTGTTAATTGCCATTGCAGAGTGTGCGGAGTTGCCCATTGTGAACCTTGGGCCGAGAGCACTGGGTCCAGCCCAGATTTCCCTCCCCCCCCACTCATCTATCGCCCCGTCCCGCCTTCCTTGTTTGCCCCCGGTGGTGAACCTCTGTATCAGTGGTTTTGCATCATGTTTAATTTGTAATAAGAGCCCTACAGGTAGCGTCCCGTGTGGTTACGTCTTCCCCTGCCTCTCCCCCTTTGTCACGTGCACATGGGGTGTGGGTATGTTCCGTGTGTGTTGGAGTTTTAATGTAGGTGTCCCACATGATTCCCCGCTCTCTGTATATGTTTTTTGGGGCTAATATGCTTATGGGCCATTGACTCGTAGTCCAGGTTCAGGGTGATCTGTGTTGTAAGGGCTGTAGAACCTGGTATTTCTGTAGATTTCCATGCTCTGGCTATCAGCAAATTTGCAGCCGTGAGGACGTGAAAAAGTAGGGTAGAGGCCAGTTTAGAGATGTTTTCCAGTCGCATGAATAGGAGGCATAAATCAGGTGTGAGTGTGATGCCCATCCCCAATGCGTCTGATAATACATCTCCCACCATACGCCGATATCCCTCGATCTTGGGACAAGTCCACCAAATGTGGTACATCATCCCCGTTTCCTGTAAACACCTCCAGGAGGAGCTGGTAGTGTTCGGGTAGATTCACGCTCGTCTGTCCGGTATCATATACCAGCAATACTGGATTTTTCTCATCAGTTCTAGGTGTGACGCACAGCTTGTCTTTCCCTTGTGAGCTAACATTGCTTTTTTCCAGCTTGTGACATCAAATGTTTGGTTTAAGTCGTTGTGCCAGTCGAGCATACATTTTTTTGTAGCTGTGTGCTGCCGGGACTGTCACTACTCGGTATATAGAGGCTAGTAACTTGTTGGCGAGTGTGAAAAAGGGGGGGGTTGTGTGTGAGGAGCGCTTTTAGTTGGAGGTATGATAACAACGCCCTCGTCGGTAGTTTGAATTTATGTTGGAGGTCTGGGAATGGCAGTATTCCATTGTCTCCAAACAGTTGGCCCATGGAGGCGCAGCCTCCTTTCTGCCAAGGCCTGTAGTCAAAGGATGGATTAACAGCATGCACGCAAGATATGGGGGCAGCTGGGAGCCACATATGTTTCTCGCCCAGGTTTTGTTTTAGTCTGTCCCAGTCGTGGGTACCAGAACTTGGAAACAGGTGAAGGGGTGAAGGACTATAACCAGAGTCCAGGGGGTATATAACAAGAGAGCCAAGAATGTGGCTAGGCGCTGGTTATTAGTGTCGTGGGGGTGGAAGTTTATGGCTTACAGTCCTGGGGGGATCCGCATTCGGAGGGCCCAACGTATTGCAGAGTAAGAAATATTAAAGGATCTAGTTGGAGGAACCTGTGTCTCCGTGTCAGCAGGGGGGTAGCAGTGATTGCGTTCGAGAGTCCTTGTGGTGGGAGATGGACCTGAGCTCAGGGGTAGTGTCACAATTTGGGAACAAGCATGAGATTATAACAGTAAAACCAAAGCATAGTAACTGGGTATATAATTAGACGTTCGAATACGCCCTGTCCCCAATTTGCCCTTGCACATTTGGCAGTGGAGTCAGGGTGGACCATTCTGCCCCCCTTCTAAGAGCCGATATCTGGACAGGCAGCAATTAGCGTGCACAGGGGGAGATAGGAAACTGAAACAGCCTCCAGATTAATTACAGGTCCTGTGTGCCTACCCGGGCAACACTCTAACTGCCACAACGCCAGTAGCTGCAACCCTGGGTGCAGGGGGCCCCCCACCCTGGCTAGATATCTCAGCCCCTTATGTAGGGAGGGAAGCCACCATGCAGTCTTCCAGAGTGAACCACATGAGTAAATATGGAATCAGTAGGTCACAGTGTGTAATATATTTTATTTTTTATTTTTTTTAACTCCAAGGTATGTTCCGCTACAGTGGTGAACACACACATAAACCTCAATGTATTCCCCCTGTGGCTTTCCCACCTACCCTCTCAGTGTGTGGTCTTAGCTGAGTGGCAAGGGTGATGCGTGTGGACTTGCCATGCCCGCTAACCCGAGGGATGCCCCAGCGGGTCAGCAACGCTAAGGCAGTCGGGTGTGACCAAATAGCCCCCTTTTTTTTGTTTTTCCTAGGGACACTTATACTTGCTGTGGCTCACGGCAGCTGGGGGTAACCGTCTCTGACGTCTTCTGAGTGCTATCAGCGCCGTCTGGGCTTTTTCCATTCCGGGGAGAATCTTGGCAAGTTCCCTGGAGGTCTCAGTGGCTCAAGTCCCCATTGGCTCAAGATGCGGTGGCCATCTTCCGGAGGGAGTATAACGGTGGTTTTCCCGTCGCGTTGCACGAGGAGCTTCACTGGAAATCCCCAGCGATAGATGATGCGGTGTGCTCTCAGGCGCTCCGTGACTGGCTGGAAGGCTCTGCGGTATTTCAGGGTATATGCGGACAGGTCTGCGTACACGGATACAGTTTGGAATCTCTCTGGCCAATCTTTGCGGGAACGGCTTCGTTTGAGTATTTCCTCCTTGGCGTGGTAGTAGTGGAGGCGAAGCAGCACGTCCCTTGGTGTTTCTGGCAGCTCTGTGCATGCGGTCCAGCAGCAATAGGTCTCTTGGGATCTCGAGTGCAATGGCATGGAACAGATCCGTCATGTACATAGCGATATCAGCCATGTTTACTGTTTCTGCTATCCCCCGGAGCCGGAGGTTGTTCTGACGGCCCCTGTTCTCCATGTCAGCTAGCTCTAGGTCGTAGCCCTCCATCCGGGACAAGAGGTCCTCCATCTGGGTAGCCAGTGTGTTGTGGGCTTCCTCGAAGTCCGCCAACTTCGTTTCCACGTGGGATCCTTTCTCAGCTCCCCCAGGGATGACTGAATGGAGAGCAGGATCTTTTCAGACATGCCGTCAAGCATAGTTTGCAGCATGCTTTGGGTCAGTGGGGATTCCGGATTAGGAGATGCCTGCGAGCTTTCCAGTTCCTCCTCGGCGCCATCTTGTGCCATCTCAGAGGAGACCGGAGTTTTTGCTTGTCCCGCTCGTGGTGCGAAGAACTGCGCTTTCTCCTGTCTCTCTGTGATTCTTTTGGATTTGGGCTGTGACATATTATGCCCTGTGATGTTCGGGTGAGATTTATTCTTATTTGTTTGGGTTCCAATTGCTGAGATATGGGCCTTAGCTGTGCGGAGCTCTCACTACATGCGTCTGCTCACGGCAAGGTCCAGGACATGCCCCTCATGGCTCGAACTTTCAAACCCAACCTTGTTATCCAGGTCTAAAAGTTACTCACCCCTGGGCTGCAAGCCTGGAGTGTCCATGGCACATTCACCAGGGCTGAATTTTACTCGACAGTTGCCAGTGGGCGGGTGCTAGTTTTGAGCGCTGGTGCGGTTATTACTAAACTAAGCTCTTAAAATATCAAAAAAGGTGTATACCATACTAAAGCCCAACCTGCATACCAAAAAGCAGCATACGACAAATAAAAATAAGGCTAAGATTTATTGTGGACAAACTGTCCTGTGACCCAATCTCTTATTTAAAAAAAAATTCCTGGTGTGCACGTATGGATTTACATAAAGATTTTTTTTAGAACTGCTAATTCACAATGCAAAACACACATTTACAAGGGTACTATCTGTCCACTTGAAACAGTAGGCTCAACATTGACACCCGTGCAACCCGAAACTGTAATACTATGGGAAATATCCCATAAGATGCCTGCAAGTAAGGAACAACACATGTTGTATATATTTTGTTAAAATTGATGAGCTGAAAGAAAATCAAAAAAACATATGCATATTTATTTTTTTATTGGAAAACATTTTTTGATATTCTTAGTATCCCTTTAAATTGTTGGGTTTCTTTCTGTGAGGTTTTAATGAACTGATATTTTACAGATAAAAATTAAAGAGTAACCAATAACAAATGGTTAAAATTTAAAAGTATTTTAATAAAGGTCTGTGACAAGCAATATTGAGAGCATATTATTTAAGCATTGTATTTCCCAATCATTTCAGCAAAATTAAAAATAAGTTGATGGGCAGGACAAAGCAATGCTTTATTTTAAATTAAATACTGGGTGGGGGGAGTCTGCAATTACGTGGTTTTTATTTTATTGAAAAACAAAACTTTTTTTTTTGTTTTTTTTTTTAAACGGATCTCTTTCTGGATCTTAAAGTGTGCCAAAGGAGCACACTTGTAACTCAATAGGTAAATAGGACTTCTATAAGAACGTAACGGCTTTTCTGGAGAATAGGGGAAAAAAGCAGGGCAAGCAAGTTATACGAAAGAGAGTTCTTGTCTTTTGAAAACATGGTACCAAAAAGCAAAATAAAAATAGAGAGATGGAACATTACATTTCTCATATCTGACACAACGGAAGATTTATTAAATGTATGTTTTGGCAAAAAAATACATTCCATAACATTTTATTCCATAATAAAATATGCATTTTAAACGTCTTTAGTAAAAATGTATTTGTAAACTGTTGGGTTTTTTTTTAGGACAGACTCTGAACAGGTATTTACCCTACCAGCGCTCAAGAGGAAATGGTTTTCGGCACTGGGGTAAAGGTGGGGGGTGTAAGGTAATAAACCAAAACACAAGAAGTGATCAATTGGTGAACTAAGAAAGACACAAAGTGTGAAAAGCTGAAACCATTTTGCATACAGCGAAAGATGCACAATGAGCACTGCAGTGACATGGAGGGGACTTATGAAGGGTTAAAGGTCACTTTCTCCATACAATGCTGTAGAGAAAGACATGTAGTCTAGCGCTCCTGGCACAGCATCATGTCCAATGTATGGTGCCATCCTGGCAATGCAATATTCAGCTTGATCAGGTGGGAGCTCCCGACGCAGTTCATCTGCAGTTATGTAATTCTAAAAAAAAAAAAAAAAAAGAAATTAAATATACAGTGTTAAAGGGAACATACATAGACATATATACTGTATTAAACTAATCTCTTTAATATATACTTTTTTGTGTCGGGATGGATTGACATGGTTTTTTTCCCGTCAAAATTCAGGTTTTATTATATATATGAACACGGAAAACAATATTTAAAAACAAAAAACTCTTCTTGCAGCCCCATTGTCCAATGGGCAGTAACACAATAATAAAATCAATTCTTTGTAGATATCTCATAGCTAATGCATTTAAAAAAAAAAATAAAAAAAATAAAAACAGGTGGCGACTGAACCAATCATAATGCTTGCATTAGTTTTTTTCTCTGGTATTGAGAGCTAGCAGCTGAACTAAATTTCTCAAAATCCATCTGGATAATACAGCTACAAGTGATGACGTTACTAACAGGGGACACCACCTCGGGTTAATAAAAATACACCCGGAATAACCAACTGTGACCTAATATTTGCACAAAACATACAAGAGTATTTGTAAGGCCCCTTTAAATGCATTACTTATTCGAATACCTAGTAACATGAAATCGCAAGTAATAATTGTACGGTATTCCCATTACAACGAATGAAATACCATATTATGGTAAAAAAGATAAATTAAATTGTTTATTATCCTGTTCTCCGTGACGTAATGGGGGTTTATTTATAAAAAGCTATTACAGGATAAAAAGTAAAAACACAGCAGGGAAACAGAGAAAACAAATACAGTCGATTTGTAAGAGAGTTATTTGTTAGAAATCCCCACAGGAAAGCACTGAGGCAATGCTTTCGTTTGGAGAAGGCCTAATGCACATGTGGTTGCTCGCTGCGCATGTGCATCAGATCCCCCTTCATCAGCAGATGCTTGCAGAGGAGGAGCACGACCCAACACTGAGGGACATCCTCACAGAGTATGTGTGTAAAGAATTTTATTAACCCTTTATTTGCATACAGCTTTCTATTCCTAACACAATAGTGTTCCTTTAACATTAGAATCAGCTTTTCCAGGTGGACATAAAGGTGGTAATCTGTTGGAAGACTCAAAAATTCCTAAACTTTTTAAACTTCCAAGGTCCCTTTCCCATGGCTACTGGTTCCTCGACTCTCCTGTGGAGCGAGCAATTTGCAGTGTGGCATGAAAAACCGTATTCTACTCTCTTCTCCAGCTCTGCTTCATTCCCACCTTATTTGATTTCCATTTCCTGTCCTATTGCGTTTACCCCACCTCCTATAGAGTAAGCTCGAGCAGGGTCATCTTCAACCTATTGCTCCTGTAAGTTTTCTTGTAATTGTCCTACTTACAGTTAAATTCCCCCTCTCATAATATTGTAAACTGCTACGGAATCTGTTGGCGCTATATAAATGACGATAATAATAATAACAATATTGGCAGCATAAAAGACGCTTGCGTGGGTATTATTTCCATGGTTGCTTCTGCCCACGACCTTTAAGTTGTCAGCTAGAACTAAGGGTAATGTGCTCAAAAACGGCCCTGCCATACCATGGGTGGTATTGTGCACAATGACAGTTCCGATCTTCCGCTTCCAGACCATCACTTGCTGCTCTTTCCTACACTCAGCAGTCCGTGAACAAGAAGAGTCTATTGGTGTTATATGTTCTCTCTATCTACAGACACTTCTTGCTTTTTCCTGCATGTGGCGGTAAGTCAAATAGAAAACACAAACACTAGAATAGTTTTTTGTGTTGAGTGGTCAAATATGTCTTGAACAGGACTGGCAAGTTGGTAAATTCTTAAATGACTGTGGCTATCACTCTCCGTTTGTTCTAGAGTTGGGACAACATATTGCTCACCTTAAGTAAACCACTCTAGAATGAGAACAATATCCACATAACAGGGATGATGATAATTGGGAAATTAAAAATTGTTTAAGATTTCTTTTAATAACATGTTTGTATTGAAGAAGATTAATGATTTGAGTACCAATCAATGTGCAATGACCTTCTCAATTGTGTAGTGTTCTTAATGATTTAAATGCATCGTAAAGTTCTACTTAATATAGTTAATAATTTAGAAAGCACATGAAAAAGTTAAAAACATCTTTGTGCTGCAGGTTCTTCAAACAGTAAATAACTTCATACAAACCTTATCACCAGCCAGAACCTTGAAAGAAGCCATAACCTGGTCTGCCGTGTCCGTGTCTGCAGTCTCACGAGACATAAAGTCAATAAATGCTTGAAATGTTACCACTCCAAGTCTGTTAGGATCAACGATGCTCATAATACGAGTAAATTCCGCTTCACCCTGGGAGGAGGACATTTAGATCTCTGTTATTAATTGTAGAACTACACGCACTTAATTCAAATTACAAATTGCAGCTAAACCCATCTTTCACAGCACTCCAGTAAAACATAATCGTGCTTTTAAACTGTATATTAATTTGCATCATTTGCAATATACACTTAGAAAAACCTCAATAAAATATTGAATTCTAAAAAAAATAAAAATTATTTGTTGGAAAAAAATAAATTAAAAAAATGGCAAAAAACCCCAAAAAACATTAAAAAAATGGGATAATAAAATTATGCTTCTAGTAGCATTCTTTCTTTGAACTCCATGATTTTAACCCCTTAAACACCAATGAGGGCCTGGGTGTTCAAACAGTTGCGCTCCGTCTGCTATATTAGTAGGAAATTCCATGCTGGCAGATGGTTTATAGGGACCAAACTGGGATGAACGCATGGTTCACCATTGGTATCTAAGGAGCCAACAGTTGTGAATGAGTTTACCCTAACCCTGACAGGTTTCTGTGAAATTACCCATGATCCTTTGCCAGGCTTTGTTAGCGGCAGAGCATCGTATATTTCACTTGACACCAGTTGGCCATCCCTGGTATATTCCAACGTTATTGAAACTATTAAATATTTTACTTTCCATTGTGACTAAGCATTCTTACACAGCTTGTTTTCCTTAGCAACAAGAGACCATAGTCCACATGTTTACCACCACCAATAACCAAACTAAAAGAAAACCTATTTTAAGAAGTTTGCATTAATCTCTGTATGAAAGACCGGATTTGGGTTGAGATATTTTACTGCTGGAAAGTTCACAGTACAACCAAAATCCAGCCATTGATTTATCTAGAGCAGGGTCTCAAAGTCAACTTACCGAGGGGGCCAGTCATTTACTCCTATAGGAGTCACAGATCCCTGCTCCCAGACACATGCACAAGAGTGTGCAATCAGACACACACAAGCAACACACTCCCATAAAACTGCACACTCTGGGCAGCCATATTTGGAAAACGGTCGCAATGCTTTTAAATAGCCTTACCCCTGGAACCTCTGGTGCCCTTCTCAAAAGGGAATAAAGAAACCTCTCCTTACCCCGAGCAAAAAACCCAGCCATTAACGAGACTACAGATCACATTCTTAAAGTTTGGAACCTGTGGATGGAGAACTTTGGACATGCCTCTACCCCTGCTAGTGGCGTGATTCAAGGGTGAGAGGGCAGGGGGGTGGGGAGGGAAGGGGGAGTCTACTACCTGCTTTCCTCACAGGGAGACCCCTTCCTTCCCATCCCTACCCTCCCATGAACCTCCACACTTCATTTTAGGTTTCACTTTTCTTCTTAAAAAAAACGATGACACTATAATTCTTGAGTTCTTGGGCATGAATATTGTTCTGTTAAAATCTGTTGATGACCTTCTTCATTGGGACACATGCTGTCAATATTTTACTTTGAAAAAACCCTCAATAAACACATTACAAAAAAAAAAGAAAATACAAAATATGATTTTCTAAAATATACAGTTGCTTCTGCAAATGTATACCAAAGAAGAGGAGTACCATTAAATTAGGTAATCGTAACATCCCCTGAATGTTGGGCAAAAGTAGCATCCCCAGGACGTACTTGGAAACCAGAATTAGCTGAATGTACCTTTCCTGGTTAAACACTTTTATTATGATATTATACATTTCTAAATCCCAATTTCTTTGAGGACTCATGGTATGATACAGGTTTAATATAATACAATAAAATCCAATATATCAGGGCTCAAAATTTCTACTCACCATGAGTGAAAATGTAGCAGTGGCAAGTAGAAATTCACTCCTGTTGAGCATACTTTGGCTTGCAGTGGCTAGTAACTTTTAAGGTCTAGCTAGTGGCAAAGGACTTCAAATTGTAAGCCCTTGTATATACACACACATACATATACACAGCAATGATAGACAGAGAGCTTTGTAAGTTCGTCCAGCACAATCAGCTAATCAATGCCACCCAGGCTGGACAAAACAGACATTGATAAACGCAAAAGGTTATAGATAATTGAAATGCTGTGCATATATAGGTTTGTTTTTATTAATCTTGTTAATTGAGCACAGGATTTAGTACTGCTAATTATACAGGATAATATAATAATTCCAATATATATTGGGTGTGTGCTAGGCATCATATTGAACTCACACAAATCTGGACTAAAAACAGCTTTACTTTACCATATTGTAACCCATGGAGATAAGACAGGCTCGGAAATCATCGCTATCCATCATACCAGTCTTCTTCTGTTCAATAGCAAAGAAAAAAGGAAGGAGAGTACAGAAAGTGCAAGGAAGTTCAGAAAACAAGACAGGCAGAAAACAGGCAATATTTTAGACCCAATGGCAAGTGAAAACCATAGAGTGAATGAATATAGAATGGAAACAAATGGGAGTGTTAATATCACATAAATGGCACCAGTTGACAAGGATACAAGTCAATGGTATAACACATTGTGATGGGGAAACCAAAGGGGGATTTATTGGAATAGGATTACAATGGTAGCAATGGAAGCCATTGGGTCAAAGGATAGAAAGGACAACATTTGGAAGGTAAGAGGAAACAAGGAACGAAAGAAACGAGAGAAACATTATTTCTTTTAAGTAGGCAAATTAACCAAGATTAATCTTCAGTTCCTGGAGGAAAACACAGTATTGTTCTGTCCCTGGTGTTATATAAAAACAAGCATACAATATTTTTTTCAGTACCTGTGGGTCGTTTCCAATATCGTAACCAAGGCTGATGAGACAGGCTTTAAACTCCTCAGGGCCAAGCGTGCCGGAGTGCTCCTTGATACATTAAGTGATGTGTCCAGGGCATGCCATGCCAAAGATGGGTGAGAAGGGTGAAAGCAATATGGAGGGGGTAAGGCATGGTGGCATGATTGATTGTGATTTGTGTACCATGCAGTGGGAGCAGCAGGAAAAGACATGCAGATGACAGACGAACAAGAAAACAGAACAAAACACAGTTAAAATTTATATTGTGGTCTGGATGCGTAAAACAAATTACAGTATGGGCTTTAGCAACCTGACTGCTTAGGTATATGTTAATAGTCTTACAAGGAATTCTGGGTAAGACCACACTGGGGGAAAGAATATTTATCAACGCCAGGTTAAATGCAGGAAAAGAGGGCAAACAATGCATTGTTACCCTGGTAATATGCTCTCACTTTAACAGGTACGAGGACCAATGTATGAAACTTAAAAGGGGAACCATCACTTCATTTTTAATATGATCATACTTGCCCTCTATAGTTAACAAATACGTTCGTGAAATACAAAAATTATATTAAATGTAGAAAATTGACACCTCTGTATTTACCTCTATCTTGGAAATCAGAGTTACAATTTTGGCTCCCTCTAATTCATTGTTACAAGCTCTGCCCTTAGCACCTCTCCATCACTAAACACAGAGAGAGGAAAAGGAACAGAAACAATGTCTCCGCTTCTCCTCCTCCAATGTAATCTGTGCCCTGACCGTGCCTTGACTGAACTGGATTGTAATGTAAGTTAAAAATGTAGAAACTGACAAGTAACAGAAAACTGATAATGATTTTCAAAGTTTTGTTTTCAATGGTGTAACTTCTAGAAAAGTGATGGTATTACTTTGAACAAAGGAAGGGCCTCTCAGTATATTACATTCACTTTCAGAGAATGTTTGAGGATTAGTTATGCAGTTAGCCATTATTTTTTGTGAGTACCCAGAATTCTTTGCTGCATACAGCATATTATCTGCATATTATCATGCGGCATACAAGCATAGTTACCTTGTATTCAGTATGAAACAGTGAGGTTAGAAAATACCATAATCAGGGGTGCAACAACAAAAATAGACAAATTTTTACTAATCTAAACCTTGCCCATGTCTAGATGCATGCATTCAACCTTCCCTGCTACAATAGATTTAAAGGGGCAGCAGAATGGTCACCATGATAATTCACTCTATAACATGCACTCTGCATATTAATCTGTTTGCCACCCGATGTTCGCATTAAAATCACCATTTGTGTCCAGACTGGCAGACTGGATAGCTCCAGCAATTCAAAACAGGGTGAGGACCCATTGTTCGAATGTGTACATTCTAAAAGGGACCACCTCTTATATACTCTATATAAATTAAAAGATGCTTGACCAGCATTAGGGAATTGTAGTTTACCAAAACCTATGACGCTGTAATGTAATAGAGTTTTCACAGCGACTAGTAACAGAGTCTGAGTGTGGGGAATGATTGAGTCCACTAGGGATAACAGTGAGGACTACAACCTGAGCCAGGGAAGAACTTTATTCTTATAATATAGCATTTCAAGCAGCTGAGGGATTTAATACTGGTTAGTATGTAAACACATGCACACTTACCATGAGCAGCAGAAACCGCAATGCACAGAATCACGCCATTTAACATTTACATACATGCACATCAACATTGACATGAAGGTCACATGTATAACAATGTCATATCTATGGACACATGCACACTACTGCACTTACTAGTTAATGGCAAGCATTAGATACTTGCCAACATTTAATAAATAAATATAAATCCACCCCCTTCCCAAAACATAAGCTTTTAATAAAGAATTACAAGGACATAACACCACTTTCAAATTCGGTTTTAATGAAAGCGAGACTGTAGGGGCATGACCATTACACCAAAATGGTTTCATTAAGCTAAAGTTGTATGGTGGCTATAGTGACCCTTTAAGGTCGACAGGAATCTTGGGACTTGTAGTTTTAGAATAGAGGGCCTGTTGGCCACACCTGGTTTAACGGATTGTGGGCACAGCAATTGACTACGAGCGGTCTGGATGTACAGAATTGTTGGCAAGCATGCAATAACCAAACGTCCCTCGTGCACTATGTTAGGAGTTACTGACACAACAATGGGTTTTATGGACAGAGTCAAACTTACCCGATCAAAATGATTGAATGAGTTCCTGAATTCATTCATTTGTTCCTGGCTGATGCCTTTTGCATCCCTTGTAAGGATCTGATTTTCCACCTCATTGATAGTTCTAGCAATGGTGGTCAGAAGCTGTTCCCAGCCCACGCGGATGTGCTGAAATTAAAGAACATATGCTACAAGTTTCTGTTAGATGTTTGGACTTGATGCCCCTCCTCCAATAAAGGGTATAATACTAATGATTATAATAAAAATAAGAATTAGGAAGATGTCTAAAAATGAAGAATTGTCACAGCTGTAATCTAAGAAACCTGTATGAAACTAGGGGTTTAGAAGTGCATAACGCCACTGTGAAGAAATATTCTTATTAACCAAAATTTGATAAATAACAGGAGAACATCAACACAAAACCAAGACATGGCCTCAACAAATAAGGATTCAGGTCACTCATCCCTAACAGAGGATCAAAAGCTCATTTCATATTTCTCTTTCTACAAGAACACGCTTTACAACACTACCAGATCCAGTCCCCAATTCTGCTCCTGCCGCACTGTCCTGGGTTTGTTCCATGGTGTCCCCCATCAAGGGACATTAAGAAATTGTACTAGAAAGCTATATGTGCTCCTAGAGCATTTTGCCCATGACCTGAGCGCTTTAGACATTTTTTGCCATCTGCACTCTGCTCATGGCTTGAATGCTCTGGGCAGAGTGCTTTCCTTAGTGGGCAGAGTGCCTCCATGTCAGCATTGCATGCACGGGCACTTTAGCAAGCCAAAATCCCTAAATCCCAAATCACTTAAATCTCTGTCCCAAGCAGATACCTAGCATGTTGGGTATTGGGCATGAAGAACAAATATTTATCTTGTCATCCGTTTTACGAGACGAGCAGAGACTTACCTCCATTGTATAATTAGTGTGCTTGTTATCAAATATAAGTGCTTCTTGTATTTGCTGGTGGTCACTCTCCAACTGATCAATCTTTGGTTTGTAGTTAACAATGCTTTTCTCATACTGTCGCAAATGATTTATCTGGTCCTCCAGAGTCCCATGCATTTCAATGGCAATGCGGCCAATCTCCTAGGAACGACATGCGTTACAGATAATTACAAACAATGCCAAGCAACAACGTAATATGGTTTATGGACTAAACAACAAACTGCAGCGAACTGAAACTTAATTGCAAAAACTCTTCAAGTGAGCTACATCACAGTACAGAGACAAAAGCCAACACATATACTTAACGGACCACTCTAGGCACCCAGACCACTTCAGCTTAATGAAGTGGTCTGGGTGCCAGGTCCCTCTAGGATTAACCCTTTTTTTTAATAAACATAGCAGTTTATAATAGGGTTAATCCAGCCTCCAGCCTCCAAATCCTCTAGTGGCTGTCTCATTGACAGCCCCTAGAGGCGCTTGCGTGATTCTCACTGTGAAAATCACAGTGAGAGCACGCAAGCGTCCATAGGAAAGCATTGTAAATGCTTTCCTATGAGACCGGCTGAGTGCGCGCGCAGCTCTTGCCGCGCGTGCGCATTCAGCCGAAAGGGAGGAGAGGAGGAGGATCGGAGGTGGAGAGCTCCCCGCCCGGCACTGGAAAAAAGGTAAGTTTAACCCCTTTCCTCTCCCCAGAGCCGGGCGGGAGGGGGACCCTGAGGGTGGGGGCACCCTCAAGGCACTATAGTGCCAGGAAAACTAGTGTTTTTCCTGGCACTATAGTGGTCCTTTAAAGGGAGACTATAGCCACCCAGATCATTTCATCTCATTAGAGTGGTCTGGGGGCAGTGCCCCTGTTTTCTTAAAAGGAAAAAATACTGCTAAGAAAACAGTTTCTTTCCTAGCACTATAGCCATCTATAAAAACCCCTTCATCACATACCTGATTCCAGCCTGCAGGGGGACCTAATGTCCATGCGTGGCAAGTGATTGCATTAGGACTATCACAATTGGAAAGCATTTTATAATGATTTCATACTGGGTTTTGGGTGACAAAGGATGTCCTCATGCAGAGGTGGAGTTAACCCTCCAAGATAATTTTTGCAGCTTCTCAGAAACTGCAATAAATACAATTGCAGGGTTACGGGGCCTGGAAAACTGCACCCAGGCCCCTTCAATGAGCTGAAGTGGTCTGGGTGCCTAACGTATCCCTTTAACCCTGCAATGTAAAACAGTTTTGCATTCCTAACACTACAGTGTTTCTTTAACTTTTTTTGTGTGTGTTTAAGTTGTCTGTGTGTGGCAGCTACCCTTTAGGCTTGTATCCCCCCAGAAATCCTCTCAACCATCGATAGATCTTTGGTTGTACAAAGAGCAGGTTAAAGGTGCGAATACCGCCCCCCCATCTACATCTTGGCGAGGCACTTGTGGGTGCTATAAATCTATTATATAATCTATTATATTCGGCGAGTGCAATCATTAGAAGACTGTGTGATCATTGAAAACAGTGTTATGCTACTTGCAATTCGTGTATTTGGTTTTTAGATACACAGCTGTTACCCCAAATGCTATATCTGTACACATTCACAATATGGCCGTTTTAGACAACATTTTGAATTTTCAATTTCCGATTCAAAAACTTGCTCAGTGAACAAACTTCTACAAATCACTCAATTGTTTACAAAAAATAACCATTTCCTCATGTGATGGCAACTTCTGAAATACATATATACCGAATAAGCAACATTGTAAAAATACAGAAATGTACTAATGCATACTTTTTGGGAAATCCCTAAATTAAGCTTCGGCAGATGAACAGGGCCTGGATTGTTTTTGATAACTGCTTAGATCCCATATTTAGAAATATAGCTTAGAATGATTCTATTGAAGTTGTACATGGATTAGAGTTCTAATAGATAAATCATGAATGGCCGCAGTGATTTACATGCAGCCGCAAGGAATTCTGGGTTTGGTGAGTCAGTGTATTCACTACACAATAGGCTACAATTGTAATTTGGAATTCATGCTTGCATTTCCTCTTTTCAAAAAACATGTCCTTTTACTGGATTCGACCAGCTACTAAAAGTCCCTTTAGTTTAGGATTGATGAGGCATGTTATAATTCACTGACAGCTTATCAGAGTTTGCAAAGATATGATTCACCGGATGCCTTAGAACTGCCATTTTACAAAGTAATTGGCATATTTCTCTGTCTCTCCACACATGGTTCTCATGAATATCCAGACCATATAAAAGATTCTGCTGTTGGCCCAATCACCGAAAAAAGCAACCTGAAATGGTCAGACCTGCTAAACAGTTTGGAGCCTGAACATTATCCAGACGTTAACCCAACACCCTTGGCACAGATGGGCAGACAGTCCCAGAAGTCCCCCCTGGATCCACCATCAGGGTCCAGAGACATAGGGGCATTATTGCAGTGGCACCATCCAGCCAAAATGGCAGATCACGGAACTGCAATGACACCTGCGGAACCTGTACAACCGGACCCACCACCTGAGCAGGTACCTTGCACAACTGAGGGCCCAGATGGGTCTGCACTGGTCACACAGCAGGACTTCCACAACTTGGTTCAGGAGATCAAGACTCGCCTAGCTGCTGACGTGGCAGTTGTCAGAGCAGACATGCATGCAGTTGACAACAGTGTGTAGGCCTCAGAAGAGGACATAGCTAAAATTAATCAGGGACTTTCAGACCTCCAAGACTCAATCCTAGCAATGCAAATCCATCAACAGGCTCTCTCACTCCATTATATAGCACTGGACGTCAGGTCACAGCGCAACCACCGGAAGATCAGAGGGGTACCTGACACAATCACACCTGACGAACTCCCTCACTATATGAGGCGACTTGTAGCCTCCATACTACCCCCGACTCACGCCAAGAAATTCACCATAGATGGCATCTACCGACTACCAGCATCAGGCAGAGCTACCTCTACTGTGGTTCAGGATGTGAATGTCAGATGTTCCACATCACAGGATAAAAGACTCCTGATGTCAGCGCTCCAAGGCATGGCGCCACTATCCTTTGAAGGGACAAGTCTCTCCTTCTACCAGGATCGCACTAGGTCCAAGCTACAGTGGAGAAGATCCTTGAATATCGTAACCAGTCACCTGAGAAAAGCAGGTGTGGAATACCACTGGGGATCACCAGGTTCATAGTGGCCACTCACAATGGGACTGTACATAAAATCTCCTCACTAGCAGAGGCACCTACCTTCTTTAAAGCTATGGGTATTCCGGCCCAAAGATCCCTCCAGACTGACACACCAAATCGAATAGATGGGACGCGGAAATGGCTGCACCCTGTACATCAAAGGATCATCTGATCCTACACCCTGAAACCGGACTACACAGAGGGACTTAACACCCACCTGCGGCTTGAATGCTTATGCTATGTCATGTTTGTTTTCGTTAATCTTTTTACAACTATCCTAAGTTTAATTGGTTGACACATGAACGGTGTACACTCACCTTAACAACACGCTCCTGCTTCCACATGATAGGGCACTGCCCAAATGCGAAGGGGTGATACCTCACACATATCACCACTCAAACAAACACCCCCCCACTGCGGTTAGGGGCACACCTAGAAGACGGCCTGACACTATCACCCTGCTTCGGATACAATTCTGTCCATAGCCACCATATGGCCGATTTCCCTATGCACTTAGTACCCTCTTGAATAAATTTCGATGTTTAAATTAAAGGACCACTATAGGCACCCAGACCACTTCATCTTAATGAAGTGGTCTGGGTACCAGGTCCAGCTAGGTTTAACCCTTTTTGCAGTAAACATAGCTGTTTCAGAGAAACTGCTATGTTTACCTATGGGTTAATCCAGCCTCTAGTGGCTGTCTCATTGACAGCCGCTAAAGGCACTTCCGCGCTTCTCACTGTGATTTTCACAGTGAGTAGATGCCAGCGTCCATAGGAAAGCACTGATAATGCTTTCCTATGAGACTGGCTGAATGCGCGTGCGGCTCTTGCCGCGCATGCGCATTCACCTGATGACGGAAGAACAGGGAGGAGAGTCCCAGCGCCGAGGGAGCCCGGCGCTGGAAAAAAGGTAAGGGATTAACCCTTTCTTCCCCCTTCAGCGCCACGGAAGCACCCTCAGGGCACTATAGTGGTCCTTTAAATACTGCTGCAACACATACCTCTATCCGGTCAAATGAAGACTCCTGTTTCTCATCTTATGTGCAAACCCTCCTCTTTATTTCTGTATCCTACTGTGCATTGAACAATTAAACAAATAAATGTTACATACACTATATTATAACCTAATCCATATAATAGCTACTCTGTCCTCAATCCAGCTTTTCTTAAAACCGATTTAGCTCAATATAAACAAAGAATATGACCAATGAAGTGAAATAAATAATAAGAATATATATATATATATATATATAACCTAAAGGGTTCTAACCTATGATTTTATATATTTGTTTTTAAAAAGATTTCAGACCGAAATACCTGAAGTGAAAAAAAAAAAAAAAATTACAAAAAAAAAATTCTCCAAATCTACAAATTTTTTCAGCTCAGCTATTTTGGTCTAAAATTTTCCATTGATTCCACGAATATTTAAAGTTATTTGTCTGCACCTGCATCTTTGTTTGAATCCACGGTCCAATGACGTTGGCTTGTGCGGCAAATTGTTTGCGCAGGCGTTCATTCTGCTGTTGTCGGGCATGTTCCTCCATGAGAGCCTGGTCTCTGCGAGGCACCAGCTGTCTGACCTGCGAGCAACACAAGAGACACCACATTACTTCCAAATAGCGCCCACATCCCCGAATCATTCAATTGTAAACAATGACTAGCAAAGTTGATGCACCTATACATGGATCGACATAATTTTATAAAAAATGATAGGAAAGGGGAAAAAAATAAGTAATTATACTAGACAAATTTTTTTTTCAGATTAACAGAAATAACCTTACATGATCCCACTTGTTGTTGATTTCTTGAGGTGAGATCGCAGTATAGGGGTTCGTTCCAGACATATTAACGTGGTAAGTCTGTGCGATCTTTGAAACCTCATTATGGATCCCAAGTATTGCTTGTCGCTCTTTGTCGGCTTCCGGTAAGGTTGCCTTGAACTGCTCATGTGCAGATGTCAATCCCTAGGCAGAAAAATAAACAAAAAATGATCAGAAACGTAATTTATTACAAACATTTATAGGTGGCTATAGACAAACAGGATCTGTACACTAAACAAAGGAACTATGCAACACACTATTGACAGTAACTCTACTTTGCCTTTGCAAGAACATTCATTTAACCCCTTAAGGACACATGACATGTGTGACATGTCATGATTCCCTTTTATTCCAGAAGTTTGGTCCTTACGGGGTTAAAGACAAAATAATGACTCTAATACATTTAAAATACCTGGATGCGAAATGAGCAAAATATTTTGTAAGCAATATCTATAAAAAGGATGTAGATTACATAAAAACAAAAGAATAACAAGACTAGAAAATACTAGTACTGCTTAGATATGTCAACTGTTGAGATTCAGAACAATTCAAAAGCACACAATTTAAAGTATTAAACATTTAAAGAACAGGTTAGAAGACAAAAAGGGCCAAGATTCTTCCGATTGCTGAACAGATTTGCCAGTGTATCTCTAACCCTCCATCTTGATCCACGTGAATGACTTTAAAAGACATGCTAAACAGAGCTAAACTTTAGAGTATTGAAATGAATCTTTATGGTAGGGGCCAAGTTACATTTTCACATGCAGGTAACAGCACTAGCACGGTAGTGTCCACAGCGGTATATTATGGAATGTGTGAGAATACCTGAATTTCCTCAATAGTATGAACAATGAATGTGTCCTGCAGATCTTCCATGGCTCCCTCCATCCAGTTGTTGAAAGGAGCGGCTCTCTTGGCGTACTCCAGATAGAGCTGATCAATAGTTTCAAGCAACTTTTCTGTTCTCTGCATGGCCAAACACACAGAGGGAATGCAATAAGAAAACCAAAAAAAAGTCTTAATTAATAATAAAAAAATAAAAAAAACTACTACTCAAGTAGTAGAGGGAGTTTGCATGTTTGTCATGTTTTCCTGGACACATAATGTCTTCGATCTATTGGGTAGGACATGAAAAGTGCCAATCCATAAAATATAGCATTAATAGGTTGCAGGGACAAAGTTGCTAAATCTAAGTGCAGCTGTGTCTGCAGCATAAAAATACTACAATTTGCAGGTCAGCGCTTTTCATGTACTGGTCCCACCAATCCCTTCTTCAAAATATACTGCCCATCACCCTCTAGAACGGATGTGTGTTAAAGAAAGCATTGTGAATCTGGAAACCCTACGTACTATGTATTATTAGCGCCAACCGTTCTAGAAAGGGGATATGAAGAAGGCTTTGCTTACAAGAGCTAACAATCTATTAAGTGGCTTTCAAGTTCAAGGCAGTGATGTTACCCCTGCTCTAACCAGCCAATATAACCAACATTTAAATACATGTTTTGGGCGGCTAAGGGGAAGCTTCTTTAAATATTAGGGCGCACGCATTGGTCCCAACAAACAAGTCATACCTCCAATGCCTCTCTGCGCTTCTGGGTTAGAGCCCCTAGGTTATCCCACTGATCACAGATTCGTTGGCACCTGGCATTGACGCTCGGAGAGTCATAGTAATTTAGTTCACTAAACAGGGACAGAAAGGCAAGAGTTAAGCAAAACTGGAATCATGTTGACCACATGCAGATCAATGTGACACACGCATCTAATTATAAGCAGGCTGACAGAGGAACACATAGTTAGCGATTATCTTCTATTGACTTTTCCACTCCGACAGCTTAGATTCAACACAACAAGCCTGATGGTGCCTTGGGCAAGGAACCCACAGCTCCAATACATTCTCATTAAATCAGGATGTGGTAGCTCCCTGTGATTGTGTGTAAGCTCTATTTATTTATTCTTTAGAATAATTGTCTAAATCCTTTTTTATGATCTTGAGAACAACATAGAATAAATAGCCTGCAGATAAATAGCCAACATTCTAATTCCAAATCAAGCTATACAAACACTTCATGCAGAAGAAGAAAAAAAAAATTAGAAGCAAGTTTTAGCATTATAGTTTAAAATCAATTGTCTTACAACATGTAACATCATTTGGCACCTATATAATCAGGATTAATTCAAGGTGAGATCTATCAGGAATTCAAAGCAAATTTAAAATTTAAGACCAAAATTTAAAAGCCAAATTGAAGGCCAAATTTAAAAAAAATGTTTAATTTCTCCTGACAATTCTCAGTTTCATGAATAAAATGGATGACTCAAGGTTTACTACCCACTCACGGAACCAAATTTGATATATAAACAAGACAAACAAAGTTGTTTTCCTGGCACTATAGCCCTCCCCCCCCCCCATTTACCTGATTCAAGCATTGATGCCCCTCGGTGCTGGTTCAGGCACCTCCCCTGCCTATCTTAGCCGGCACGGGAGACCTTATGAACATGCGCAGTGATGGCCGTTCGTATTAGGACTTCCTCCAAAGGAAAGCATTGTAAAAATGCTTTCCTACGTGGTTTGGGTGACACTGGATGCCCTGACGCATAGCATGAGGATGTCCAGCGTCAGTTAGGCAACCAAAAGTCACCCAACGACCCGGAAGTCACTCTAGTGGCTGTCTGGTAGATAACCACTAGAGGTAAATTTAACCCTCAAAAGGTAATCATTGCAGTTTATTAAAAACTGCAATAATTATCTTTGCAGGGTTAAAGGGATACTCCAGTGCCAGGAAAACAATCAGTTTTCCTGGCACTGCAGGTCCCATCTCCCTCCCACCCCCCATCCCCGGTTGCTGAAGGGGTGAAAACCTCCTTCAGTCACTTACCTGAGTCCCCCACCGATGTCCCTTGCCGGTGGTTTCGGGTCGCCGCCGCTCCTCCCCTGCCTTACGTCAGCCGGTGGGCGAGACTGATCCTGCCCGCCCGCCGGCGAGACCTAATGCGCATGCGCGGCTATGCCGCACACGCACATTAGAGCTCTCCATAGGAAAGCATTGAAAATGCTTTTCAATGCTTTCCTTTGGGGAATTGAGCGACGCTGGAGGTCCTCATACAGCGTGAGGATGTCCAGCGACGCTCTAGAACAGAAAGCCTGTGCTATAGACACGGAAGTGCCCTCTAGTGGCCGTCTAGTGGACAGCCACTAGAGAAGAATTTAACCCTGCAAGGTAATTATTGCAATTTATAAAAAACTGCAATAATTACACTTGCAGGGTTAAAGGTAGTGGGAGTTGGCACCCTGACCACTCCAATGGGCAGAAGTAGTCTGGATGCCTGGAGTGTCCCTTTAAGGGACCTGGGACCCTGCACCCTGACCACTTCAATGTCCCTTTAACAAAATAAAAAACAATATAGCGTCAATAAAACAGAGTTGTGCAAGATGGGAGAAGGTAAAAAAAAAAAAAAATTTAAACATGCATCAGAAAGCATGAAACACTACACCTGTAAACACACAAACAAACAAAAGATCGCACAAACAAAACAAGCAAACAAGATCTACTTTTACAAAATACACTGACCTCATTGGGGGTTAAGGGGTGGTGAGGGTGAAGTGGGGTAAGTCTGGAATGGCTAAAGCTTTTATAAACCTTAAAAAACAGGATTATTCACTAAACTCTGCACTGTAGCAAGTTAAAATCCAAATATCACCATTTAGACTCAAATAGCCATGCAGTTACGCTGGAGTTTGATTCCCCTCCCCCACCCCCCTCCTTAGGTCTGCAATGTTTGCCTTCATTTTCCTCTCATTTTAATTTGCTGCAATGTTGAGTTTAGCGAATAACTAAGTGGTTTTACCAAATCACATGGGTTTTAGGATCACAAAAAAAAAAAAAAACAAAAAAAAAAAAAACTTTTTTTTTAATTATTATTATTATTATACAGTTTTGGTTAATCACGAGCATTTTATGAATTGCTTTCCCCTATATAGAGCAAGTTCTAAATATAAACCAATTTACTATGAAACTGAATATTTTTATACATTTACAAAATCGCAAATTGAATTCTGGCATAGATGAATGAAGTTAAATAATTGGCTTGGAAACCCGATATATATTAATTTCACATTGGGTCAATAGTTGGATAATTTTTCTATTCCACGCACTCTGACTTCTATTCTGACTACGATCCAGAGGAAAGAAAAAAGGAGAGGTATCCTTGTGAATTGGCTACTAAATGTAATCCATTGTGTTCTTTCGTACAAGTAAATAATGGAGAGAACATACTTTAGCTCCTGGGCTATGGCTGCAATCTGTTCCACTCGATCTTGATGTGCAGCTAGGTCACTTTCAAAAGCTTCATGTTTCTTCAGGAGAGCTTTGATTTCCGAGAGACTAGCTGTTTCATAGTCCTTCTTCTGAAGCATGGTTTCTTTTCCTGAACAGGCAGGTCAGAAGGGAAAATTAAAGGACACAGTACTACATATATCTATACAACGGAGCAGAGAGCACTGCTAGAAAACCACAAAGCAGGGGTTTGGTAGTTTTTTTTTTTTGGCAGCAATTAATCCCCCATGGATTTCAAGGTTAAAATATTTTTATTATGGCCTATGCAGCTTTAACATAGGGAGAAGGGTCTTTAAAAAGAGAATTTTTCAATCAATTCCCTTCTCCTCTATATCACATAAGACTGATGCTACCTGCTTAACTCCCTTCTAATCGCATTGGAAAATTTAAAGGAACCATGTAACCTAAATGTATTAAAGGGACACTTTAGTCACCAAAACAATTTGAACTTAATGAATCTATTTTGGTGTATAGAGCATGTCTATGCAATCTCCCTGCTCAGTTAACTTCCATTTAGGAGTTAAATCACTTTGTTTATGCAGCCCTAGTCACACATCCCTGCATGTGACCTACATAGCACTCCTAAACACTTCCTGTGAAGTGAGATCTAATGTTTACACTTCCTTTATTCCAAATACTGTTTATTTTAGAATTTATTATCTCCTGTTCTGTTGATAGCCTGTTAGACCTTGCAAGAACCTCCTGTATATGATTCAAGTTCAATTTACAGAGCAGGTGACTAAAACTTTTAAAATAAGTTAACATCTGATTGAAAATGAAGCCATTTTGTTTTCATGCAGATTGCGTCAGCCACAGCCAGGGGAGGTGTAGCTAGGGCTGTATGGACAGAAGCAAAAGTGATTTAACTTATAAATGGCAGTGAACTGAACAGTGAGACTTCAGATGTGTGATCTATACACCAAAACCCATTCATTAAACTAAAGTTGTTTTGGTGACTATAGGTTTGTTTTTTTTTAAGTTACAGATCAATTTACATTTATTACAAATCAGAGAATTTAGCGGCCAGATATAAAATGTAAACATAGGTTCTGAGACAATGAATGATAAAGTTTTCAATATCTGCATTATGTGCTTTCTGACAGTGTTTAAATATACAGCACACACCAGCACTTAACTGAATCCATATAGACCGTATCTAATAAATTAAATTTAGAAAAGTGGTCACCGGCCTTGGGCATCCATTTTGTCTTCCTAGAAAAGGCATTACACAATGAATATCAAATTTACAGCTGGATGGGTTGCATTTTGTTTCCTCAAACTGTGGACAGAAATGTCAGTTTTATCATATTTTTATGTAAAAGTACTAGCCTAGTTTTATTTGTCAATCTTTTTATTAATATAGCACGGATATATTCCATAGCGCTGTACAATGGGAATATAAAACAGCAAACACAATGAACTCATTAAGGTGAACAGGAACACACGGAGAGGAAGGCCACTTCTCCATTTATCTTTTGTTTTTTAAATAATTACTTTTATAGTGTCAATTTAATTTTTTCATTACAATTAAATTGACTGTGCTATTTAGATGCGGTTTAAAGCTCGTCATACTCGTTCGTTAATCCTTAGGTCAACCATGTTAATTTTTATTAGTGAAAACCGTTCTGTTGCTCAAAATCAGGTGATATAAAAGCACAACGCAATAGGACATTACCCTCAGTCCATGCCTCGTGAATAGAAGCCTTTTGACGGAACTTCTCAGCAAGATGGTCGAGTCTTTCCAACCGGCGAATTTCATTCAACATCCACTCTTCATACCCTTTCTCTGCATGCTCCAGGCCCCCCCACGCTTTGTTTATATCCTGCATAAGGAAAAATGAATATAAATAAGTATTTGGGTATCTTACTAAAATATTATAAAATATAATAATGTGCACGCATGTAAAGGCTCCACTGAAAAACTTGGTAGGATTTTAGAATGAATGTAAATAATAATAAAGTCAAAAAATTTCCAGAGAAAATAATGCACTATGAGAAAAGGCTCATATTTTAACAATCCACTATGAAACACCAGACAGAGAGTTCAGGGAACTGTAGCCCAGCAAATATGAGGAGAGAAAAAAAAACAAACAAAAAAAAAACAACAAACGTTAAAAATACATTTAAAAAAATCTAGAATGAAGAATCCTTCACAGAACAAAAAAAAAACAAAAAGAAAATATCAGATATGTTTGATATATTTCAGATATTTTCTCAAGGGTTCCTTAATAGGATAAAGCGTAGGATGAATGAGAAAAAGATTGATGTTGGAAACTGGCAGGAGTTGACTTGGTTATACTATTTTTTTTTTTTTTTTGCAAATAACTAATATTTTAAAGTTAATGAATTGTACAGCTGTTAATGACAGATCAATGGTCATTAAAGGGAAAAAAAATGGGACTTGTAAGTGTTGTACATCTATAATTTGCTTACAAGACAAACTAGGATTCCGGTAAGTATCAATGTAAACAAAGGCCCCATTAAAACAAACCTGATCAGGGCCCATTTGTTAAATATCTACTACTAACTACTGCTAACACTTCCTGTGTTAAAACATTATAGTGTGACAGCCTGTGATTGGTTGTTCTACTATGACCTTCTATTGGGGAGGGTGTCTGTCAGTCATGCAGCATGATGCATGGACACACATTAATTCTACATGCAGTAGGGTAGTACATGTAAAGTGAGGCCCTGTAGTATGTGCAATCAAAACGCTACAGTTGTGACATTCCATTAATCTATCAACAAGGGAATCCCAAAGAAACTGCTGCGATTAATTAGCTGAATTTCTTCCTGCAGCATATGAATGCTACATACGGCGAGGCAATATGGCTGAATACAATTGCAAAGAACAACATTTTAAAGTTATTCTCGTCTTATCAACCAAACTCTGCTGTAATGGCAGTACAGAACCAAGTTAGTGAATGAATCCTAAAGAGATCGAGTACATTTAAGAGTACTCCATATGCTCACCGACACCATCTTTCCTTCCGAAGGCATGAACGCTGGCCGGTTGCTGAGCCGCAGCTTGGTTTGGAGAGTGTTGAAGTTAATTTCTAGCTGACACTTTTCTTGGACCTTTGGGGGCTTGTGTTGGCGCCGGTAATCTCTGAAGTCCTCCAATTTTTGCTGCATGGCCTGCATGGTATTCTCCGGAGCTCGATTCTCCAGCCACGGGATGGTGCGACGAATCCACTCGAGAAGCTGTCAGAAATAAAAAAAATTAAATAAAAATACATTATGCTGCAATCTATTCAGTTTTTCATGTGAAATCTGAATGCAGTGAAACGTATGTGGAAATAATCGTAGCAATGTACATTAAACATGAAATCTAGTGGTAGGAATTATCCTTAGACCAAGTCGAAGGGTTCATAGTGTCCCACCCCAAACTTCTTTCAATTAAATCCATTCTATCTCACAGGCAGAGACTCAAATTGCAGTATCTTTGTGCACTAAGGGTCTCCATAGTTTCTGCCCGTAATGATCGGTCCCTGATCCTGAGAATGCGTCTACCCTTAACAAATGCGTGCATCAGTGGGGGATTCTGATGATGTCATACATTTAGGGGCAGTAATATTCATTCACCCTCTTGTACACTATTCTAAAGTAGAATGTCGCCATAGTAACCAGAGACGTCCTAATTAAAATTGGACATGTGCAATGGCTACTCTAAGAGCGTGTGGTCAAAGTGACAGAAATTAGTACCTTTCATCCAGAGGACATCATATACATTTTCAATCATAAATTCTGAAGATAATGCTTATTTTAAAATATTAAGCCTGAAAACCTATTGAAAGAAATCAATATAGAGCATTCATGTGCTGCTAGGTTAGTCTCTGTGAAGCTAATATTGCACATGCGTTCTACAGCTAGATGGGAATTTAAAAGTCAAAGTTTTGGACACACACCTATATCACAGTTTACCCAACATTAATGCTCTAGAAATGCATTTTTAATTGCAGATCTAATCTGGTTTAAATGTAATATTCTATCAAAAATCTGGCAGAAATTAGAGTGGTTATTCAAGAAATCTGTCCAGTGCCATTTTTTCCAGTCTTTTTATTTATTTATTTTTTTAATACGTACATCGCTAGCCAATTTTTCATAGTCTTCCATGAGTTGTTCATTCTCTTGATTCACGGCGAGCACTTTGCAGATACGATTGGCTGCGGTCTCGGCCTGTCGAAAAAGAACATAAAAAAAAAAATTGGTGAAGCCATACGAGTTTAAATCACTAAATGCATATTATTGCTTAACACACGCACAAAAACACATCAAAGAGCATGGGAAATGAAGAAAAAAAAAAGTTTTTTGTACAAAGCCTCAAATTGTTGTTTTAATATCAAAATTGTTAGTATACATTTTTCATAGTAAATCATACATGATGCAGTTACTACAGACATGACAAAACAAAATTAAAAAGGGAAAGGACTAGATCACACCATAGGGACAAAACAATTAAAATAAAAAAAGGCTTAAATGAAACAAAATTAGGAAAGACCCCTTGTAGTATAGAATATGCCTCCTGACACACAAGATAGTAGCAGGAAATGGCGTAGCTCTTTAAGTGAGGGAAGGTGGAATGATGAAGATGAACTTGAACACAGGCGCATGTTGCCCATTTGAACCCTAAAGTAGTTTTTTTTTACCTTTATCAGAAACATTTGTTAAAATAAATACTGCTAATATGGGACATTTTGTTTTATTTATAAAACTAAAATAAGAAGAACGTCTTCTTTTCTTGCATGATCAAATAGCTGCCACGAAGTATATAAGGATTGTGATAGAACAATAAATATCCATTTTTATTTATATCGTACAGCCAGATAACAACGCAAATGAGTGTGACTCCCATGACCGTGAGTGCGCACATCACTAAGGAAGGAATTCCCAACCACACACACACTTGTGTCATACTTTCTCCGCATTTCTACAGCGCGCATGTATGCACCCAGAGCACTTTAGGACGATGAAAGTGCTGCGGTAGGTAAGAGTATTTTATACTTTCCTTTACTGCATTGGTTAAAAACTAGGGGGTATTTTTTGACAAAGTTTCCCCCGTTAATATTAAAACTACAAACAAGATTAAAAAATTTTGGGACTGTATAGATCAGGCATTTACAATGAAACTGTCCATTTTAATTATTATTATTGTAGTATTTTTTTAACCATGTAATGCTCATCCCTCTATTCCTCATCCGTACCCCTCATTGATAGGAGGTATGCATCCCACCCTTTGCTTGTGCTTATGACTGTAAACAGGAAAAGAAGATGGATTTGAACCATCAGTGAGTATTCACACTTAATGTCCATCTGGAAAACACATTTACCCTGCAGCAAACAGACATGGCTTCAAAAAGACTACATTCCTTTTTATTTCCCAATGCCATTTAGCCATTTGTAGGGGCCCTTAAAATTAATCTATCCAACACAATTACTAGTCCTAAACATGACGTTTTAGTCTGATAAATAAATCAGAAAATGTCCCAAGTATACATGTGTTTCTCCAACTCTTTCCAGTCAACAGTAGTGGTTTTTATTCAATAAGTATCATAATAACTTTGCAAAATTGCACTGACTTCTCAGCAGGCACATAAGGATATTTTCCTCTGAAGTAAATATGTAACTGATTATGACAGGACCATTGAAAAATGTCTGAACAAACAGATGCCTTCTGGGAGCCTAAGAAGACATTATCCACTGCTAATATAAAACAAATATGTGCACCAATAATATCTGGAATCTTGAGATTACATTATCATGCCACCAAGACTATATAGATCCATTAAAAAGTATTGTTGCTTCCGAGAACTGGTACATGCCCTTGACAAACAACGTATTTACGGGAAGGGCTTCACAATGCTCTTCCACCTTGCCAAATGGCCTGTGATATGTGGGACACATGGAGATCAGATAAACCCTAAACATGTTACTGTAATCGTGTACACCTGCTTCGCAAATGGTCCATATAAACCCACTCTTGATATACCTGCACTAAACCCACACCCCACCATGACCTACCTGTAATCCTGGCCCATTGGATACCGAACTGACTAGTAGTACTAATAGGGGTATAAGAATGATAACTGGCATCCCACTGTACTCATGTATACGCTAGCATGACTATGGGCAAAGGTACCCAAATGTTCCCTCCCCCTGATAGCGAAACCCCCTACAAACCTCATACGCCCAAAACCCACAAACACCAGCATATCAAACGGACTGCCTGTGGCCTAAGTTTTGAAATACCCCAGACATCTAGAGATGTAGATTAGCTGTTCTAAATGTTTTACTGCACTTACTGTTTGGACTGTTCTAAAGATGTATCTGTGCCTCTCGAATGCAATCAGAAGTAATAAAATGTGTGACGTACGGAGGGAGGCTTGGGACTCCCCAATATAGACTTTTATCACAAGGCAATACATTTAACCAGGATATAAGAGTGGACGAACGCCAACAATACACACCAATGGGTTAAACTTGAAGCCTCGTTCTTTACTCTCCCCCTTTACACAAACCCATGGCAAGACTCCTATCAACTGGTGTCCAAATACAAGGACCACCCGACCATTGCCTCCGAATCTGGTCGCTCATACGACAAACAGAGACAATATCTCCTAAACCCTCTCCCCTATCAGACACAATCCCAAATTCAAAGAAGAGATTTCAGGTAGGGCATTCCAGGCCTTCCACTCCAGTGCATATCTCACATTACAATCGATAAAACCCCTTCCCGAGATTCTCAACCAACAAGAACCAACAGGCCTCCGGCACCTGCATTACAACCAAACAACCCACTTTGTTCACTGCAACAACCTGTTACCAGCAGGTAACCGGGACCTGACCAAATTTGAGCAGCTACGCTCGACTCGCCCCCTGAGGAGGAAGCTACTCTCCACAATGCACACACTCATACAGCTGACACAGGATCAGAAACTCCTGCCCTGCATATCCAAATGGGCGACGGAAATGCTGATCTCTCTTTCATTAGAGCAAAGCAGAAAAATATTTTTTCAAGGGTACAAATCCTCTGCGAATCTAAGTATGCAAGAGAGCAATTACAAACGAACAACACACTGGCACTACACACCATCAAAAATATACAAACACTACTCTCAAGCAGACGAAAAATGTTGGCGATGCCAACAACCTTACCTGACACTCACACCTCTCACATATGGTGGCAATGCCCCCTGATTTCTAACGTCTGGAAATGTATACACACACACTAACCCAAACTATCACCTGCACACCGTTTCCACTTACTCCAGAATGTATGAGGTTCCTCCTTTTGCCTTTATCGGTACCAAAAAGTATATTGCCCCTGGTACTCTTCCTTCTCACGGCAGCAAACCTGCTCATCTCAGAACAGTGGAAACGGGCTGACTCCCCCTCTATAAGGGAATGGATAGACAAGGTAGAATCCATATGGGTGATGGAGGAAATCACATATGCCAACTCCAAAAAATACACCAGACACACTAATGCTTGGGGTACCTGGTTATCCTTTATCCGCCCTAACACTGCAACGTCCCCCGACATTCAAGGCAATCGCCTTCCACCCTCCCCCCCCCACCTACCTAGAAAGGAGGCCAGGGATACGTGCGAGATAATTGATAAGACACTGCCAATTGACACGATACAGAATCATAGACGACAAGCCACGAACACTAAAAAACAACTAAAGTATGCAGACCCTCAGGCTAGTTGTAGACAACAGGGAATGAGTCCAGGTATTGGACACCTCAGATTTCAGAGTATCATGTAGATAACTATAGCCTAACTATCACTGCTGCACTGTTGATAAAAATAATTACCGCATTGATGTAAGCGTTTGTTACTGTACTTTATTGCAAATGTTCATATGTTATATACTTCACTGACAATGCATCATTGCTTGTTAATGCTAATCAATGTCAAATAAAATATTTAAAAAAATAAATGTTTAAATGTGGGACGTGATAAAACACACGTTATTATCCACCCCCACCACCCTTTTTCCTTCTGTACCCTCTCCCTATACATTTTAAAAACAATAAAAAAAAAAAATACATTAAAAAAAAAAACAAATAAAAAAATAAAAACAATTGCCATCATAGAGAAGGTATCTGCATAATACATACATGGCACAATATCACGTAGACATGTTAAATGGCACGGTTTAGCTGCTGTTGGACTACAAAACCCATGATTCTTTTTAATTGCCGAATGCCAAATTATTAACAATGGGGGCTGTAGTTTATCAACTTTGCTTTAAAAATGTAGATCCATGAGAGGCATTGGTTAACCAACCTGTCGCTAACCGTAAAAGACTTAAACTAACAGAATTGCTACATTCACACAAATAAAATGTTAACTCTTCTATAGCACAGATTTATGTAGTGGTTGGGAATCATAGGCATGAAAAGGACTCAAAACACCGTAACTAACACACACAAAGCCTGATTTCGCAACTCCGTGTCCCTGTAACAATACGTGTTCAACTTCACCAATCTATGATTCTACAGCACAGTCAAATATTAAATATAACCATTAACTATATGAGTGCCAGAAAGTCAACATCGTGGCACATGAAGTGCACGGCTCTGATGAGGAAATAAAGAAAACGCGACTCACAGCTGGGTTATAATAGTCTGGATTTTTCAATCGTGGTTTCTATTCCATATATTCTACAGATCTGAGAATATACCTGTATCAGGAAACATGACACTATTTGCAATAGAAATTGCAATGAGTTTATTATTTGGGCTAAACTGTCAAAGCTTGGCAGATTTATAGGTCATGCATTCTTAGATCGATAAAACAATCATTAAATGGAAGTAGCAAAGGGCTACGAATGTCATGGCCATATGGTCAGATAAAAAGTACCACAGCACAATTTTTTTAATTTTTTTTAATAATTCTTTATTTTTGGTCGTGCATAAGGTTAACAGGCGGAGTTGCACAGCCACAATAGCTGGTGCGCTCAAGTTCAAATACACGTTTCATCACATGGCAGTAATAACATTGCACTTTTTTTTTTAGAGTAGTTATATAAACAGGATAATAACTTACACTTATAGAGACAAGTAAAAGTAGTATTTTGTTTCACAGATATCTGTCACTTAGTAGTCACATTAAGATTAAGGTTAACAGTTAGGCTAGAACATTGCATTACAGACCATAGCTGTTCGCTCTTATCTTTGTCTTGGGTTATACAGTTTTATGCGTTTAGTACAGTATGTCTGATCAGAGCTGCGATTTTAATTGTGCCGCGCTATTGAAGGTACTCCTGTGAAGTGGTCCGAGGGGGCACCTTAGGGCTATGTTAGCTGTGCCGCTTAAATGCTTCGCTGGGAATGGAAGTGGGCCCGCCGGGGTAGACTAAATTCAAGCTGTCCGATGCATACATAAATCCCCCTGTTTATGTGGTAGGGACCCTTAAGGTCATGGTTAATGCGTGATTGGGGGTTGAGGGGTCGCTAGGCTTAAGGTAGTAGGGTAAAGTTGTGGTGTTTTCTATTTTGCGTATGGCCGATTCCCGGGTGATATCCTAAGAAGCTACTCTCGTCTGCTAGGTGGGATTTCCCTGTACTTTTCTGGGTAACAATGTTACATGGGAATTCTTGCTTAGGGGTACTTGCTAAGGAGGCGAGTATTTGTGTGTTAGCCATCGCGTAATATACCGCACATGGAGCTCAGTATAGATTCTCATTTCAGGGAAACAAAGGCTACAAAAAAAAAAAAAAACGGTGAAAAATAACAGTTATGTGCCTTATAAGTGTGAAGTATTAGTAGATTAATTATTAAACAGACAGTGGCTATGAACGTGTTACTGCAGGTGAACAATCTCAAACTTGCCAAACAGAGTTACAAAGTTCCCTGGTGTTCTCCAGGTCAGAGTCCTGAATCATGTGATGGCGTATTTAATGAGAGATAAAAGGGGAGAAGAGGAAAGTAGAGTCCCCAAGGACTTGATAGTGGATTTCATCAACCGATGCCTTGCGGGGTATTGGTGGTGCCCTGGAGCAGTATTCCCCTTCTCGGCAGTTCAGTGTAGGCAGGTCATGGTGTTGCGGAGCTTGGAGGGTGCGCCCTTAGGCTCCATCTATGTGGTAACTGAGGCGTAGGTGACCGGTGTGGTGCTCCGTGGTCTGAATGGGGCACTTTTTGCTGGATCCCAGCTGTGGCTCGGGGTGGTGGGAACACCGGGTCCCGCTTGGGGGAGTGAATCCTGTGGCAGGCCCAGGGTTCGGAGAAGGGCCGCTGCATCTTGCATGCTGTAGATTTGGTGTGTTGTTTCACCTTGCTGTATCAGGAGCGTGTGCGAGGGCCGCCAGCGATACGGAATGTTGTTGCGCTGGAGTGTGGAGGTAAGAGGCCTAAGTGACCTGCGCCACGCCAGAGTTCCACTGGACAGGTCAGCATAGAAGGTTAGTTTAGCATTTTCAAATTGTATGGGGGCTTTACCCCGGACGGCTGTGAGGACCGCCGATTTGTCAGTCCCATTTTTGAAGGTGAGTACGGTGTCCCTTGTGGCCATGTCTGGGGCCCCAGCAGGTTTCGGAATCCGGAAGAGATCTGTTGGTGTTATGGCTTTAGCTTGGTCTGTGGGCAGTATGCTGGTTAGCAGGCGCTTGATCATGTGCGGTAGGTCAGTCTCCGGCAACCCCTCTGGGAGTCCCCTGACTTTGATATTGAGTCTCCGTCTTGAGTCTTCCTGGGTTGCGAAGCGCCGTTCATGCAGCATATTTTGGCTGCGCAGGTCCTGAATGTCGCTTCTCAGTGAGGCGATAGTGCTCTGCTGTTCTTGGGAGGTGGCCTCCAGTACTGCTATGCGCCCCGTCAGGCCCTGCAGCTCTCCCCTTAGTGCGGTGACATCCGCAAGGATGTTTTTTTGGAGGTCGGCTAGTAGGGTCTTTAACACCCAAGTGGTTACCAGGTCGGCATCTGGGTCCTTCCTTGGTTTGCTGGGTTTTGCCCTGGGCTTTGGGTCTGGGGTTAGGAGGCATTCATCTTCAGCTCCCTCTGAGTAGCCATCGGAGAAATCCGAGCAGCCTCTGTGGAGCGCCGCCATATTGGATCCGCTCGGGCCGCATGCTTGCCGCCACATTTCCCCTATTGTGAGTCCTGGGGCTGGATTATCCGGCATCTGTTTCTTGTGTTTGCGTCCCATTAGGGCTTAAGGGGTTCCCGCCTTCAGTTAGTGGTTGTGGGGGGTAGTATCGGTCGATTTTGAGCGTATTTTCGTCCGTTTTTGCTCGGAGCTCCTTAGACTTGCGTCTGCTTGCCTCCGCTGTTAGGCTCCGCCCCTCCCACAGCACAATTTTTTATCTTTCCAAAAACATGTGTAGCTTTTAAACAGTTTATAACTGCCAAGTTTGTGTATTGGTTCCCTTGTAATTTTAAGGGGCAGATGTTTCTAGTTCGATGAATGCTCTAGATATAAGCCTTCAAAGAAAATAGATTCCATAGAGCTGTTGCCTATAGGCCAAACAAAGTAAGACACCCTACAGCAGTGATGGCAAATATTGGCACTGCAGAGACTTACGACCTAAAACTGGCTGAGCGCATGGGAGGGCAGACAAGGGGAGCAGAAGGGTAATGCCATCCAAAGTATTGGCACACAGGTTTTGTGGGCCATAAAATAACACTATGTGAGTTTGTACTTAGCCTGCAATCTCATTGCTCTCCAGACCTGGACTGGTCAAGTGGGACATTTCCTGGGACACTGCAGTATCTTAGGTTGACAATGCTGCTAGGCTACGACGAGTTTGCATGGCGACTAGGGATGCGTTTTACAAATGGCTGTGGGTGAGTGTCTCGGTCACCTTCAGGTGTCCTTGCAGATTTAGTGAAACCGCGATGGGGACATTGTCACCTACTCTGGTGGCCCAGTGAAACATAGAATGTGACGGCAGATTAGAACCATTCGGCTCATCTAGTCTGCCCAATATTTCTAAATACTTTTAATTAGTCCCTGGCCTTATCTTATATCTAGTATAGCCTTCTGCATATCCCACGCATGCTTAAACTTCTTCACTGTGTTAAACTTTGCCACTTCAGTGGTTCCAGGAGAAGGTACGCCATGTCCATTGCTCCTGGTGCTTCATCTGCGAGGAGCTCAGGTCATTGATGTACTCTCGCGCATGTGGCACTGGTGCAAACAAGTCAGAACAAGAAATATAGTCTAGGTTTTTGAAGGCATGCAGAAATCTCTGAGTATGCTCCATCATGAAGTTCAGGTCATAATGATGGAAGTTGCAGGGATTAACAATATCAACCCTCGCCAGACTATGCACACTTATAAGGTTTTAATGCACACGTGATTGCACACTCTAGAGAAATGTCAAGAATTTTAAGACATTTCTCACAGTACTATATCAAACAAACAAGAAAATATGCCCTGTACACAGCAACTTAATGGATAAAGAACATTGGATTTCTGGGCAACATTTTTTTTAAAATTAGATTCTAATCAGTGGTTCGGACCAAGAGCAGGGTGTTCCATAAATCAGGTCTAAAGCAATGTGGGTAGAAAATCTAACGTTCCAACTCTGCACGGCATTCTGGGAGTGTGAGGGTGACACAATCTATCAGGGGTGCTAGTTTCAGAGTAAGTTTGATTTTTGTTTTTAATTTGTTTTGCCAAACGAAAGGTAAATGTTACACAATAGGATTTAGAGAAATTATCTAAATTAGCAGGTTGTTCTGGCACAACTCGGTCATCGCAACCTCATTATTAGTATTTCACGTACATGGTGCATTATATCATGGATACCCAGAATAAAATTTAAACAGCAATTGTAAGTGATCAAAACCAGACTAAATACACAACCCTGAGCAGGTTCTATCTATTTATTATACTTTTATACACATAATTGGAGGGGAAAAGTCAATCACAAAAAAATAAAGTTTGTCAAACATTATATTCAATAAAACATTACATTGGATAAGAATGTAGGCTATTTTTGATGCAGCATATATATGTACTTTGAAGAAGTGCCCATTATGATGGGGCCCACTCATGCCAACACTACTTTATTATTCTGACAAGATTACAAAGACCAGATGGCTCAGGTAGTATACAAAACGCACACAGTTGGAAAAGAGTATTCTGATTTAGGGCAGATAACCTCATACGGAAAGGAGTAGGAAACACAAAAATATTTTCCAACATTATCTGCACAAAATTCTTCACCGTCAACTGAATTATTATAAAACATTATTGCCGGTTTAAATCAGCTAATCATCTTGAGTCAGGCCATGCAACTTACCACTACATGAACAATATCTCACTTGTATTTAGAAACATTGGCATAAACCAGGATATAAGCTTGCTTAGATGTTTGGGGGAAAGAGGAGGGGGAAGGTTTTTTTTTTTTTTTAATAATAGGTGAGAAAAAACACTGGGGCATTATGGTGTTAGAATTTCATAAAAACTGCAAAACTCATGCAGGTTTAATTTGAATTTAATGCAAAATGAAATTCATTGAAAGCGGATTTGTCATGGTGATATGGGATAAAAATAAAGAAAAACTTTTTTCATTAAAATGTCCCATTTTCACGTTATCACTATGTAAATGGTAAAAAATCTACGTAGAGCCAATATGGGCTTCTCATTATAGTTACACTTTCAGATATTAGTTGGCTTCTCGATTTCTAACCTGAATTATTGTGGAATTCAGCCAACATACACACATATATATAAAAAAAAATTATATTATATATATATATATATATAAAAAAAATAAAAATAGAGAGAGAGAGAGAGAGAGAGAGAGAGAGAGAGAGAGAGAGAGAGAGAGAGAGAGAGAGAGAGAGAGAGAGAGAGAGAGAGAGAGAGAGAGAGAGAGAGAGAGAGAGAGAAAGCGCCGCTTCAATTTTTTCTTCAAAGAAAATATAGCTACATAATTGTATTATGCTAGAAAAAAAAACTGACAAACCGCTTTAAGAGTAAAAAAAAAAAAAAAAAGAAAAAGAAAATTCAAATCCACACATAAATATCATAAGGCTCACTGCCCTATACCTTTAAAAACCTCAAATGAAATAATGTCAGGATTCCTGTAGCCTCATTGTCTGAAAGTAGCATCAAACATCACGTGTAAGTTAGACAGGAACAAAAATATTTACAGAATCATTTTTGGATCTTCGTCATAAAATAATGCTAGAATTATATCCAAACACAGACAGCACAAAATACATTTTACGAGTTGCCGGATGTCTGTAATTTGAGATTTTTAGTTCAATGTCTTTTTTTTTTTTTTTATGGTTTACATAAAATTCCATTTATCTTCACAAGGTCACCAACATGTAAGTAGCTTAACATGTTAAAAGGGACAGTCTAAATACCATAACCACTACACACTGATGCAGGTGCTGCCTTCTAGGTTTGACTATTTGAGCAGATTGACCACAACAGAGGGTCTCCAAGGCCCCCACCGCCCAGTCCCCTATTGCCAACACAAAGTTTAATTTCTGTATTAGCAATTTTACTTTCATGCACATTTGGACAGCGTCGATAGACTGATTGGATTATCTCTAAACTACCCTTGTGACTCCAAAAAAAATACACAAAAACTGAGGATAGGATAATTCAGTACTGATTATAAAACTGAACTCCCCCTGTACTGCTTACACTCTTACTCACTGTTGCTCAGTCAGTGGGTTCCAAAACATTTAAAAAAAAAAATGCAAAGTGCGACTTAAGTGCACACCAGTGCTACACATTTATTTGAAGAACATATAAAAAGGACAGATGTTCTGGATTCACCCTTTTATCAATGCATAATGCCCTAGGACTATATTTCGCAGGTGTAATACTTTTTATTGTAACCTCAAACCTGATTTAAACAAAAAGGGATTGATATGAAATGCTGGATATTTCGAATTATATTTAATCAAAACTGGGGTTCATGGCACTCTCTCATACAAATCAATTAGGTGGGTGCCAACCAACCATTCTTCGATAAATAAAAGTGGACGTTCTATCCTGTGCATCTCCAAGTTTTGGAAGAAGCAACACTCAATGTCAATTCCTACACTATTAAGCATGCCTAAAAGTCTTGGAGGGTCCATGACGGGGGTGAATCAGTATAAATTTGTTAAACACTATACACCTCTGGGACGACTTGTGCGGGTCACAATTTTAAAAAGAATTTAATTTTTTTTTTATAATATATGGCGCTATTCGAAGGCATGTGACTGCTGTCCGCAAACTAAAGGGTCGAGGCGCACACACACAACGGTTTGACAACTCTTTTAAAGAAAGATGTCAGTGAGAACAGTGATCAGCACAGCATTTTTGACACTCAAATGATAAGTGAATAATGGGGTAGAGGTAAAGTGTAACCACGCACAAAAAAATATGGAGATGTATAATGTACCTCTGCCTTTTCGAGACTTAGGGTCTTAATTGAGGGTGCATATTGGGCAGAGGCATGTCTGTTATGAGTGGAATCTCACCTTCTGTGCACCTGAGAAGGCGTGGTAATAACATGACACATATGTCATAATAGCCTTCTTATCCGGCTTTAGCGTCCCTATAATATCTGCACAGAAAAAGGAAAAGAAGAGGTTGAAAGGATACAGTGAGAAGCAAAGAGCACAGAATTTAAACAGTCACATGACATGAGGGAAAAAAAATGGTCTCCCCAGCATGCATTATAGGGCGGGCCAGACACAGTTTATGCAATGATTTTACGGCCAAAATAAAAAAATAAAAAATGGAAAAAAAAATAAAAAATATGACACTTGTAGGGTTGGTACAGCATTCAAAATGGTATCCACTCATTTCTCCCCCATCCATCTCACTGCATTTAGTGTCCATCACTACAGAGCACAAAACAGTAAAGAACATGCAGTTTACTGGGTGCGGTAGAATTCAAAATACACAAAAATGCTGTGAATGCCAAAATGTGGCACTTTAATTCGTAAAACAACCAAAAAACAAACAAACAACGATAAGGTAATTCACGTACACATAACCATGACATCAAGAGACACACTTACAAATAACACATCCAACGTAACGACATATAACCCGAGTAATGAAAAAAGGGATTTCTTAAGACGACAAGACAAAAAACATTTTAGTGAAATAGGACAAGTTACAAATAACGAGTGACCAACACTTATCATCCAGATTTCGAACTAGAACAACAATAAATAGGTCCACATGTGCTATTGGACAACAACTATTAGTCTCCCTAAAAGAAAGTAACTTTGTAACTGGTCTCTTGAAGGAGAAGAATAAAAAAATACTAAGACACGTAACTTAAATAAAAAAATTAATAAATAAAAATAAAACATATATAAAATACAAAGCAAAGAGCTTATCTCATGCAGCAGATACAATTAATTATTTGAGCCATAGCCTGGGATACATAGAGACTTTCACATGAAAAGATGGTTCCAATGCAGCTAAAATTAGATATCGCCATTCTTAATTAATATGTCAACAGAAATTTATGGTTACTTTCATAGGAAATGTGTAGTTGAGACAGTGCAGAAAATGAACTAACTCTACAATGGTTTGCAATGAATTGATGGTTTTTAAGAAGAAATTATTTAACCCAGTAATACACCCCTGTCCCCACAATTAAATAAAATATAACATCCAGGCTTAGATATGCATTAAAGATGCATAAACAAAAGTCATAATAGAAATATATGTGAGTAAAGTTTGTGTATTGTACAAAGTACATGCTATTTGTGGTCAGATCTGTCACCGGGATTTATCCTGTTATGTTTATGGGATTTGTAAGGAAGTTAAAAAAGATGATACGTTAATCCAAATTGCTTCTATAAGTAACAGAAATTTTCTAAATGGTTGTCTGGCTTCTATCCAACGCTTTATAGTTCCCTGATTGTAGAGATATTGTGCATTTTTTTCTACAAACCGCCCACAATGATGGTATGACTGAGCCCATTTCCTGTCTAGCTTCAGAGGGTACGAAGTTCACTTGGCCATGGGGAAATAATTGTCAGGCCAGGGAGGAATTTAAAGCACTCATTTTAAGGCACTAAAGATTATTCAAAACTAAATAAATAACAATTTATACTTGTTAACTCCCAACTTCCCATTTTTATGCTTCAAAACTTTGATCTGATCCTCGTTCAGTGACGAACGCCTCTATCGGGAACTGACCAAGATTATCCCAGTCAATCCTTGGTTTTCCATTTAATCTATCTGAAAAATAGCTGGAGAACGAAACCATATTCACACATGGTAAGTTCAGTCACTCGAGAGATGCTCGCATTCATGAGTGATTTGCCATGAGCATTGTGTGCTTTTGCAATCTTTTTTTCCTATTCACTTAAAAACGGAGCGTACCAACTTACATTTCATTTGTTGAGCATTTTGGCTTTGGAAAAAATGACAATGGCAATGGCATTATAGTGACAGTTTGCTCTCCACCCCATAAAAAAAACTTAAGTTAAATAAATAAGTCAATAAATCTAAAATCTCTGGAACCACAACATTTTTGTTTAAGGAATTCATAAAAGCCAGAAATGCTTTCAAAGATGTGAAATTTAAGGCATGTTTTTTACTACGTTTCACTTTTAATTTTTTTTTTAATTTTTTTTTTTTATTAAGGACAGGACAGAGGGATCATTTTAGAAGAGCAAACTGGGAGGTTCAATAATTAGAGACTGTCCACAATCTGACAAACTGTAGACACATCCTGACGTATGCCAGAACATCTACAATTCAGACTAGGGGTGTCAGCAGACCTAACAGGAATTAGAATTAGCGACTTTTACAGATTGTCAAAACAAACCAGCCATGTAATAACCAACATTAGTGCTCTAATACACGCTCTTGTTAGAAAAAGCATGGTCATATTGTGAATCTATGATCAAAAAATAAACATGATTAAGGTAATAGAAGCAACTGTGCTTGGCTACCACTTTGAAAGACTGCCAACCCTATGAAGCAGAAAGGAGAACTTTCCTGGCGCTAAAACGGAAAAAGGGAGAGAAAGATTTGCACATTAGCCGCAGGAGTACAATGCTGGCTGGAGAGATCCTGAGATACCTTCTGGGCTCCTGAAAAGGCGTGGTAGAAGCTAGAAACATAGGTCATGATGGCCTTCTCATCTGGACGTGCAGTTCCAACAATGTCTGTCAAGAGAAGGTTTAGAGCAGGTCGTTTTAATGAATGAGATGGACAAGGTGAATAACAGATACTTAAACAAAATGGACTGCAGTGGGATACATATTTATCAAAAGACCACCTAAATCAACCATCAACTCTCCTAAAGCACGGTTGGTAAGAAGTGCATACGTGTTGGCCACTTGGCTAGGACAAAAAGACTACGGGGGAATAAAATAAAATTACTTCCTTATTTAAGGCATGGGTAGAACTGGGATTCGTAATAAACAAACAAACAAACATGTATTAGTTGCCCATGGCACTCTTGAGAAAGAGTGGAGTTCCAGGTAGGTACTTAGTTTGCCTGGAGGGAAATGGACAGGGTGAACAGATCCACAATATTTACCAGGACACACATATAATTTTGACAAATGTATGAAAATGCATGAAAAGGGTTGCCCTGCCGTATGCATAATGCACATTCTACAGGATTCTTCACTGGCTAATTACTTACTCTTCTACACCTTCTTCTGAATTCTACACATTTCAGGGCTACCCTTTTCACGTGCTCCCCATCAAAATATATATATAGAAAACATGGTGGATCTGGTCACCCTGGAAATGGACTTCTGATTATAGCAACTCTGTCATTGAATTATATGTAAAACTTCGCAGATATCTACAGATGGCTCAATGGTAACTTTCAAATCTACTGAATTCTACATACTATGCTCCAATTTAAAAAAAAAATGTAAATAAAAATGTATAACATTTAGTAGAAAAAATAAAACATTTGTAGGATTTATATTTAGATTAGCCTGGCTAAATGAGCAATAACATTCATGATGATTTTACAATATATAGCAAAATGCAAAAAAACAAAAGTATACTTTATAGAGGAGTATAAAAATGGACATATAAATACGCGCACACATATGCAAAAAAAAAAGTTATATTTTTTAAAAATTACATCCATATGCAAAAAATAAAAAAACAACCCACACACATATATACATATAGACAAAGACACATCCAGTATAGTTATAGCTGCATTTGCCACTAAACAAAGGATTATGGGTTGATGCATGCAAATGAGTACATGCATGGTAAAACCAAGTTTCCACCCAGCAAGGCGTTTAACTTTTTAAACATATGCCCGCTCTAGCAGACATCTGTAAATAACTACTTGCAAGGCATAGATGCAAAAGTATAAAAATAGCTCATTACAGTTCTCAATTACCTTCAGCATCCAACATCTTGGGAATGTCAAGGAACCGCTCTGCTACATCGAAAGCAGTGTTCAGATTTGTCAGGGGATCATCCTAACAACAAAAGGGATTATTAGATCAATGCTCAGCATCCGATGCAGTTATGCTAATAAATCCAAGCATCTTGTATAATCAAATAATGCATGTTGTCTGTATACTTTTGAAGCTGATCTCATTATGCAAACATTAGTAATTCTAACAAAAAAAAAAAAAAAAGTCTAAGAATTATGCTTCTGCAAGACAAAAAACAGCGGACATGCAATCCCATGAAACATTATCTTAAACAGATTTTAAGGGACTCTAAGCAACGTTTGTGGGAATGAGAACTATAGTCATCCCAAAAGCCGTATTGCCCCACTACAGTCTGTAATGAATGCTGCCGCCAGACTGATTTTCCTCTCTAGTCGGTCCTCTCACACCTCACCCCTCTGTCAGTAATTATATTGGCCTTCTGTATACTATAGGAGTCAATTCAAAGTGCTAACCCTTACCTATAAAGCATTGACCAATTCTAGCCCCTCATATCTCCTCAATGATCCATAGGTATGCCCCTTCTCAGTCTATCCGCTCTGCCCGTGACATTATCCTGTCCGCTACTCAAACCCGTACGGCCAACTCACGTTTGCAGGACTCCTCGCGGGCGGCTCTCTTCCTATGGAATAGCCTGCCTACTGCCATCAGACTGTCCCCTAGTCCTTCAATCGTTCAAGAAGTGCCTTCAAACCCATCTCTTTAGGAAAGCTTATGGCCTCCCAGAGTAACCTCTACCTCACATACCTGTCTCATGCACTCTCCTAAAAGGGCAGCACTCTACTCTCTTCTCCAGCTCTGCTTCACTCCCACCTTATTTGATTGCTATTTCCTGTCCTAATATGTTTTACACCCCACCTCCTATAGACTGTAAGCTTGTTGGAGCAGGGTCCTCTTCAACCTATCGTTCCTGTAAGTTCTCTTGTAATTGTCCTATTTATAGTTACATCCCGCCTCTCATAATATTGTAAAGCGCTACGGAATCTGTTGGCTTTCTATAAATGGCAATAATAATAATAATAATAATAATAATAATAATAATAAATGGATTTAGTCCTCCTGGTAAAAACTAAATACTTTTTTTTTTTTTTTTTTAAATACGCAAAAAAAAATTAAATACCTTGCTTCCTTTGATTCAGGAATATATAAGAATTACACTGTGCCATAAATAACATAAAATTGTGAATCTAAATACCAGAATATATTTTATTTCATGTACAAATATTTATTTTCATTGTACAGCGCAATGATTTTCTTGAAATTGCATTTTAACATAAAAGATTTAGCTGTAGGTTCATTTAATATGAACAATAATCAAAATGTATAGATTTTAGCAATATGAAAAGTATAGAACCTACACTCATTTTGTTCCAGGATTACAGAATTTACAGCAAAGGGCATAAATGTACCTTCCGTAACTTGCCGTAGTCTATGAGTTCTGGCCGATGTCTATGAATGAGTGCGCAGAAGCCAAGACCATCTTTCCAGCTGTAGAGACAGTACAAAACTATTATAATCAACAAAACAAAGATACAAACACAAAGTGTACAATATGTGATAAAATAAAAAAGGAAAAAAATAAAATACAGATATAAATATATAGATGTATAATATTGGATGGTTAAGATATATAAAAAGATATATATGGTGAAAATTTTTTTTTTTTTTTTAAATGTTTACAATTCTGGCCTAAAAATTAGAACATTTTTAAATCATGCCACATGAGAATAATTGTAACTTGAAGCTTTCCCAGGAACAGCTACGGGTGGATAATTAGAATTCGGAAACAATGAGATACATTCTTGTTCCTTCTGAACATCCTTAACATTTCACATCAATACTTTTCTGTGACTTTAGTATGGCACAGATGGTCTATTAAGGCTTCCAGACATAATATTAATCTATTAAACAACATTTTCAAACAGGATCATTAAAGTGACACTATAGTCACCAGAACAACTACATCTTATTGCATTTTTTTGGGTGAGTGTAATCATTCCTTTCAGGCTTTTTGCAGTAAACACGGTCTTTTCAGAGACCATGAAGGGTTTAAATTACAGCCTAGGGATAACTCCACTGGCCACTCCTCAAATGGTTGCTAGAGGTGCTTCCTGGGGAAGTGCTGTACAGAGTGCATTTCAAGATGTGAAACTGTAAGCTTTGGGTAACCGCTAGGTAGTACTCATGTGTGCTCTGGTGAGTTTGTAGCCAGCCGTTGTCAGGAACAAGCAATAGGCAATGTGGAGGTAGTCCAGGAGCCAGGCAATTGTCTCCAGGGGAGGTCTGGCTGTTAAGCCTGTGAGTTGCCCATATGGGTTTAGCCGATGCCCATTGAGTGCTGAATACTCTCCAGGCACGAATGGAGTGTTCAGTTCCTTATTGGCAGTGCCCCCCGAACCTCCATTACCAACACAGTGAGCAGCACTGCCATTCAGTGTCTCCACCCTCTGCATGCAGACACTGAACTTTGCTTATAGAAATGCATTGATTCAATGTATCTCTATAAGGAGATGCTGATTGGCCAGGGATTGACTTGTGCTGGCTCTGCCCCTGATCTGCCTCCTTGACAGTCTCAGTCAATCCTATGGAAAAGCATTGTGACTGGCTCACAGAATCACTTCTGATGAGGTCAGCCAAGCAGACAGATCAGAGGCAGAGGCAGCAGCTGCAGACCTGAATACAAGTAAGATTTTACTATATTTAGGGAGGCAAGGGGGGTGCCCGATGGTGATTTAAACACTATTGGGTCAGGAATACAGGTTTGTGTTCCTGACCCTATAGTGCTCCTTTAACAATATTAATGAATGAATCCTCAGATTTCTAGAAGTACATTTTGGGTATTCCACATACATCACCACTGACCTGATGTGGAAGTTTTGGATATTTACATTCTTGTATGGCGCAGTTTTCCTCTGACACCATAACAGCAAACCTTCTTTGGCCGACGTTTCTATGAAAAAGGTAACATACATACCATGTTAAAAGGTTGTTAGGGATATATAGAATGATAGTGGGTGAGAGATGAATTATTAAAACAGTGATGTAACATATAGACTATACACGCAAGGTTATACGGTTTCGTCGACTTAATACATAAATGCATTACAATCATTGCACACAATTCTGGCAGGTTGGCCATACATCTGCTGTAGCATGCAGCCACAACAGCTACCTCCTGGACTTAAACGTCTATAGCTTTTGACCAATTAGGGCTAACCTTGACACCAAAAATGGTCACTAACCACCAACCTAGATCAAAATATACTGGATTGTTTGATATAGGTTTTCACATTGAAAAATATACCTTGCCAAATTTTGTTTCAAAATGGTTTAGTTGCCTCAACATGTAAAAGTTGGCATTCTAGTGTAAAGATCATATGAAAGATGTTTGGACCTTCCTTTGATCTACGTATCCCTTTAATGGGACTTTAATTTAACTTAGTTTTTTTTTATTTTTATTATTTCTAATGCAGTGTATTTTTTAATTCTTTATTTTTGTTGTGCATAAGATTGGTATACATGTGTATGCCAATCTTATGCACAACAAAATAAAAGATTTTTAAAACATAGTAAAACATAGGCAATTCAAATTGTAAAGCATTGTGGCACATGAGGAAAACTGCACAGGTATTTTATATTAAACATGTTTAAATTGTTCCAGTCAGTGGTTGCTTGATCAAGAGAGGTAGAAAGGTATATTTTATGCACGTTGACTGGGATGTAACAAGGTAGGTTACATTAAAATATGAGTGTGTTTCAAGATGTGAAACTGTAAGCTTTGGGTAACCGCTAGGTAGTACTCATGTGTGCTCTGGTGAGTTTGCAGCCAGCCGTTGTCAGGAACAAGCAATAGGCAATGTGGAGGTAGTCCAGGAGCCAGGCAATTGTCTCCAGGGGAGGTTTGGCTGTTAAGCTTGTGAGTTGCCCATAGGGGTTTAGCTGATGCCCATCGAGTGCTGAATACTCTCCAGGCACGAATGAGTGTTCAGTTCCTTATTGGCAGTGCCCCCCGAACCCCCATTACCAACACAGTCTGGTGTTCTGAGTTTGCAGGTTTCGTTGCTGTATGCGTCCAGGGCTTGTGCTCGAGTTTCATGACAGCATGCTGCTTGAACTCGGGTAGGGTGTCTCTTTAGATGCGGTGTAGTGAACTCCCGGGGGGAGAGGGTTTTTTGGGGGGAGAGGGTCTACCCCGTGCAGCACTCTGCTCTGATGTAAGGTGGCTTTCCGCTGTTCTGCGGCCCTGAGGCCATCGTCTGTTCCTTCGCCTTCTCCCTCCACCGTTCGTGCAGCACCGATGTTCCGTCCAGGGTCTGAAGGTCCCTGTGTGGTAACACTCGGGATGGTGTTCTGTTGGGTCTGCTCGATGGTGCCTCTGCGGCGGGATAGCGTGTCCCAGAAGGCAACAAACAGGTGATCGAGTCGTTCTGAGGGGGCAGTGGAGAGCTGGATGCAGGGCTGCATGTGGTGATGTTTCCCGGGATGTCCCTCACCGGCAGGGGGAGAGGGGGAGCTTTTGCTTGAGATGCCCCCGGGCAGGCACGCCACAGCCTCCCTTGTGCCTTCCGAGCAGGACTCCGCAGGCCTCAGATCTATCTCGAGGTAGGAGCAGCTGATTACAGTCGTGAGACCTGCTGCTTGTAGCCGCAGCGTTAGCACCTTGTGTTCGGGATTATAACTTGGCAAGATGTAGGGCTTTAGCTGGAATTACGGCTATATTTGCTCACTTTAAAGCTAAACATACGATACATATTTGTATGAAGACTACGATCAATATCGTAAAAAAGTATTAACATATACATTTAAATGTCGAAAACCTTTGTAAATGTTCTTTAAAATTACAAATATTAATTAGCACCCACATCATTGTCAAAGTTACACCATTGATTGTACAATTTAAAAGTGAAAATAAATACATTTAATATTAAACAAAATGTAAATTACACAAGCATTTTCTGTTCGATTAACTAAATAAAAATGTTAAAAAAAACAAACAAACGTCACCTTCAACAGAAATGTCCTGGATAGCAAACCGGAGGATAATCGTCCAAATCATTCCCAGAGTCATTTTAGCATTTCCATCTACAATTTCTAAAAAGAAAATAAAGATGTTTTATGATGATTTGTTTAATATAATCACTCTGTATGTCAGACAAAAAAAACAAACAAAAAAAAAACGAGTCCTGATTGTCTTTTACAGAAACACACAACCACCTGTTTTTGTATGTTAAGGTGCATATAAATTATTATTTTTTTTAAATAAGCAAGCGACCAAGCGTCCATCTGCCACCAATTTACATGTTAATTTGGAGCCGCAGCATCAGAAATCATATAATACTATTTTGGCTAAGGTTCAAATCCTGGTCATGCCACCTATCCAGTAAGTACCCCTGAGCAAGACATTGAATGATATATATCCGCCTAAGTCAAAGCCTCATAAATTGTAAGCTCCTTTAAGCTGGGCTTTTTTCACCTCTAAATAGCCCCTTTCTATGATTTTAAGGCATTGCAGAATATCTTGGTGCTATGTAAATGCTAAATACAAGAATAATGTAAAAAGACTGATTGGTAGGCTACAACAGAATGGTAGAACTCTTATAAGTGAATATAGTTAAACAAAGAATGAGCGATTTAGGACGTTCTCTCAATAGCTCTAGAATCGCCTGTGTTTCTGTAACTCTTGCTTAGTCACTTTTTATGTTATTAAAAAGGTTTAATTCAGGTCCTGCATTTACTCGATATTTGATCTTGTTGATTTCATTCATTAATAAAGCACAACTAACACGCTATGCAACAGAATATTTAGAAAATTATATTTCAATATAAATTATATTCACACCCAGTATTGGCTAACATTAAAAAAAAAAAATCACCCACTATCTTTACTTAACAAAGAACTGTTTATAATGGTATTAAACTCAAAATATATATTTCATCGCTATGTTTTAGGCTACAAAACACCCAACATAAAATGGTAGATATTGCAAACAAAACTCTTTAGAACAGTTTTATAATAAGAATGACTTTCTAGATTTTAAGTCAAATTTAATATGGCAGCCACCCAACTAGTAAAATAAATGTAAAAAATTATATAGATAATAAATGAACAGGAAAAATGAAAATAACTTGAACTGAATACGGAAAATTATTTTTGACTTGCTTATTAGCACTTCCATTAAAAATGGTAAAACCACGTAAATTGTAGTAATATACTGAAAGAATCCTCCTGTATGGGTCATCAAATTCTATTTAAAAAAAAACTCACGTTTTGAATTGGGGCATATTCACCTTTTGGCAAAAAATATTTTGAATCATTTGAATAATAGAACTTTGACGAATAAAGCTTTTGAAACAAATGAAGTCTCGAAGACATACAAAACAAAAAAAATACCTAAATTAAGAAACGGTCACGGTTATGTCAAACTGAAAAAAGGAAACACCTGCTCTGTGAGCACAAACGCTAAGCAGTTGAGGCCAGAGTACTATTATTTGTACCCAAGGAGATTTATCTCCACCATCAGAGAGACAATGTGATTCAGGAGTCAGATGTATAGATAAAAGGTTGTTTAGGAGCTTATAATTTATATTCGTGCAGCGGGGGCCCCACAGTAATGGCAGCAGTTATAAGGACTTTAGAAAGAGTAACAATTCGATATTAAGCTAAGAAGTCCCGGTTTCACAAATTTAACTACATGAGTAAAAGGTCAGACAGAGATTCTCTGTCGGCCTTGTAAAACATCTGAATTAGATGCAGAATCTGCATAATTTAAACAGGCATTCTAGAAACAATATTTCACACTTTCTATATTCTAACACACACACACCATCTATGTTGGTATATTAAATAAACAGAATTTCCAAGGATTTGACACAATTTCGATCAGCACATTATTACGGTTTAGAATCAGAAGTAGCACAGCATTAAGCATTTAACAAAGGTTAATTGCGATCAAATTAATACTTCGAGATCCATACTTATCTGTAATTGGGGCTCTTCGGACGTGCACATGTTCTTACAAACAAACAGCTAGCAGGTATGTACTTCTGATGTAAGGGTTTGAAATAAATGTTTCCACAGACTGTGCTGAATATTTCTAAAACATACACAGAACACACAAAATGTAGAAATCTTACCTTCTGCACCAATAGACACCAACTTCACCCCTTTACTGGCAATAAAGTCCAGGGCTTTGTTGACATTGGAGATTTTATGTACACGCATCTTGCCTCGCTCTGGTTTGGGCAAACGCTCACCTATTCCGTGGTAAAAACAATTCAATAAGATATATTGTTACCTGTGGGTTAATTCATTGTATTTAGAATCCCAATGTATTCATATCATCAAAAGCAAAAGGCTATTTGGCAAATACAATGATCTAGGAAACATCTCACCAGAGATCCATGTCATGGTGTCTCCCAAGAGTTGTATGTTGGAGATTTATAAAACAGGACGCGAATAGAAAGGGGAGGATCTCTTGGAGCTATGGTTACCCAACTTCTTACTATTGGTAAACATGTAGAATCCTTGTTAAGGCATTGGTTAATTTAGATTTATATTTACCTTTCATTTATGCAGCTCTGCAATACAAACCTTTACAGAAGGAAATTTGTTTGGTGTCACTTTTTGGATAAAGGGACACTATAGTCACCAGAGCCACTACAGCTAAATGTAATTTTTCTGATGGGTATTTTTTCAGAGAAAAGGCAGTGTTTGCCTTACTGCCTAGGGATACCTCCAGTGGCAGTCACTCAGACAGCCACTAGAGGTAATTCCTGGATCAGTGCTGCACAGTCTGCAGCACTGATATTCAATGTCTCCAAATTCTGCATGGAAGCGCTGATCGGCGCAGCGTTTTGCCGCGCATGTGCAATAATCTCCCATTGCTTTCCCATGGGAATGTATTGGATTGGCTGAGATTGTCAACTAGGATGATCTCAGCCAAGGAGCAGGACCAACGCTGGACTGGTATAAAGTGAGGGGTGGGGGCACCGAAATAGTGATTTTAACACTATAGGGACAGGACTACATGTTTGTATTCCTGAACCTATAGTGTTTCTATAAAGGGTTACTACAAGCACCATTAACACTTCAATGATTTGCAGTGGTCATGGTGCCTGAAGGCTGTATGTGCAGTATTTTGCTTTAAAATGCTGCACATTTAGAGATGAACCCCTTAGCTGCCATTTTTTATTTTATATTTTATGTTTTTTGGAGTTTTTTTTAAAGGGCAATCCACCTCAGAAAAGGGTCCATATTAGGGTTAATAGCTTTCAAATAAGTGATTAACAGAGAGAAGTGAAACAAACTTTAGATAACGTTCCTGGCAGGACAGCAGTTTGAGCTCTGTGATGAAAGTCACACGGAGAATGCTCACCTGAAATGACTTCAAGCAGTAACATGAGTTTAAGGCCATCTCTGAAATCTTCGTCTATATTCTCGATCTGTGTACCGGCTTTACGGAGATGTGAGTTACACCACGCTGTGAAGGTCTGCAAAGAGAAAAAGATACCAAGACAGTTAATATCTTAATAATGCACACGTTTTCCATTGGCATACACAAGTTAGAGCACTCAAGTTTATTTGGACCACCATCCTCACTATGAAAGCACTAGCCAACAGCAGTAGCCAGAAGAGGTCATCCCTTGCTGAACAATTGTACAGCACTACGGAATTTGCTAGCGTTAAATAAATAAAATAATAACAACAACAAGGAATCCACACTCTATAAGGACACGCATATGCTGAACAGTAAAACACTAAAAACCTTTACGGCGATGGAGTGTTAACTTGGTGCTGCTATTCACACATAGAATTCACAAATGCTATTCACAAATGCTATTCATTGTAACGAAATGGTCCAGCACACGGAAGTAGTGATTAGCACTCCAGGGTCCTTGCAAAGGGCCAGACCCCTAAATCTCTAAGTCATGTTTGGCCATTTCTGCTGAAGCATATCTCCAAACATTGTGATCTGCTTGATATTTATGGAAAATAATTTATACTTTTTTTGTTGTTCAAAAGAATGTACGAATCTTGAGGGTTTAAAAAAAATAAATAAATAAAAAAAAAAAAAAAAATTAATGGTTTTTTTTTCTTGCAGGTTATTCACATGAATGAATAAACTTTGTAGTGGTTCTAACATTTTACATTAAATATACCTTTCAGGCCTGAAAGCAATCATTGCATATATTTAAACCTAACCTTTGTGCAATATCGATTAAACACTTGCCTAAAGGGGAAAAAAAATAAATGTTTGTTTCCCACAAATGAACGCCTACCCGTGTACAATGAGAGAAATGCTTTAAACACCTTAACATAAATGGCTTTTATCAAACCGCACAATGAGGCAATTTAATAAGAGTTATAGGTCTTTTCTATTAAGTTTACTGTTGCTAGCGGCATTCGTATAGCGAGCAGACCATGACATATGGTAGGAAGACACATGGTGGCGTTTCGATTCGCTGTTTATTTTTAACCAACCAAAGCTCAACCTACTTATAGTCCAAAATGGCAACTACATCCAATAACACTTACCTTTAATAGAACCTCTTTATATAAAATAAAAAAAGAATAGAAATAAACAACTAAAATGTATAAAAAAAATTGTCTCAAAAACTACGGTGCAGTGTTCCTCCACAGAGCACCAGATTTTTTCGTACAAAGGCAGAAGCATATTTGAATCCATATGACAAGATTTAATATGTGTGTGTTTTCAATTAACATCAAGCATGCTACTGTTACACTTGATTAATACTGTATAATATTATTCAGTCATGATATAAAGCAACAGGCTCCCTGAATAGCTTTTTTTTTTTTTTTTTTATTAAAACCATTATCATCAGCTAATGTAATAGTCCATCATTGCCATTTTTTGTCTATTCAAAGTCATTGTAGCATCATGTTCAAAACGTTCCCCATTATCGTCGTTCGGCTTATGTTCTCTGTCATTCTAGCGTAGAGTTGCCAGATGTCAATGAAAGCATTAACCTTCTCATTACATTGATGCGTTTTCCTAGCCTTCGCTCATCTGGATTGTAATTTAATAAAAACAGGTATTTGCAATGCATCTGCTTGCTTACAACTCACGCCACTCAATAGTGAGGAGTCTCAGACAAAGATATGGAACGGTAAGTGTGCCGACTGCTCTACGAGTGCCGGAGTGTTTCATGGGATCGTGTGTTGACAATCCATTTGTATCAAGACAGACATTCATTAGAACAGTCTCAGTAACCATATGGCTTGTTTTCTAAAAGAGACATCAAGATGTTTGCACACATTCCACTGTCCCACCACCCCACTGTAAACCCTATTTTCTTTTTCAAATTTAAGCCGTGGGGGGTGGAATCTGTGGTATTTTAAGGACCGGATGTTTAGCGTTCTTACTTTGTACATCTGCGTGAGGGTCTGGAATAGAGTGCAAATTGGTGGCTGGGATTTTTAACGTAGTCTTTTATTCTAGAATCAGATACACTGTGAATGCAGATTAGAGAATATATACACAGTTTGTCTAAACACGCACAATGTCATGGGCCATAAAAAATGTAGACTCCATTCTAAAAAACTGCCACCAAGGTAAGGACAAAATTCGGGGTTTGGATAATTTTGGAGTTTTAGGGTTTGTTATTTGGTCAAGAGTTGCTTTCAACATGTTTTGAACGGTTACTCAGAAAATGATAGGGTAGGAGATACCTGCCTTCATGGCGTTTAGGACTGTAACCCCGAGTACCCAACAATGCCTCCATAAATCCCTGCGTGGATCTTATGAAAATCAATCCCGTGGGTACATTAAAAACACTCTGCATCTAAACATCAAATTCATTGCTCAGATCTCAGATCTGTAACTTGAGACGTGGTGCATACACAGATGGTGCCACTTACTCTCCAAACATTCGGGTACACAGGAGACTTGCACCAAGGAAGAGAAGGATTAGGATCCCACAGGCTACCTCTCTAACTGCATTTGAAAGCCTTGACGGTGCACTGGGAACAAAGCTGTAGACTTTAATTGATGGAGCAATAAATATCCTATGTATGAAATTCCAGGATAAATTATTTTCATATCACTTTGTCATGGGTCCATGCAACTGCCCTAGAGATACTGTGGATTTCACCATTCCTTTACACGGGGGTATTAAACCAAATTACATATCTGCAAACCTGGCTTACATGAGAATTTAGCAGGAAACAGCCTGATTTCTTGGTACAACGATTCAAATATTTGTTTGGTTTGACGAATATTTCCTTTACTTGTACCAAATTGCGACCATCATAGATTTGTACTAGATAATGAGTGAGTAGTGGTGATTTCATCAATATCTAGATAGAGACTGGAATAGACCATTTTATATATTGCATGAACTTTTTTCCTTAACACAGTTAATGGTTTCATCCACTGGCCTCAACATGATTTTTTTTTATTCTACAGTATACAAAAATGTTTAACCCCTTACGGACACATGACGGAAATATTCCGTAATGATTCCATGTTATTCCAGAAGTTGTGCCCTTAAGGGGTTAAGCTGTTTGTCACTTTGTAATTGGGTTAACATTTTCACCCACTGGATGACAAAGGGATACAAATTTGCCATAATTGGTTTAACAAATGAACAAGGGTACCTGCAAAAATAAGTTTTGCTCATGTATCATATAAATATAGGTGGATAATCTCCATGAATAGGAACAAGATACTTGCTCCATCCTAGGAACTAACAGAGTTACCTCTTAACTTATAGAAATGTGAAAAACTAGCTAGCTTCTAATTGTATTGCATTATGTTTTTGCATCTGTTTTTTTTATTTTTTTATTATTTATTATTTATTTTTTGGGAAACATGTTGCAATGCTATCTATCCCTTCAGATCCTTTTTGCTCTTTGTACTTTTTGAACTAACTCTTGCAATATTTCTCTTCTATAATGCACTGCCTAAAACCTAAATAAATGCTAAAATAAAAATCATTATTACAGGGGCAAGTAAGACCAGCCATTTTCTAGAAATGTTTTACAAGGTTCCCAGTGATTACGTTTCTCAATGATAGTTTGTAGAAATTGTACAATACAGTTACTAGAAAGGAGTTTATTTAATTGCACTTTAAAAGCCACAGCACTAAGGAAGTCCCAAGCTGAAAACAGAATGTACTGCAAATTATTTTCCATCTATAAAAGTCAGCAGTTTACAACAGTCACACCACGCCACACTTCCTAGACTTAAAACACAGAGAAGCTTTTGAACCTAGATGGTTTTGTTTCCTGTCAGAATGGACAAAAATCTACCTGTATAATTCAGTGCTACAGTGTATTGAGAGTCATAAACAGAGAGCCAGATCTGTGTGTGTACTGCTCATATGGGACACAATGCATATAGACATGGGTAGCCAATGGCTAGCTCAACCACAGCCAACACAAACATCAGACAAGCCAAACGCTGGCTGAGAAATTAAAGGTTAAGGTCCTTTGCTACTTTGTGTCTACCATGGTTTTTATCTCATTTTCATAGATAGCATTTACTTTACATATGAAAAACAGAAGTTTATGCAGAATATACTTTTTCAGAGAGATAATGGAAGCTCCTAAGAAGGAACTTGCAGCTCTCCTGGACGCTGAGAGGAGGCGGGGAGCAACGCCCGCAGTGCCCAGGTAAAAAGTCAAATAACTTTTGATTACTTACTTTGAGGCGGCACCAGAGTGCTCCTCACACCATAACCACTAGAGCACAATGTAGTGGTTATGGTATTTCAACTAAAAATCATAAAATAGGAGTAATGTCTGGAGATCGATTATTGTGTCTAGTTATTTTTCATTAGACTGTAGATTGTATGGACTACAATATAAAAATTTAAATAAAAATCAGGTTTTTAACACGATAAAATGATAGTATGTTTGAAAAGTCTTTCTTGTCCTACATGCAGCGGCAGAACTACCAGTGGTGCACCGTTGCCCAAGACTGTTTGGGGGCCCTCAGCTGCTCTTTGGAGGGAGTAGAGGGGACCGGTAGTTCTGCTGTTTTGATTGTGCGGCCGATTGTGGAAGCCCTCAAGGTTGCACCAGACCTCAGAAGAAGCTCCCTCCTGCACACGCAACTGTGTTCAATTGCCGGCATTGCACACAAATGCCCTTGCATTTAAATGCAAACACTACATGCAAATACACTCCTGCCTTCAAACACCAACACAGCATAAGTTAAACACACACACACACACAACCTGGTTACAAATGCAACCCTGCAAGAATGAGCATTGTGGGAATTGTGTCTACCTTTTGGCCAACCTTTCACCAGGGCCCTGTCTACATGAGTTCCACCACTGCCTACGTGACCAGCTAAACTACATGGAAACATTAAACTTTTTTGGTACTGACCAGCCCATTCCCATTTGAATTTGAAGTTATATTTTACCAGAGACCTGTGTCACTCAAATAAAGCATCTTCTTTATATAATCTTTCAAAGCTGTGCTGACATCTTCAAAGACTACAACACTTAGATTACGAAAAACAGGATATTCTAGATGACAGATATAGATCCCTTAAATGGTTTGGAGTTATTTGCTGTGAAAACGGCATATCTGCTCTAAAAGAAAGGCGAATCTCATGCATGAATTGGCTCCTCTGGCTTTTAAAGCAGCTTTGTCACTTTTTTGATACCTGAGATCCCAGCGGAGGGTTCCCTTACTCCGGAAACTCTGATCCCACCAACCAACCTTTGTTTGGCCCTGGGTCCAATGTAACTTGTGTTTTTTGGTTTTTTTATTAGTTCTTGTCTTGCAAGGTCTTCCTCAGCACCAGCTTTTAAAAAAAAAAAACTTTTTAAAACAGACATCTGGAAATCACACCTGTGCACCAATGGGCTTTAGCAGACCTCAGTTGACCATCTTGATAATGCGAAGGTCAACAGGATCAATGACACCTGGAGTGTACTTATGTATAACTGCAGGTTGACAAAAAGTCGAGCTTTAGTGATGCTCCCCTCTCAGACCCTGCAACACTCATCCCCAATTCTAAACTTCAAAGTCTCTCTCACACTACACACACTGCACGCCCCTTGCAGTGTAAGGCACTATAAAGGGGATCAACTTTGTTACGGTGATTATCTGTACATGGCTCCGTGATGTTGTCCGATTTATTAAACGAGAGAGAAGATGGCTGTTCAAAAGCTGACCACTTTAAAAGAGAACAGATCTCCATCTTAATCCAAAAGAGTGATGATGGAACTGTGCCCACCCCCAAATAATAGTGAATAAAAAAATATATTTTTTAAAATATATATTGATATTTATTTTTCCCAATACAATAATCTGTGATATATTATAAACATGGTAACCACACTTGAGTGTTTGGCGCAGAAGGGTGAGTGTACCATCAGCGTAACACTGATTGATCCTGTAATAGGGCACTGCCAGCATGCATCGCTTATGCAGTTATGTATATCATTTATCACTATGACAAGCGCTTTATTAACTGAGATGTTCGAACTTAAAAGGGAACCGGTCATGAAAAGTCAGTATTAAATGGAGCCCTAATTTGTGGGTTGTAATCCAATGTGAATATCCTAACCAAACAAAATTGTTGAGCCAATCCCGGCCCTCCCTTTGTTTATTAGAGACTGCAAAAACCTGTCAAATTAGGTTCACGTTTTTATGCAATTTAATTTTTATACATGCACTGACTGGGTTAGTAGATGTGCTTTCAAGTTAATGGAATAATTCACTTAAGTGAGCAGTTCTTATCAGGAAATTACCAGGGACTTTGGTAACTGGTACCTTAAATGACAAAATACAACAACGTTGATATATTCAGCATTACCTACAGATCATTGAAAGATACCCAGTCACAGCAGCTCAGAAAGTGACAAGTCCAAGTCTTAACTCTCCAGTGATGTTTCCTGGGATTCTTTTTGTAATAAAGATACTAGACACTTATCCCCTAGATCACAGAACTACTAGATGACTTGTGTGGACTCTCAATGTCTTTCTTGAGCTAGCTTTCACAACAGTCAAATATGCAAATTGCTTACTTTATGTATAATGTGCAACTATAATGGTAACAGAGCTGCAACTGTTTGCAGTGTGTTTTAGACTATATAATTGCAAAAAAAACTCCTATTAAGTAGTAGTTTAAAAAAAGTTATGCACATTGTTGCCTGTGAAATAAAGGAGATCCATGATTGGCTGAGTAATTCCTTGCAAATTTGAATAATTAAAGAAAACCCATTCGTAGTATAGAGCAAGGGTAGGCAACCTTTGGCTCTCCAGGTGTTGTGGACTACATCTCCCATAATACACTTGCAGCCATAGTAGTGGCAAAGCTTCAGGTGAGATTTAGTTCACAACAACATCTGGAGTGTCGAACGTTGCCTGTGCCTATTATAGAGTGACTGACGTCCCCTTTGACATGGAAAAAGCACACACACAAAACACATCCATTCTATTCTAATGTGTAATTACTGCAATTACTAACCCTACATGCTCATTTCTAAATGGCAGAGAAGGAAGAATTCTTGGCTCACCTATAATTATTCCCAGGAACAGTCTTTAAGTAGTTAATTGCCAGATGTCCCTGTCAGTGCTTTATTCTTCAATAATGTGGAGTGGGGGGTTGTTTGTTGTTCAATGAAATTACATCAGTGATGGTATAACATTGGGCGCTGTAGCGATTGTAACCACAGATTTGTATATAAAAAAAAAAAACCATAAAAACAAAAAAAACATTCCTCTTATGAATTGCTGATTATCACAGGAAATTTACTCCACAGAAAGGGAAGTCATTATTGAGAGGACCACTCACTGGATAAATAAATTACAAAAAATTTAATAAATTATATATTATATATATACATACATACACACACACACACACGAGAGTATAATCATATAGTCACACGAGGCCAATATTTTCATAAAAGTTATGCAAATTTTTTTTTTATTTTTTTTTAACAAAAACAGATAATTACACCATATTCGATGTGTTTAATGGACGCTGGCGGAGAATATAAATATATCTGCCAATTTAGTCAACAATTACTGCTGATCAGATTGTACACATAGCTGTTCAAATGCTAATTAATTCATGAATGCAACTCCACGCCTTGCTTCCACTTATTTGTATAAGAGTAGTAAAATTATTTTTTAAAAAGTGGGCTGATCTAAATTTAGTTTGAGCTTCCATTAACCCTTTTAATTAATCTCCTTTGCAATGTTGGAACCAAATCAATAAAATTAAAAAAAATATACTCTCAGCCAATCCTATATTTTATACAACGTTTCACCGAGAATATAAATACACACACACACACACACACACACACACACAACTCTTGCTTGTCAATTGGCTTTGACAGATACACGGCAAAAATATAAGCAAAAGACCAGACACTTTGCAATAACAAATAAATTTATATTTTTGTGTTACTTTCAAACTTCCAAATTTTTAAAGGAAAATATGAGGGGAAATTTTCAGGTAATTTACAACATTCAGTGAAAAAAAAATAAGGTGGTTATTTATGGAGGTCATAACCATCAAAAAGGAGTCGGGGAGGGGGGGAGGGGATTAATAAATTGTGATTTTTTTCTTATTATCTTTTACAAATGGCATGCTTGTTACAAGGTTTAGATTCTGATGTTTGCTGATAGAAAGCTCTTACATTAGCCAGATACAGGACAAATTCTGAAATACCAAATGTGTTGTCTGCTAGAATCCAAATGATAAAAACTGAGTTTTTCTCACCGAATTCTCACTTTTATTAAAGGCCAGGTTAAATCCTATTATATATACTGAAAGGGCACATCTCATTCAATATCATCCAGGAATAATAAAAAAAAAATAAAATAAAAAATTTATAAATGGGAATAAAAAAAAAAAAAGGATTTGCATAATTAGCAAACACAGAATTTCAATTCACTCTGATAGCAGGCAGCCAATTCGGTCTAATTATCACTGTATCTGAGCATTCAGTTGCAGATTAACTTAATTTGGCCCAGATTTAAGTGCTTCACTTGCATCCTGTCTACATTCCCTGTAATTCGGAGACTGCTTTGCAAAAATGTTGAGGTCGTCCGGATTTGTTTTGTAAATACGGGCTGGGGTGCAAAATATTGCAGGCCCCTGAAGTCCAAAGAACATTTGCTAGCCTTTATCTGTGGTTTTGGCTGCCAGCGGTTCCTGGGAACTGGAGCCCCAGCTGGAGGTGTGGAATTTACCTTTAGATGCCCCTTTTATTGAAATTTAGTGGCCGAATATGGAACTCAACAGAAGTTTCATATTTAAAGGGACACTTAACGCACCCAGCCCACTTTATCCCATCGGCGTGGTGTCTTGCCGCTCACTTTAGCCCTGCAATGAAAATCATTGCCGTTTTATTGATAAGACTATGTTTACATTACAGCGTTAAACACACCTCTAGTTGTTTCCTTCCCGACAGCCACTAGAGGAGCTCCCACTATTTTGACTTAGCTTGACTCTGTCATGTGACATTTGACTTCCTTTAGGACATCGGACACCATCAAATGTTGCTCATAGGGAATTGGACAAGTTCTGTGCATGTGCTTCTTGTTCCGAACACGTTTGTGTAGTGTTCCTTTAACCTAGATCAGGTTTGAGTGTGTTTACATAGATGAAACAATGATAAACACATTTTAAGCAATAATTGCACAAGTCCAAGCATGTGATAACTGTTTCTCTTTCAAAACACAAACATATAAGGTTTGAAAGTGGCTTCCAACATCGAAGGCTGACCCAACAGCATAATGACCAAGATTGTGACAAGGGATAGTGTCTAAAAGAGTAATGGGGAATAAAATTGCCCTTTTCTGCTTTTTTCCCCCCAAAATTCAACTAACCTTTAAAAAGAATGTTAAAGGGAATCTGCCAAGTAATGTTTATCGTTTCCGGGATGAATAATTCTAGCACATTCTGGTTATTCAGGGTTACAGAAAACGTAAATGCCAGAGTTTTATTTATTTTAAATTCTGATTAAAAGTTGCACTGATTAGCAAACGTACAAAGAACGCTGAATGTCTGCTTTAGATAACCCAGTGGGCTTATTCACGAAACCAGAAAATAGCAAATTGTTAAGGGAGTTGTAGAACTTCTAAAATGTGCTTTGTCTCCCTTTGTCGGGGCATAATCCTAAACATTGAACTAACGGGTTATTCAAGCACCATGACCACTTCAGTAACATGGTGCTTTGAGTCTGCATGTGCCGTGATTTCACAGAGAAAAGTAACTCTTCCTCCAACAGCGACATGAACCAGCCCGGAACGAGGATTCTGGCAGGTTAATGTTAATTCTATGCATAAACGTCATCTTGGGATTTCCCTACACCTCCATTGAGGGGGGAGTGACGTCACAAAAGGAGGATTAGACTGCAGGGAGAAATTTGCCTTGGTGAGGAGTTACAGGTAATTTTTGCTTGGGAATACGCATGCGAGGGGTACTCCAAAAAACAGTGTTTTAATAGAAGACTGATTTTGAGTGGAATAACTAACTGACAAGTCCATAACTACAACAAAACAAGTTCGATATGAACAAACTATTTTCTGCACAGCAAATAAGTTGTGATTTAAAATTTTAATCGAAGAGTTTGATCAGTCGCTGCAGTAAAACAGACAGACTTTATTTATACTCCAATACTAAATTAGCAGAAATATAAGCACCTTTAAAAATAAACCTCTCTTCTTTCAGAACAGTGATAATTTACATGTACGGTTTGACTGTTCTAGTCTTTTAATGACGTTCTTTATTTCGTGAGCTACTTGAGATTTTGATTAGTTTTTGCATCGTATGTGCTGGTAAACCCGAGGTTAGCCTAACAGGCATGAGAATCTGTGGATATCGATATATAAGTGACAGGCAAATATTTAATCAAATTATAAGTCTAGGACCTTATTTTCTTCCCAGACAACCCACATTAAATGTTACAGCAGCCCTCAAAATTGCCTGTGCGCAGATTAAACTAACCTTCAAACCCATCAACCCCTATAGGATTGATCTATTAGAGCAGGCTTCCCCAAACTTCGGCCCTCCAGATGCTGAACTACAACTCCCATGATTATCAGCCTATTTCATTCATTGAATCATGGGAGTTGTAGTTCAGCAATATCTGGAGGGCCGGAGTTTGGGGAAGCCTGTATTAGAGGTTAAAGGCAAGTGGCACAATTGTTTGTTTTTTTTATTTTGTTTTTAACCTTTTCTCTCAGCCTGAGCAGTGACACCATGCATTTGTCAGCCTCAATCTCAATGTATCCTGATTTTGTGAATACCAGATTCGCAACTATTTTTTTTTTTTTTTTATATATAGGAAAATAGACTACTTGGAATAGCAGCATAGTCACTAAATGAGGTTAATTATTTTATAAGGCACAACCCAGGGATAAAATCCTTGCCCATTAAAAAGTGGGGTTGTCCCGCCATCGAATTAAGTGGATTGTATGAACTGGAACTCAGGGATGGCCAATAGATTTATCAGTTAGCTGCTGTAAGACTATAGCTCCCATGATGCATTGCCAGCCTTAAGGCTGTTGCCGTTCTATAAAAAGTTAGGAGTTACAGATTAGCCATTTGTTTTTAGCATTTTAGGATCAATAAATGATGCTCCTGAACCCAGAGACTAATTTTAGAGATGAAATGGCAAACAATAGATTTCAATGCTCGTTTCATTACCATAGCAACTAGTAGTAGTGTGAATTACAGTTTCCATGCCAATATGTACTCCAAATCTTGCAAGTTATGCAACACTTAATCACAGAAATTTTGAAAACCACACAAGATACAGTGTATATGTGAACAACAGATTTGTCTCATTATATATTTGTAGATTTACAAATTTACGGCACTGCAGAACATGCCTTGTGATTGGCAAATTAAAATTATACCAAGGCATGCCACAAAGCCAGTATTTGATCAGCAGAAGATTTAATTCATAGGCAGCCAATGACCATGCCAAGTCAACATGGCTGCATTTACTTCTGCAGAAATATATTAAAGGTTTTGTTTTTTTCACCATCCCCTCTCTCCATCCCTGTGTCCACCCACACTCCCTGTCTCCCAATCTCAGCTCAGAGCGTGCGCATGCACTCCGAGCCGGAGAGAATGGCCCAATCAAATGCTTTTCTAAGTGCTGCAATACATAAATTGAGGATTGTCCGTCACCATCTGAAATCCAAGCTAAGGTTGCACTAGCAGATATCTGTTTGGCTCTGGCAGCCTTGAGTGCCATAGGTGGCTGACCCCTGTCCTAGGTCATTGTAATTTCGACAAGCTCTAATAAAACCATGTGAAACTTGGAAAACACTTGCGTGATATGATAAATATTCATAAATACGTTAGGTGTAACCGAACAATGCAAACATAAAAGGTTCTCTATGAAAATGAAACAAAAACAACAAAAACATAAATAATGGAATGATGCAATAGCAGGTGGAGGGATTTCGTTAACGGACAGTAAAAATAAGTAGTTTAAAAGAGCCAAGGTACAGTGATAGCCGGCTTATTCCATAAAGCCGCCGAGGCTGTATACAGGAGTGGGGCAGCCCTGCTCAAAATCCTGTATCGGTGGTACAGCATGAGACCTCGGGTAAGAAGTGGAAAAGCTCTTTCCCCTTCTCATCCGGAACATGTGGCAGCAGATCCTCTCTCTCCCCTGCAGGCAGTCAAAGGAACTGCAGGAGAGAGCATGGAGATAATAGCATCATAACCCCTCACGACCTCCCGTAACTCCGGATACCTGCAGTTACTGCTCAAGCCCCCACACTGTTGGGCAAGGGGGCGAATTAGAAGAGAGACACAGGGGAAGGACGTAAGACCAGATGCAAACAACTGAGGGAGAGGGGACATAAGACGAGAACAAGTGATTGAAGGGGGGATTAGAGGGCACAGGTGATGGGGGAGATAAGAGTGGAACAATTGTGTAAAGAATAGAAGAGGGGTTCAAGTGAGGGATGGGGAAAGAAGAGGGGTTCAAGTGAGGGATGGGGAAAGAAGAGGGGTTCAAGTGAGGGATGGGGAAAGAAGAGGGGTTCTAGTGAGGGATGGGGAAAGAAGAGGGGTTCAAGTGAGAGATGGGGAAAGAAGAGGGGTTCTAGTGAGGGATGGGGAAAGAAGAGGGGTTCAAGTGAGGGATGGGGAAGAAGAGGGTTCTAGTGAGGGATGGGGAAAGAAGAGGGGTTCTAGTGAGGGATGGGGAAAGAAGAGGGTTCCCAGTGAGGGATGGGGAAAGAAGGGTTCAAGTGAGGGATGGGAAAGATGAGGGTTCAAGGAGGGATGGAAAGAAGAGGGGTCTGGCGAGGGATGGGAAAGAAGAGGGGTTCTGGTGAGGATGGGGAAAGAAGAGGGTTCTGGGGTGAGGGATGGGGAAAGAAGAGGGTTCTAGTGAGGGATGGGGAAAAGAGGGGTTCAAGTGAGGATGGGGAAGAAGAGGGTTCAAGGAGGGGATGGGGAAAGATGAGGGGTCCTAGTGAGGGATGGGGGGGGGTTGTGGTGGTGGGGAGAAGAGGGTTCATGTGAGGGATGGGGAAAGAATTGGGCGAGGGATGGGAAAGAAGAGGGTTCAGTGAGGATGGGGAAAGAAGAGGGGTTCTTAGGAGGGATGGGAAAGAAGAGGTTCTAGTGAGGGATGGGGAAAAAGAAGGGTTCAAGTGAAGGATGGGGAAAGAAGAGGGTTCAAGTGAGGGATGGGGAAAGAAGAGGGGTTCTAGTGAGGGATGGGGAAAGAAGAGGGTCTCTAAGTGAGGGATGGGGAAAGAAGAGGGGTTCTAATGAGGGATGGGGAAAGAAGAGGGGTTCAAGTGAGGGATGGGGAAAGAAGAGGGGTTCAAAAAGAGAGGGTTCTATGAGGGATGGGAAAGAAGAGGGTTGAGGTGGGGAAAGAAGAGGGTTCAGTGAGGGATGGGGAAAGAAGAGGGGTTCAAGTGAGGGATGGGGAAAGAAGAAGGGTCAAGTGAGGGATGGGGGAAAGAAGAGGGGTTCTAGTGAGGGATGGGGAAAGAAGAGGGGTTCTAATGAGGGATGGGGAAAGAAGAAGGGTTCAAGTGAAGGATGGGGAAAGAAGAGGGGTTCTAGTGAGGGATGGGGAAAGAAGAGGGGTTCTAATGAGGGATGGGGAAAGAAGAGGGGAACAAGTAAAGGAAAGGAGGAGCAAGAGGAGGGAACAACTGGAGAAAGGGAGAGTTATGGGAAAAGGGGAAAGATGGAGAGGAACTAATTTGAGGAGGAAATAAAAAGCAAACGGGAAACAGTGCACAAACACACCTATACATACACAAACAATCGCACACACTATAAACGTCACACAAATATACTCCAGCATGTATAAAAACACACCACTAAATTCACACACTATACAAATACATAATTCACATTCAGTCACTAACATGCAACACAAATATCCTCTTAAATACACAGCCACCCGATAAGCCACATACTCTGACCTGAACATATTTCCTATCTACTCAGTCAGATAATCCCATCTTACCTCCCAGTCATACCCACTCACCCTGTCACATTCATACACATAACAGGTCACCTACACCCACCTTGCATTTTTTGCCATCCAACCACCTAGTCATATTTATCATACAGCCATACCCCAAGCTACTCACATTCACACACACCAAACTAGTCCTATTCATCCATTAATTCACACACACCAAACTAGTCCCATTCATCCATTAATTCACACACACCAAACTAGTCACATTTATCCATTCAAACAAACACACACCAGGCTTCATATACATGACAGGCTTGGGGGTATTGGGGAAAAGTGGCTTTGGGACAGCAGAGAGTAAATCTGGCCCTGGGCACAGTCTATAAGTAGATAAGAGTTACAATCTGTGTTTTTATCACGCCCTTTTCTTATCCGGGACAATAATGATTTTAAAAGAGAGGTTGTTCAGGGCTGACAAACAAGCTGTCAAAAGGAAAAAAGGTCAACCTAAGCTGGGATTAAAGTTTAGAAAAAAAAAATTAAAAAAAAAAAATTAAATATATATAAAAATTATTCACAAAAAAGGTTAATATGAATAAAGAAAATAATCTAAAAAGTTACAGATTCTTCCAGCACGTCTACAGAAAAACGAAATTAGTTTATTGTCAACTGTGATTCAGACAATAAGCGAACAAATAGGATAAATAAAATAATCAAAAATTAGAACCTAGAATGTACAATTTCCTTGTCAGTTGTTAGTGAATAATAATCCCCTTAGCATCAGGCAGTGACAAAGTTTGGTTGCTAGAATGAGTGTCAAGAGCGGCTAATCTTTGGATTAACCTCTGTGAGAGAATACATTTACAATTCTTATCGCGACCATTTACTCTGCATCGTTTATTTCTCTAGCACAAACCGGTACTCTAAGAACTTTACAGGTTACAGCACAATAAAACAGAAAGTACAGTAATTAACCCCTTAAGGACAAAACTTCTGGAATATAAGGGAATCATGACGGAATATTTCCTTCATGTATCCTTAAGGGGTTAAGACATAATATATATGCACAGATGGCTCCTTTCTCCATTTTTTTTAAATCTCTTCAGAGCCCATATAGGTTTAAATTTAGAAAACAAATATTGACATGATCAAAAAATAAATAAATAAATTTAAAATGGTATAGATTTTGTAGGCCTGACAAAGCGATTAAATTCCAAAAACACAACATTCTAAAATAGTGAAAGTCAAATTAATAATAATTCTAATTCTCCATTTTGTATCTACAATACTAATTAACATGGCTAATTAAAAGGACAAGGCACGTATATAAACAGGCATTAAAAGGTTACTCCAAGCACCATAACTGCTTCAAGTGTTTTGAAGTGGTCATAGTAGTCTGTATGTAGAGTGTTTGAATTAGAAATTCTGTATATACATAGATACCCAAGGTTGTACCTGGAGGTGTAACCCCACCTCCATAAGTGTCATTAAACAGGCTTGACCAGACGGACCCCAGGCCCGGGAGGGCGGAGGCGAGATCAGGGAGATATATCATCACACAAAAGAAACATTAACCTCTTAAAAACTAAAAGGATAAACACCCAGCCTTGATGGGATCTGAGAAATAATCCGACCCCCTCGGGAAACATGAGTCATACCTTGCTACACATTCCAGCACGGAAAAGTGTAGAGAGAGGAGCTAACGCTCATATAACGCAAAGGGCACGCCACCTCTTAGACACACTCCAAACGCATTTTACGAGGTCACTGATACACACATCAATAACGCAACTAAGGAATCACGTACGGGAACTCACGCGAACCGCAGGCTCTGCTGCAAGGATTGACGACAACACCCATAGCCATATAGGATAACGTAACAGAGACAGGGACACATATAACACAAACTATTAACCATCACATAGCAACTAACCACCACGCTCACAAAACAGACTAGCGGGGAAACCCAGCTAAGTATTACACAAGTAATAAACACGGCCCAATGTTCGCCACCACACCCGCTCGGCGACGCATACCTAACATGGCGAACTTGGACAAAAAGCCTGACTTACACGAGCTGCCTTATCGTCTAGCACTTAGATCCCCTCTCAATCTACACACACACACACAGTATGTTGTTGAACCGTATAAACATTTGGAATGCAGAGACCTGCGAGTCTCAAAGTTATACTTAGATACCCTATGCAATTAACAAAACTATGCTTTGGGACACAAACACACAATAACGCAAAACAAAACAAAGTAACAAAGGAATCTAGAAGGGGGGGTAGGGGGGAGAACAGAGTGAAAAAAAAAAAAAAAAGGGAAACAACAACTTTACTGCTCAAAACTGTGTACAGGATCAACGCTTTCGATTTGCAATATCTTAGGTTTACTGAACAATGACTAAAATATTGTAATGACGCAACTATGTAATCTTATCTTGTTGTTCAATAAAAAAAGAAGATTTACAAAAAAAAAAATTAAACAGGCTTGAATACGAATTCTGAGATGGCTAATGTTAAATCTGTGTACACGTTGCATGCTGGTGACAGACAACCAATGACGACATGCCCCCTCCTCACTTTGACACCCAAATACTCCTCTCACAGGAGAAGAGAAGCGTTGAAGAGAACTTGGCCATAGTATGGTGGTTAGTATCAGCCACAGTGCTTCTGGCCACTCAGACAGCTGAACATCTATCTGCATATTTCACAATCTCTGTGATAAAAAAAATAAAAACATGAGCAAAAGTTTAATGCAGTAAAACATCTAGCCGTTGAAAGAGGTCATGGAGAGAAGCCAGGTTACTTCAAGCTGACAGCAGAACAGAAGTGGTTCTACATGGCAGCCAAGATTTTGAAGAGGAGGGGACAGAGAACGCAAGTCACCAAAACCAGATCTTTGTTGGTTGGAATGACGTCGACTGGTCTGAATAATCTCTGACGCAACACATAAGAGGAAGAATTTTGCACAGACATCATGACTCTATGGATCCATCCTGTCTTATAACAATAACAGCAGAAGAGTGAAGTCATTGTTTGGCAATTTATTTCTTGGCACACATTACACCAATTAATAACAAATTAGCATTATTGGAATGAAACAGAATAAACAATCAGTGTTTCTGATTAAATGAATCCCTTCATGGCCACAGTCCACGCATTTTTAAATGGACACATCCACAAGACGTAGGTAGGTAGGTAGGTAGGTAGGGGTGTGTGTGTGTGTGTGTGTATTTTTTTTTTTTTATATTAAAAACACTATTTATGTGGCCGTCCCCCAACACTCCCCTTCCCCCCCCGCTCCCCTTAAAGTAAAAACGTACCATTATTCCAGAGTCGCACGGGTTAACCGGTGCTGGCTCTGTCCCCGATCCACCTCCTTGGCTGAGGTCATCAGAATTGATGACCTCAGCCAATTCTATAATTCCCTATAGGAAAGCATTAAATTGGCTGAGATAGTCAATTCTGATGATCTCAGCCAAGGAGGCTGGAGCCAAATGCCACCCTGACCAATCAGCATCTCCTCAAAGATCCATTGAATCAATGCATTTCTATGGGGAAAGTTTAACATCACCATGCAGATAGTGGCAGAGGGACAGTATAGTGTTCGAAATACAGTTTTGTGTTCCTTTAAACTATCAATAATCAGTGGTGCATAATGTAGGGTATGGGGCCTATTTTCACGCTTTCGAAAACATTAAAAGTGGTGTCAGATTGTTTCACAAGTGTAGAATTGGGATCGTAGCGACATAGTTAAAAAGGTTCATTGTTGTCATCACCAGGTTTATAAATATCCAGTATGAGATTGCAATGTCCCTAATAATGTGCAATCTGGATAACAGAACGGTGAAAGAAAAACCTCTTGAAATTCCGACTGCTATTAAATGATCATTACCCTGTCGTGCTCCGTTCGGCATCCTTTAATTGCCTATGGGAATGCATACTCTATAATAACTAACACACACTTCCAAAATGTACATATTTTATTATATCTTTTCATGTGACAACACTACAGAAATTAAACTCTGTTACAATAGCAGTGTAAATTTGCTGTCCCCTCTAATGTCTAAACCATTGGCAACAGAAGGGAGTACACCCCTAAGTAGAAACGTCCAAATTGGGCCCAAATATTTTGTGTGGCCACCATTATTCACTTTGGTTGCCAACGGTTTAGACATTAATGGCGGTGTGTTGAGTTATTTTGAGGGGACAGCAAATTGACACTGTTATACAGGCTGTACACTTACTACTTTACATTGTAGCAGAGTGTCATTTCTTCAGTGTTGTCACATGAAAAGATAAAATATTTACAAAAATATGAGGGGTGTACTCACTTTTGTGAGATACTGTACGTACATATATACACACACACACACACACACACACACACGTGTATATATGCACACACATTTTTGTAATAATTTTTTTTATTACGATATTTTACATTTTTAACATAAAGAATTAAATGTAGCATGTACAAATATGTCCTAAAAAAAAAAAAAAAAAAGAAAAAAGAAAATTTAAAAAATGCAGAATTTGTTCAATGTAAGTTCAGACAGCCACATAAGGAGATTTCCCATTGCAAAGCAGGAATGAATTGTTTAATATTGTGACTAAAAGGATAGTGTTTCAGAGCTTAGAATTCCTGAGCGTGATCTAATACAGGATTCCTTTGGCTTTGCAATAGAGGAAAGGCCCCTCCTAAATAACCTCCCCTCAAGTTTACCAGGAGTAGAAAAAAAAAAATGAACATTTCCATTTTAGGACATGAGGGAGCTGTCGAAATCCTGCCTTAAACCACAGACTCAGACAAGGACATAAACTGAATCCCGCTGTGATCAGCTGAGAGGAACTTGTGGGAGAGGTAGAAACAAGTAAGGCAAATGTACACAATTCAGCTCTGTGCGAAGTTTGAACATTAATAGAAACATGCCTTAAGAGCAAAAATACCAAATTTAAAAAGTTCTGCCTTAAAGCAACACTGCCAAACAGAACTTATGCTCATTTGCACAAGAAAAAAGAAAAAAAAAAAAAATTACTTTTTTTTTTTCTTTTTTAATAAAATTTTAACAAACTAATTCATACTACAGCTCAGGATAGTAAAATGTCAAAGCATAAGAATCTAAAAATATAAAAACACACAATTTAAAAAAGTGAAATGAAACAGAATAAAATGTAAAAATTGTTTTGAAAAACCAAAAAACAGAAAAGCCATAATATAGTCCTGAAGAGTAAAAAGTTTAAGAATAACGTATATTCATAACTAGCCAAGATCGTTTTAAGCAGCCATGAATGGAAATGTGATCAATAAGCCAACGTGTATCCCATATAGAGTAATGTTGTGTTCCTTTACAGCAACCTGCATGAACCTTAACTGTAAAATGATAAAATGGGCCGAACGGTTACATCATTCATTCTAACAGGAACATTCACTGTCTGGAAGTGCATAGTTTTTTTTGCTGAGAAATATATCTGGAATCTTGAGATCTCGGCTGAAAATTCCAAGTCGATTGTTTGGAAATCATCCAATAAAACCGAAAAAGTCTTTGTGTGCTCCATCAATCAACACAATTCAGCAGTTTAGTCCATCGGTTATATATCATTGGTCATAGCTTGTGTAAAATGTAAAAAATATTTATAAAAATGTTAAAAAAAAAAAATCAAAAGGATCCTTCTGAATCATTCTTCATACCAAGGATTACAGAGTGCTTTCTATACGGAGGTCACCCGAATGATTTACTTTGCTATTCACTTCACATGTACATTCTTTTCAGAGAAGGAAAGATGGCTAAATTCTATAATGACATCAATGTCTTCCTCTTCAACACTTTGATCTATGTGACCAGATAAAAAATGCTTTGTATTAAAACCTTCAGCAGCTTCAGTAAAATGATAAAGTGTTTCCCAACAGCTGGAGATCGTTTTGGCTTGGTTACATGATTAGGTTACTTAGGAAGTCTACAAAGTCATAACTGGTAACTTTTTAAAACTCATTTGTATAGCAATAAAGGTTTAGACTTTAGTGGATGAGAAGTCTAGCACACCTTCAAATTCTGAGGTACTCACAGCAGAGCAGGTAAATATTCGGACAGTGAAGTCATCTAAGAAACTTGATTTCCAAAATGTTATACTAGTTTCACTTTGGCAATCTAGTAAATGCGCCTCTTGGAATTTGAAGGTTTGTGCTGGACTGGTAGAACCAGTGCACACACACCTTTTTTCTTCTTTTTAATTCTTTATTTTTGCGTGATAGCAGTGCCATTGGTAAACATCCACGACAAGATGACATCAACATCAGACATCGGGTAATAACGTTTAACACATTGACATCTTAAATCAGTAACAGTGTGTATGTGCTTATTTGTGGACAATCCATTTAGCCATCATGTTTTTTGTTATAGTGTGTTAAAAGCTTGGAAAAAGAAATGAGAAAGCCAAGTATAGTGGAGTGTTCCCTTTTCTCCTCTGCAATAAGCATACCCCTCATTTGGCAGCAAGCTACGCAGCGGTGTAGACCTTGATCCTATTTGAGGTCCTAGGTGTTATGGGGCTGTGCTATCATGAGGTAGGTGCATACCCATCACTGTCCCTGCATGCCTTTTCTGTTGGGGTGCGAACAAGGAAGAGAGCGAGGAGTCATGGGGAACAGGGTTGGATAGGCAAAAGAAAAGAAAGACCATTTAAACTTTTACCTCCTGCTTATCCAAGCTTTGGGTACAGTCCAAATAAAGTATGGAGAGATGATCATTGCAGATGTTCAAGGCACTCAGACATGGAGGTGTCAAATGTCCTTACTCCATGTTAGGCAACCAGGAATAAAGGGATGCATCAAAAGTACTACTTCTTTGTATAGTGGCTTTGGTGCACAGACCAAGTTCGTTCAGCAATGATAACATTGCAACTTCAGAGAAACAGCAATGTTTACTTTTTTCCAGAGAACAATGAAAGCCTTTACATTTGTGGTCATGATGATGCTAAATGCGGTTATTACTTCTCAAAGAGAAGTACCGGATTCCAAACTTCTCTTTGAGAGCCATGGGACTGGCAGAGCATGACAAATGCCGCACATGCTCTGTAAGTCCGTAGAAGCACACCATATAAAGAAGCACACCAAGGTTAAAAATAAAGAAAGAATAACTATATACAAATTTATTTATTTTTTTTCACCTTAGGGAGTGTTCCTTTTACAGACACCTGCAAACTACAGTTTCTTTGATGATGTGTCAGTATGCATCTTGTATAAATCTAAAAACTAGATAACTGAAAACAGACCGTATTACTGAATACCAGGAATACAACCTTATATTTTAGGCCAAATTAGTTCAACTGAAAACATAGCCGACTTGATTCTTCCAATTTGCACTTTTGGTCTGAGACTTGAATTTCTGACACTTTACATCTGAACGAATAACACGGACGTTTCCAAAAGTGTTGAGCGAGAAGGATAAACAGGTCTTCTGAATTCTATTTAAATTACATGTGGAAAGTGATACCTGAAAATTCTATAACCACTTTGGAATGAACAAAGTGCAACTATCTACATAACGCTCCCTGCAGTTATGTACAAATGGTTTGCAGAAGTATTGGTTTCACCTATTTGATTTACAATTGTAATTGGCTCTAATGTAAACAGCCTGTGTCAACACCCTGACCCTTTGGAACAATACAGTAGATGTATTCCTGGTGTAAAACCCTTTACAGCGCACAGATAATATGGTGGTAATTGGAGACACGTGATTGAAAAGAAGGTGGAATAAAATAAAGGAAAAAAAATAAAGTGTGAATCAGTTAAACACAAACAACATTCACGAATGGTAAACTAAACTAGCATTTTAAAATGCCCCAAGTCTGATCTTTCAGATACATAGCTATTGCATGGATAGAACTATAACTATTCAAATGCCAACCAGGTGCATGGCAACAAGAATTCTCTATGCCAGTATGCACTGAAAGTAATTATGGGCACGTAGGAGTCATTGGACGCAGCTGTGATTAAAGGTTACTCAAACCCTTAATTAAAACCTCTCACTTTAGAATGCCCTAACGGCATTATTCATTATCCCACCCTCCCTTATAAATCTGCAAACAAGCTGAAGACTTACCTACAATCCAGCATTGGACAAAGCCTCCACCCCCACTTGACGGACTCCAGGCCTTGTCCGACGTTACCAGTGCCCTCTCGTGGTCCAACAAAAGGCATTTGATTGGACTGGACCAGTTCACCAGCTCAGAGCACATGCTCTGTCTGAGGCAGGTAGGGGGTAGGAGAGGATTAAAAAAAATATATAATAATAATAATATATATCTTGAATAACTATCACTGGAAGGAGGCGGAGAGGGATGGCATAAAGGGATGGGACACTGAAGCTTCCCCTTGCAAACAGCAGACATTCTTACAAAATTCACATTAGTGCAGATTACTCTTTGTATGTGCAAGGTTTTAAGCAGATACGCTGCATATACAGATTCCTACCACCATAACCACATAAACAGAAGTGGTCATGGTGGTTGGAGTAACATTTTAACATGGGAAATATCACTGATAGGCATGCGCCACAGAACATCTAAACGTAGTACTCAATGGGCCAATTCATTCCCCATTTACATCCTATTTTGAGACAAGCTAAGCTGTTCGCGCCAATATTATTACTGCAGGTATTCAGAAACCAGCATCCAAGAAATTAGTGGAAGGAATATTAAATGTCAGCATCATACCAACCAGCACTTGATCTCATTGAAGTGGTTAAGATGCATTGAGTTCCTGATACCATCACACAGTTGTGTTTGTAACAGTATTCATTCAGTTTAACAATGAAGCAAGGTTTCTAGTGGCCTGCGCTAGAGGTACGGCTAAGGCATGCCAACGCATACCAGTGATAAGCCGAGAAAAGCCAGAGTTCTCAGGCCATCACTGAAGTTCATTGTCACTCAAGCAGCTGTTAATATCCAGAAAACGTTTTATCACTTTACATCGGGTTGGCTGCATGGAACTCCAGTCACCATAACCACTACAATGAGATGAAGTTGTTATAGTACTTAGAGTGTACCTTTAAGAGATTGAGCTCAACATCAAGGACCCAATTCTGCAAGCAAGTATATATATGTAGAACCTTTTTTTTTTTTCCCTTTTCTTTTTTTAAATGTTAACATGGTTTCATTTTATTACTATTTCACTACCTACCAAAAGAAAAAGTAATTTCTGTTTATTACCATTAGAATTATGTGTATACAGAGTGGCAAGATTTTGTGATTGCTGCTAGTGCTTAATTTAGCATTATCTCCTGTCCATATATATTTTATTTTTTATTTTGCAAGATGTATTCTAGTAAAATAAAACCAGCTTTATATACAAATTGTATTGACTAAATTACATTTCTCAGTTTGATACAATATATCCCATATCATGTAATTGGAAGACAGACACACAGGTCTGCACAAACATTAATTTTCTCTTTTATCTTGTCATAGTTCTAAACTTTCTCTTACAGCTTAATGTAGTTGTTATGGTGTCTACAGCATGTCCCTGTAGATATTTTAATTTAAACGCTGCCTTTTTAGAGAAAACCTAGTGTTTACGTCACTGCCTAGCAACACCTCTAGTGGCAATCATTTAGACAGCCACTAGAGGTGCTTCCTGGGTCACCGTCAGGTTCCCCACAGTGATGCATTGAGTCAATGCATCTCTATGAGGAGATGCCGATTGGCGTAGAGCAGTGTTTTGCCGAGCATGTGCGATAGCCTCTCAATGGAAAGCATTGGATAGGCTGAGATCATCAAGTTTGATGATCTCAGCCAAGGGGACGGAGCGTGGGTAGGCCAGCAGAGACAGCACCCACCCGGCGCTGGGAAAAAGGAGAGTTAAATCACAGTTTTAACAGCATGTGCCTGTACACACATTTGTATTCCTGACACTATAGTGCCCCTTTAAGAATATACAACAATTTGGCACTAAATAAAGTTTATAGTATATCAGTCTCCAACGCATAGCTCCTGTCTTAAACCAGCTATGTCACTTCTCAGTAAAAACATTTTTTTATAAATAGTGAAATTTCATTAAAATTCAACACACTCTAAAGATAATCTAAATATCTAAAGGGACCACTTTGTGTTATGGATGACCTAGCAAAATGATATCTATGGAAGCTCCTGCGGTTTCATGAGATCACAAAGCTCAGTTTTGTACTCTTGCACATGCGCAATACTACAGCACTGACAGAATCTGGGAAATGAAGCACCTGGAGCCGTGAAAAAAAAAAAACTGCTACAGCAACAATGCACAGTTTCAGGAAAATAAACCAGCCTTCCACTGCACACCCTCAAAATATGCAAGGACCCCTGAAAGTAAGCGATCCACTTAATGTGTCCCTCTTTTAAAAAAAAAAGGGAACATTTTCAATATTTTAAATGTTAAAAATACCCATCTTACCAAAATATCTTAAGGATCTATGGAACAAATTTAGGTAATTAAAAACAGATCTTTGGAGAGTGTTATTTTGTTTTGTTTTAAAATTGCTAAACACTGCTTACATCATTTTCTGGCACAATATGTCTGGCAGTGTTTATTTTATTAACACTGTTCAGCAACAGTAGGTGTTTGCTAATAATGAATTAAGTACCTGTAACGAAGTTAAATGGCAACTGACAGTTCCTCGTTCCCTCTCTGCACTAAACACAATTGAAGCAATTACTACGCTGAAATAAATCTGACTTTTCCAAGTTATCGACATGGTTTGGAAAGAACGTATAGTACTTGCATTGCTACACTGTAAAACCTTGTGACAGACACATAGCTTATTATGACCATAAGGTCCCTTTAAGTTGATGGATGCTAACAGCAAACATGTTGCAGGGCTGAATTAAGACGAGTAATGACCTGCAGTATGAATATTTAAAAGGTAAAATACAGTGCCTCTAATCTAGTGATGGACGGGCCTGTACATTATATAGTAGCCCAGGGGTAGGCAACCTTCGGCACTCCAGATGCTGTGGACTACATACCGCACAATGTTCTTACAACCATAATGCTGGCAAAGCATCATGGGAGGTGTAGAACATCTGCAGTGCCAAAGGTTGCCTACCCCTGTAAAAAGTAGCCTGTTGGATACCGCGCCTCAAAAAATAAGCTTTGTAGTGTGTAAGCCTGACAACCGCTTTACGGCCTGAAGTAGAGCGCTACGAAATATGCTGGCGATATATAAATAATAAAATTATAATAAAGTGTGAAACCAGCGAGAAATCTGGCCTCAGTGTGACTGATGGATGAAAGCAATGCAGGTTTCCGATTTACTCTGCAGACAGACAGACACAGGCTGTGGGTTTGGGATTAGAGGCTCCAGGGCTTGCTCATGTGGTCACACTTTGTAATACCGCCAGTCTGTTTCTAGGAGCATCACTAAACAATTAATAAAAATTATCTTCAAAGACATGCCGCAATCCAAGTACAGAAGCCAGGAGTAGGCTATTCTGTCCTCACCCCATTCATGCCTGTGTATATTTAATAAATCAGCAGATCCCGCGTCTCATGTCCCTTCGTTTGCACGTAGAAGATTTGAGATGTACTGAAAGCTGGGGAAAGGGGTAAAAAGCTGTAACCACGGCATACATGAAGGTTCATGGAACCAGGTGAATATCTGCAATCTAAACAGTCTAACAGCCCTTTTAGTAGTGTAATAAAAGGAACACACATCATAGCCACCTGGCTCCTTGTATAGGCTACGGGGCAGGGAGCTTGTTGTCCTTGTCTTCCTTGTAGGTGGATTGTCAATTGCCGAGATTTTTAAATATACATTTTCTCTAAACTGAACAAATATGTATTGATGAGGTCCGAAAAATAAAATGAATTGTAGAAATCCACATTGCTGTATTTGGTGTTAACCTGGAATAGAGCAGATCTGCCTGAACTCCCTGTCAATCAATCATTGTTATAAGCTTTGCCTTTTCTGTCACAGAATATAGTATGTGGAGGTAGAGAAATCAATACACCATACGCTCTGGCTGTACCTACAACAACAGGATTGTGAAGTCAACTAGTAAATCTTTAATGGGACACTATAGTCACCAGAACCACTACAGCTTAATGTAATGGTTCTGGTGTCTGTAGTCTGTCCCTTTCCCAAGAAAAGGCAGTGTTTACATTGCTGGCTAGTGACACCTCTGCATGGAGACGCTGAATGATCCCCATAGAGATGATTGGTGCAGAGCGGCTTGTACCTCTGGGAAAGAATTGGACTGGCTCAGAGCATGAAGATCTGAGGCAGGGCCAGTCACGGTGACACCAGAGTGCTAGGGATAAAAGATAAGTTTAATCACCATATTTCTCCACAGAGAGGGGCCCAGGGACCTAAAAGAAAGTCCAAACACTATAGTATTAAGAATACATCAAATGTATTCCTAAAACCATAGTGTTAGTTTAATATACATTTAAAAACACAGAACATGGCATGAAAAAAAAAAAAAAAAAAGGTTAAAGGAAACATCACGGCACCATAACAACTAAGCTGTTATGATGCCACGAGGTTCCTAGAGCTGGCTTACATTCAGATTAACCCTGAATTATGTGCTCCAGCGCTGTTCACTCTGCCTCTATGTCCTTTCACTTTCTCAAAATTTTTCATTACAGAAGGCTCAAGCAGCACTGGGAAGGGGCGCCACTGATCAGCTTAGAAAGGTACGTACCTTTTTCAAGCCGTTTTTATAAATAGAAAGCTACTAATCGGCTTTGAGCGTCAGCTGACCGCTCTAAGCCAATACGCGGCGCCCCTGCCCTGTGGCTCTCACGGGTTTCTGAAGATTTTGACAAAGTGGATGTGGAGGCAGTAGACAGTAACAAAACTAAAGAGGAGACTTTGGGGTTAAACAGTTCGTGAACAGTGTAACTCCTAAAAGGCAATTCATCACCTGGGACTTCCTGGCACCATAACTTAATTTCAATAAAGTTGTTATGGCTCCCAAACTGTTCCTTTAACACAAGTTACAGGCAGTTGTGATTTTTTTATTTTTATTTGGTTTTGTAATTTGCTGTGAAGTGGTGGTTACCCTTTAAAAATTGATTCAAGCGTCACAATAGTTATGTGATCACAGTCACAGCTCCATTCTCAAAGCTGTCAACAGGCTGATAACAGAAGTACAGCTTCAAGTGCCTCACTCAGCAATTTCACTCATGTGATCTGGAGACAAACTGCGGCAAGATGGCCTATATTACATAAACCTGTAAACTATACTATGTGAGCATATGCATTTAACCCACAAACCTGCACTGAATGTAACCAGGTTGCTTCTTCACCCCAAGTTCTTTGCCCTAGCAACACAATGCCATGTTAGATAACTAACAATTGGATTACTAACCTAATATTAGATCATCAATATAATGGTTAGCTTGGCCCATCACTTCACACTCTGATTTAGGAAAACTAAAAACCACAAGAAATAGGGACAGAAATATTCTATTTTACAGGGACAGATTTATCAAAGTACTATGCTGCAGAGGGATTTAGATAGACTGGGAGACTGGGCACTCAAATGGCAGATGAAATTTAATGTTGAAAAATGCAAAGTTATGCACTTCGGCGTAAAGAATACACAAGCAACGTATACCCTTAATGGAAGCGAATTAGGGATAACAACACATGAAAAGGACTTAGGAATTGTTATAGACAACAAACTATGCAACAATGTGCAATGTCAATCAGCAGTGGCCAAGGCCAGTAAGGTATTGTCATGCATGAAAAAGGGCATTCATTCTCGGGACAAGAATATCATTTTGCCTCTTTATAAATCACTGGTAAGACCCATATTGAATATGATGTGCAATTTTGGGCACCTGTTCTAAAGAAGGATATTATGGCACTAGAAAAAGTGCAGAGGCGGGCTACAAAATTAATAAAAGGAATGGAACATATCAGCTATGAAGAAAGGTTAACAAATTTAAACCTATTTAGTTTAGAAAAACGTCGCCTGAGAGGGGATATGATAACATTATACAAATATATTCGGGGCCAATACAAACCATTGTGTGGAAATCTATTCACAAACCGGACTTTACATAGGACACGAGGTCATGCGTTTAGACTGGAAGAAAGAAGATTTCGTCTAAGGCAAAGGAAAGGTTTTTTACTGTAAGAACAATCAGGATGTGGAATTCTCTGCCTGAAGAAGTGGTTTTATCAGAGTCCATACAGATGTTCAAACGGCTACTAGATGCATACTTGCAAGAACAGAATATTCAAGGATATAATCTTTCAATGTAGGGTAATAACTGCTTGATCCAAGGATAAATCTGACTGCCATTCTGGGGTCAAGAAGGAATTTTTTTCCTAGCTTGTTGCAAAATTGTGCTTCAAACTGGGTTTTTTTGCCTTCTTTTGGATCAACAGCAAAAAACAAAAGTGAGGAAGGCTGAACTTGATGGACGCAAGTCTCTTTTCAGCTATGTAACTATGTAACTATGACCCAAAAGTGATGCTCTTTTGTAAAAATCAAATACTCCTACTAGTTCCATTGGTTTCCATGGGGATTGCCCTACTCTTACATCTTTAAAAAGGAGTATACTAGCGTCATCTAAGTTAGAGCCACAAATCATGGCTGTATCTCTGGGTGTGATTCCGTCCACTCTAGACAGCCTGAAACATGTTTGACCCTCTGATTCAATGTTGCATCACAATGTGCTTGAAAAAATAAAAATAAAATGAAAACAGGATTTGCACTATATAATAGATAAGACAATTTATTACAATAGGCCACACGAGTCACTGCAAATATTTGAACGATTCACATCAGATCAACATTAAATATACATAGAAAACAATAACATTCTAGCAGATTTTGCAGCACGTTAACACAGAATATATACACACACCAAAACTACATGTAAATATTTCCCAGGCACCTTTAACTTTCTACTTAACAAAACCGTGCCATAAATAAATCACAGTTAATAACACCCATCCCATGTCTAAATATTTACACACCTCACACAATCAGCCCAGGGTACTATTAACACATATGCTACACGTACATTTAATCCCAATACAGTTCCTACAGTTTTGAGAAGTGTGCAGTGGGCTGTGCCTAGTGTCCCCCCCCACAGGACGCACGTTTGACAAGAGCCACCAACCGTTCGCTATCCATGCATTGCATTCCAGTTCCAGCAGAGTGCATGAACACACACCTATCACTCCGATTGTAGGAATAGCATCTTACTCTATAAATGTGTCTTGACATGCAGACATTTGTGTGCTGTGTCTACTTGTACAGCTGCAAGGCTCTACCTGGTGGGGTCAGGTGTTGGAATCTGGTAACTAGATCCTCAGTGTAAGAGGACACCTGGATGTGTCCATAAAAGGAGTTGACCCCATCCTTGGATTTTCTTAACCCGTTAATGGCAGACTATTAAGATCCTATTCCAAAAAGAACTGTCTTACTCTTTTAGGGACTGCTGGCCTGTGTAAAGCATCCAGTTACAAGATAAGTAGGAGACTTATGCTGGCAGAACGTCTTTGAGGACATGTAATTGCATGGGTCATCAATTTGTAAAAAGTTACCATGATGTTCACTTATAAGCATCTCTGTATAGCTGCAATGTCACAAATAGGAAAACGGCCACACAGTGATTCTTGGTTATTTAGCCCCATTATTGACCATGACCAGTAATATACTCCATATGTCAGGGGTGGCCAGAAGGGAGATCCCTGCACTGTTGCAGAAGTACAATGTTAATGCTTAAAGGAACATCCCAGGCACTATAACAACTTAATATCAATTCAGTTGGTATGGTGCCTGGAGTTCTTGGGCGCCACCTTACCCTAATGGATTAAATGAGCTGTTTAACTCCAAAGTGCCACAGATGGGGCCAGTCCTCAAGGTGCCGCTGTCTCCTCCTCACGGCCCAGCTTCAATGGAAAAACTTTGGATTGGGCATCGGTAATAGTCTTGAGAATCGGCTGACACTCTCTGCCTCTTAAAGGCCTCTGACTCTAGAAAGGTACATACCTTGTCACCAGTCCTTGGAACAATGCTTTCCAGCAATCATCCGGACACTTTTTTGCAAATTATATCATTTGTATTTTTTTCTTTTTAATATTTTATATGTCTTCTAGTTAGCAAATATGGGCAAGGTTAAACATATGCTCTAAAATCCACTACAATCTGAACTCCACAGCAGCTCAATTAAAAAATGTTAGTGGGTATACCACATGACGGTTTAACGCCCATTGATGGCATAGACTCTCATGCATTAAAAGGTACCAGCTGGGTAGAATCCCCGCTGGTACAAAGGAGTCCCAAAAATCATTGAATACCTGAGGGTACCCTCTGTCAGACTGACAGATGAGATTTGTTCAGTGCTCAAAGTGAAGTCAATTTAAATACCATGGCTAAGCACAATTGCTCAGTGATTCTGAGTGTATCCGCATAAAGAGAGTCAGGTCTCCGTGCCTACTGATTGATTCACAAGCTGCAGCATGAGAGGGAGATTGCATGCTGCATCCCCACATTACAGAATGCTTACAGAGTGTGCTGTACTGTTAGCTATGAAATCACTGAGGTGGATTTGGGGAAATTACATGTGGGGTATCATCAGCAGCGGAACTATTGCCAGTGCGGCTGCACCCAGGCCTGCATGCCGAGAGGGGCCCATTGTGTGCCCATGCACTTAGGGCCACCTGATGGACATTCGCTTCCTCCCTGCTAAAACACACCAAGCCCCTAACTCACAACAGCCTCAGACAGCAGAAACCAGCCTCTTGCATCCAAACGGTAGAAAACTGGAGCATTGCTAAAATATTGGCCAGCATATATGTGTCTGTCAGTGTGTCTGTGTGTGTTTCTGTATGTGTTTCTGCATGAGTATCAGTGTGTGTGTGGCAGTGTACGTAAATATGTGCATACATCACAGCACTACACACACACACACACACAAATGCACACCTGCATTCAAACATCAACACACCTCTGCCTCTAAAACCAACACTACACACACAAAAAAATGCAGGCCTGCATTAAAACACCAACACTACATACAAAACACACCGCTACATTCACTCTCACATACTCCATACAAAAACACTTACAATCCAACACACAAACACGGATCAGTGCTAAATACAACCCTGCAAGAATGTGTGAAAAGGTAGATCCCGAGCTGGCAAAGCCCTGTGGGAGTCGGGCAACTGATAGGGATCTACAATTTGGCCACCCTTCTGATAATGGTGCTCCATAAACATTCTTGCACCAGGGCCCTTATCTACTTTAGTTCCGCAATTGGTGTAATTGTATATTTTAATGGAACACGAGCCTGTATTCCTAATGCTAGTCTCTGTTCAAAAAAACTTTTTCGGTCACTATCCGCCGCCTGGTGAATAAAAGGGTTAAAAACCCTTTTTCACTTAACTCTTTCCAGGTCTACCTCTTGCATTGAAGCTCCCCCATATGGAAGCAATAAATCAATGGTTTCCTATAGAGAATTTTAAAAATGTTCGACTACTTCTTGCAAAGCTTGAGGATATCCAATGTCGACTCACAGAGTAAAACTCAGTTTGGTGTTAGGAAGACAGTCACTGGAGGACGTTGTTACCCTGCAATGTAAACATCGCAGTTTCTCAGAACAGGGTGAAACAGAGAGGGAAGCTTCACACAAACCTTTTCAATGAGATGAAATGATCTAGGTTCCTATAGTGTCCCTTTAACCAAATATCACTTGTGTGTACCTTATATTCTTTATAATTCATGGCGCTGGACCCTCACTCCAGATGCCACCATCTTATAATTATTGGCACTCTCTACTTAGTCTTCTGTTTTTAAAGATAAATAGATCAGAAAGGAAGAAAAGAAGAACAGAACTGGGGAAAAGGAACAAGATGATGAAACAACTGAAGAAATGTAAGTTTGGGGTGACAGACCCCCTTAGTGAAGCCATATTGGTCCACAGATGCATCTTTGCATTTTCCCTGCCTACTCGAAGCTGACAGACAGCCACTGTGAGCTCCAGATGAATATCAATTTCATGTCCAGCGGCAGCATGCAAGGTATGTGATTAGCGGATCCCCTAGATTGTTGGGTGCCCTCAATGCTGCCCATAGGGAAGAATCTGAATGAATAAAAGTAATAAGGGATGATAACTTCCCTGGAGAAGGATCCACCTGACTATTACAATGCTGGAATAAAAACTAAATTATTATATATATGCCCAAACCTGCGTTGTGATAGATCTGTAGAAAAGGGTCCATTCTCAGGTTTTCATTAAAGTGTTTTATTCAAAAATTGTGCATTATATCCAGTTATGCAAACAATCGATGTTGCAACCCGTTTGGGCCTCTCAAGATCACCAATATAAAGCAGATAATGGCAATTAAAAGACTAAAAGGAATAAAGTGATTAACCAATAGCGTGCGCTCAGCTAATGACAGATCTCGAAATTCGGAAGTGCGTGGATAACCACGTGAGAGGCATGATGATGATTCAGGTTACCGAGAAATGAGTATACATTACAGAACCAAAGTTTGACACCATGAATTAACATGGAAAGATATATACAGTAAAGAGGACAGTAGCCAAACCTGTGAGATGTGTGGATAATTTGGGGAAATGCTTAGCAAATTAAAGTGCGTGTAAATGCTGAAGGATCAATAACTGAATGTGTTATAAAAACTAGAGAGTGGGGGCGTGGTTTGGCCGCGAGGGAAGATGGCTGCCTAAGAGGAGAGCTCCGTCCCACACAGCTCCTACAGCCGGCTACCACCGCAGCACAGCGTGCTAATGGGGCGCACAAAACGCCCGGAGGGCACACAAACACCCAGGGCTCACCCAAGCAGCTCCCAGACGGGACCCATGGATGGGTATCTTGCACCTTCGAAGGCCGGGCACCACGAGGTGGCGGGCGCAAGCATGGCCGACTCCCCGACCCGCCCTCTCACCTCTGATCAGGAAGGGCCCTCATTAACAGATATCAGGGCGGACATTAGAGCCCTGGCAGCGGCAATGGTGACCAAAAACGATCTGCAGATCCTGTCTGACAACCTGCACGCAGCGATCCGCACAGAAGTGACTGCACTCAGGGCTGATCTCACCACACAAGCAAACAAGCTCCAGGTAACTGACATGACTGTGCAGGCCATGGGGGACAGAGTGGAAGCCACAAACCTTGCCATAAACAGGCAAGGCAATATCCTTTTAACCCTCAGGAGACAAACTGAAGATCTAGACAACAGGGGCCGCAGATCGAATATAAGGGTCCGCGGCCTACCTGAACCTGAAGGGGACGAAGACATAGAGGCAACACTGCAGATGCTATTCCGCGACATACTGGGACAGGAGGCACCAGAGTCCATGATTTTTGATCGGGCGCACAGAGCAAACAGAGCGCGTGCAGCTGATAACACACCACGGGACATTATTTGCTGCCTGCACGCCTACAAACTAAAAGAAAAAATAATGTACAAGGCCCGCTCGAGACCTACCTGGCGATTCCGCGACGCAGAAGTGGCCCTGTATCAAGACCTGTCACCCCTTACGCTTGAAGCCCGCAGGGCCCTGAGACCCGTCACGACACTCCTTAGAGACAGAGGGATCCCATATAAATGGGGTTTTCCCTTTATGCTCTTAGCCAGACATCAAAGTGAATGGATTCCGTTAAGATGGCCAGAAGAAGTGCCCAGATTCTTACAGCGCCTCAATCTACCACCGACGGAAGTCACTAACTGGATTCTGGGCCCACCGGAGCAGAGACAAGGCCATCAGACCCCAGGCCAACAACGCAGAAGACGAGACACCACGCCAAGACGCCCACAGGCCCGCAGACAACTAGCACCCTCAGATCCTGAGGAGTAGAGGCGGGAGCTCCCCACCACACCCACCAGGCAAAACAGCTCCACCATGGCACACACGCTCTACCCGAGATGGCAGACCCTGATGGACGCTACCGTTGTCCTGTGTACCGCAGAAAATAGATAAGTACTGCTTGCACACATACATGAGTGGGGTCATATACACGGACACCCACAGCAAGGCCTAGTGGCAACATGATAGCACACCCCTTGGGTTGGACAGCATCTCCAAGTTGAATGGGGAGGGGGGCCTACTGGGGGTGAGGAACATTGGACAAGCTAGAAGCGGCCCAAAGTGGGGGACTAAGTTTAGGTTTGCCTGCCACATACAAGCCGCACAGCTGCTTTGGATTGCTGGTCATCTGCGGGCACCCCAACACACAAGCCATTCGGGCGAAGCGAGAGCGAACTTGCCGTGCTACACCGATAACTGGACTTTTGTCTGGGGGTGGCGGGAGTGGGGGGGAAAAGAAGGGGCCTGAGGGAACATGCACCTAGGCACTGTTATTCCAGGTTGTAATATGGGTGATGTATGTATAGGTTATGCTAGTAGAATGGCCTAGGGGTCGGGCCGGGATGGGGTGGGGGCTGGGGCTCTAGCTGTGCTGCCTAAGGTATCACCATGTTTATGTGGATGGCACTTGGGGGATGGGCTGGGACTGATGAGGGTGGGGATGGGAGATGCACACTCAATGGTGGGGCACTGTATATTTAAAACGTTGCACACTTTACAGGACACGTATCCCCCCTGACACAGTGTTATTACCATCTCCACATGCACATGCACATCCTACGGCATGGTAAACCTAAGCACGAAAGATCTGACCCCCTAACGGACAGGTCACGCAACGCTAACTATCCTAGAGACGTCCACCCAAGGCCCTCCCCGTGTGACGCAGGCTCATGTGGTGACGACTCCTCCCCCGGCCGCACCGGCACGACCCATTGCACACCGCATGCCACCTTTGCGTTACACTGGTCATACAACACGGTAGGCGACTCAGGGGGGACTGTCGGGTAGACGCCCCGAGACACACCGATAACCTTCCACGCAGGGTAAGACTCCTGGACAACCACCCACGCCCCATTGTCACGAGACATACAGACCGTTCATTTAAGAAAAATAGCCAATGACGTCAGTTTGGAACATGTGGGACACGGACATCTCACTAGGTAACCCTCATACTTTACCGTAAACACTAGATAGTATACTCCTGCTACTCAGCAGGCAACACGCTGGACTAGCCAATTCCACTAACCCCGACCAGACCTGTTTAGACCTGATTACTGGGGGATCCAACTCCGTGGCTGCCCTAGCCCAACTAGGAGACGGTACGGCTTTGAACTCCGCCCAGCTACACAGGTTCCCCTCATACTGAGGGATATACCACACAGAGACCACATTATTGTGGCCTCCAATCAGAGACCTCCCGGGTCGGACCAAACCGGGCGCGGGCCGAGCCGCTGACCTGCGACTGGGTGTCATAGCCGACCCACTTCCCGTTGTAGCGCTCACTCATCCCCCCCCACTTATTGCAGTAGGAGTGCGCACGGGCACCTAGATCTCCCCACGGGAGACCAAACACCGCAGGAATTGTACACGCAATCACTCTCTCTCTATGGCTTACACGGCCGAACCCCTCAGCATCCTAACACAGAACTGTCGGGGCCTTAACGCACCTGAGAAGCGCTCACATCTCTTACGGGAACTTCACCGTAAGCGGATCTCAGTGGCTCTGTTGCAGGAAACGCACCTCAAATCGGTGGACACCAACAGACTGAAGGACAGACGGTATCCAACCAACTGCCACAGCACCCACCCTACTGACCGAAGGGCAGGAGTGGCGATACTGATAGCCGCTAATATCCAATTCACCCAGACAGACCAACTCACGGACCCAAACGGCAGATACCTTTTTCTCAAAGGCACTATATCTGGAAGAATTTACACCTTCGCATCAATCTATGCGCCAAATGCAAAGCAGGCGACGTTTCTGAACAAAACGATTCGCCAACTGGCAACGTTCACGGAAGGTTCGCTTGTCATAGGGGGGGACTTTAACGCGCCACTCGACCCACTATCCGACTCATCGACCGGACACAGCAGCATACCACAAACCGCGATCAGGGCGATAAGGAAGACACTGTTAGACCTGAGACTGGTGGATGCGTGGCGAACCTTACACCCGACGACTCGAGATTATACGCACTACTCGGCCATTCACAGGAGACATTCGCGTATCGACTACATCCTCATTCAGCAGGAAGGGTTACAACGTCTGCGATCAGCTGAAATTGAACCAACACCATGGTTGGACTTGGGAGTAAAGACACTCCTGACGGAACACCTGTCCAACTACTTCACTGAGAATGATACGGAAGACGTTTCTAAAGTGACACTCTGGGAAGCGCACAAAAGTGTGCTTCGGGGCCACCTCATAAGGATTGCATCACGGAAGAAGAAGGAAATACAGCAACACATGCTGGAACTTACCGGCCGGATTTCCAATTTGGAAACTCTGCACAAACGGTCACAACTCGAGGAACACTATCGCTGTCTTTTAGACGCACGACGACAATTGACAGAACTGATAGCACGCAAACACCATCGAGCGACGCAGAAATCTAAAGCCTTCTTCTACATCCATGCCAATAAAAGTGGGAGACTCCTGGCCAACATGATCCGACCGCAACAAGCCAGGGCGCAGGTACATGCACTGAGAAGGACCAATGGCACCCTCACACAATTCCCGGAGGATATAGCAAACGAATTCCGTGATTATTATCAACGACTATACAACACCTCGTCGACGCCCGACACTCAACGTGCCGCTCTGCAGGAAGCCACAACGCGCTATTTACAAAGATTTCGACCGGACGCCCTCACGCCGGAGGAAGCGGAAATGCTGGAAACCCCGATCACCATAGAATAAATACAAGCGGCAATTAAGGCAGCGAAGAGGGGGAAAGCGCCAGGTCCGGATGGGCTATCGGCGGGGTATTATAAAATGTTTGGAGGCATTTTGAATCCACACTTAACAGCAGCCCTCAACCGACTCCAACAGGGTGACAAGTTCCACCAAGAAACACTAGCTGCCACAATTACGGTGCTACCCAAGCCAGGCAAAAATCCCGAAAATTGCGGCAGTTACCGGCCGATCTCACTCCTTAACACGGATGTGAAACTCTTCTCCAAAATCATCGCCACAAGACTACAAACGTATGTCCAGCGCCTAATCCACCCTGACCAAACAGGTTTCGTGACAGGCCGGGAAGCCAGGGACTGCACTCTAAGGGCATTCTCTATACAGGCATTGGCCCTTAAGGGAGACACGGAGTTGCTAATGCTCTCCACAGATGCTGAAAAGGCATTTGATCGGGTAACGTGGAGCTTCATGATGGCAACACTGCATAAGGTCGGCCTAGGACCGGGAATGATAGCCTGGATAGAGGCGCTCTACGCTAACCCTAGTGCCAGAGTGAGGGTGAATGGCGCGCTCACAGACAGCTTTACCATACACAATGGCACCAGGCAGGGCTGCCCGCTATCGCCGCTCCTATTTGCCCTCTCGTTGGAGCCGTTCTTGGACAGGATAAGGCAAACCCCAGAGATTAGGGGGTTTAGACATAAGGACCAGGAACATAAGGTAGCCGCATACGCGGATGACATGCTCTTTTTTATCGACAACCCTATCAACTCCATGCCGGCTCTGATGGAGGAATTTGACATATACGGCCGGGTATCGGGACTGAAGCTAAATCAAACTAAATGCGAACTGTTGAACGTGTCGGCCCCAACAGCTGTAAGGGAACGGATCGAACGCGAATTCCCCTTCCACTGGTGCCCAGGCCAGATGCGTTACCTGGGAATTTGGATACCCAGCGAACCGAAAGAGATATATGCCAGAAACTACACGCCCCTTCTACGCACAATACTGCTCGACCTCAAAAATTGGAACTTTGACCACATATCCTGGCAGGGACGCATAGCGGTGGTTAAAATGAATATTCTACCAAGGTTGCTTTACCATTTTCACACCATCCCCTGGCACGTACCCCCAGAATTCTTTACAACACTTAAATCGGCGGTGATAAAATATGTCTGGAAGGGAGAGAGAGCACGACTCAGCTACGACAAATTGTGTCTACCCAAGAACTGGGGCGGACTGGCGCTGCCCGACGTTCGCAAATATTTTCAGGCCACGGTTTTACAACGGATTAGAGATTGGCACACAGCACCTGAACACAAATTGTGGGCTGCCTTGGACAGGGAGAGTACGAACAAGGCCCTCCACATGTATATATGGCAAGGCACAGCGGACGCGGCACCAAAACTGGGCAATGAATCACCCATCGTACAAACGCTGAAGACGTGGTCTTCCCTGAGGCGAAACCAATATATCTCCCCACAACCAAGCCCCTTGATCCCGATAACACACAATAGCATGATAGGCGGGGGACTACACCGATCTGCCTGGCCGATAGATGGAGACGGAGATTATATCCCGTTGTCCAAGGTCCTGAGCAACACAGGAATGAGAAACCTGCCAGAATGGAGCACGGCGACACTACACACGCTGATGCACAGATTTCGATACACACAATTGCGGCACTTCTACTACAACCTTCCCAACCGTGAAGCGATCCACAGAGAACAGACGTGGTTCGAACACCTCTGCGTGACAAACACCGACACAGACGGCAGAGTATCAATCCTTTACCAGCAGTTGATCACAGGGGATCGCACACGTAAAAATGCATTTAAGAGGCAATGGGAAGAACTGACGGCAAGGACGTACACAGAGGCGCAATGGGAGCAGATATTAATATTACAACACAAGAGCTCCATAAGCACAAGGTATCAGGAGGTCAACTTCAAATTACTCTCACACTGGTACAGAACCCCATCTCTATTACACAGGATATTCCCGGGAACGACAGATACGTGCTGGAGATGCGAATCCCAAACAGGCACCCTACGACATATCTGGTGGGACTGCGCGCGGATTAAACCATACTGGGAAGACATCAAGAGGGAGATAACGACAATCGTGGGTGACTTACCAGAATTTACCATGGAAATGGCCTTACTACACTTTACGGAAAGCTCGATAGCCCAATATAAGAGATCGATACTGAGACACCTGCTCAATGCTGCGAAAGCGTCTATACCAGCTAAGTGGAAGCAGATCCACCCACCAACCGTAGCAGAATGGCTACAGAGAGTTGAGGAAATACACACAGCTGAGGCACGATACGCAGAACTACTAGGGAGAAGCACCAGACATGTCGACAACTGGACCCCATGGTATGTTTATCTCTCCCGTACCAGAACTTAGAGAGGCACGAGCTCACTGCGACACCCGGGGGTTGGGGATGCCCGGGCGCACTCCGGTGTAAACTGCTCACAGACCCTTCCACACCCCCTTCCTTTTCCTCCTACTCCTTCCCCCTTTTTATACCTGCTACAACTACTGCTTACGTGTAACTTCACTAAGGGACACCGCGGGGGCGGTGCGGCTTGCGGCCGAGGGGGTCGGAACCGGGAGGGCTCGAACACGTTGACGCACAAGATATTACCATGACGTGTAGATAGTTCTACTGATAGTTCTATAGCAGCATACTATAATTTAGAGAGGAAGCGTTGCCACGTTTTTACTAAGCTATTCAATCTAGAGTGTTTATCTGTTCTGTAAATGCGTTCTTATGCACCGATGTTACTATTGTATTCATTTTCCTGTTAAACGATATGGCGCTTGACGACTATTGAGTATTCAGGATCGCGCATGATCAACACTTGTATTATCAGAACTAATGCTCGATTTGTTCACACGCACACGTACGCTGTTGTAGCGTTTGCTTATGTTTATTGTACTCACCTGTATGACAAAATAAAGAATTTACAACAAAAAAAAATAAAAAATAAAAACTAGAGAGTGATAACGTGATGAAGCACTTCTCAATGTTAATTACGGTATGTGAAACTCTGGTGTGGTAACAGTAATAACCTAGCACATGATGGAACACAAGCAACCTGTCATGTCTGTCACGTGGTTTTCGATGCATCTTCCAGGTTGCCCGATCGTGAAGAAGGCCAAAACAGGTTGAAACGTTGATCTTTTGCATAACTGTATGGAACGCACAAATTTGAATAAAACACCTTAACAAACACCTGAGCGTGGACCCTTTTCTACAAAGATAGATGGGCATATACACACACACACATACCTCTATTTATTTTTTATGCCGTATGGAAGAGGGAGAATACTTGCCTCTGAAAATAATTTGCTGTGATTCTCCAGATTCTTCAGCAATCAGGAAATGGACGAGACCTCTTAACCACTCCAGACTCTCCTGCCATTTACAGTGGGAGTGAGGTACACATACCATAAAGTGGTTTACGGGCTACGTGGTACAGCTGTTAATTTTCTATTTAAGCTCATTGGTGGCACCTATGGCATTTACGGATGAATATAATTTGTGTCCAATCATGTAAGCTGCAAATCTCTCATTAAACACTATGCACATACAAACCTTTAACTTCTAGAATATAATCTATAAACATTGCTAGCCAATCAGCTAAATTTAAGGGAGATGGGACGCTAGAATCTCACTTAAACTATCATTGCAGCAACAACTGTGGCCAGTACCTTGAGCAACCTTAATATAAATATTTAAAAATACTAAATATATGCAACATAACATCTGTACACTTCCTAGCGTTTCAGCTAGCATAATACACAGATGAAGAAATGGGTTTCAGGAAACAGACATTGAGCGCTGCAGCCCTAAAAAGGAATTTAAACAGATCCATCAGCGCATACTTTCAATCAACAATTGTAGAATGAACACACACACACACAAAAAAGTTGGTATTTTGTTGCTATGACAACAAAACTATTATTTTACCATGAATGAGCATACATGTACATGATGAAGAAGTCATTGTTTCTATGCAGGTTTAAGAAGGATAAATGCAATTGAGAGGTACAATTCTCACAATCTCATACATAGCTAGGAAGATTGAACAGAAAAAAAAAAAAAAAAGATTAAACAAAAACGTGTGTAAGAGTATTTCAGCAGCTGTAATGCAATTCTAACATGCTTCCATCTTCATATGGAAATTACAGGTCATTTAGTAAAGCGTCATAACACATTGTAGTGGTTATGGTAATTTCTTTCAAACCAACCCATTCAAAAGGCTTTCAAGCAAAAGATAATTAAATAAATAAAATTTGGTCCCCAGGCACTGGCAGTCTGGCCCCTTGCTGGTCATATTTTAATTTGTAAATTAAGGTTTGGCATTAGCAAAGACAATTACAGCCATAATTGAACATCAGTGATAGGGTTAGGGTAGGCAACCTTCAGCACTCCAGATGTTGTGGACTGCATCCCCCATAATGCTCTTACACCCATAAGGCTGGCAAAGCATCAAAGGAAGTGTAGTCCAAAACATCTGGAGTGCCGAAGGTTGCCCATGGCTGAAATTTAGCATTAGCGATACTGCGAGTGAGGGGACCGACAGAGTGCCTCAGGGACCCCCTGTGTTTATCAATCCATTCAAATACACAGTTTGACACATTCACACCGAGGGATCTGCTTAATTTGTGCTTAGACAGAATAGGCCAAGCTCAGTGCAGTAGGTCCCTGCTGCAGAGGCGTTGATGACAGGTGCCCGGTGTACCCAAAGTAATTTGTCAAACCGTTTTTTAAAAGGTAGGAGGACACAGCGGGCTGTAGTGGCTATCGTGCCTGGAGTGTTCTTTAAAGTACCAACCAAGTACTACCTAGATCATAATATAAATAGGGTTTGTGCAACCCCTGAGTTTTAATTACTGGTGAAATTTGTCAAATTGGCGTGACATAAAAAGTCCCTCCCCCCCCCCCATTTGACAATAGACAGATATACAAATGTATTTGTTTATATATACATTCATACAGAGTCAGAAGTCTGGACTGTTAAAAACTATTGAATTTTTATTATTTAACATTAAACTCTTTTACAGGATTTGGGCTTATTTCAGCAAGTCATTAATTTATACAAATATACCAGATGTAGTAGTAAGCAAAACGCCATAAACCAGCAATAACTCAACTGCATGTTTCTACCCCTCCTGCTACAGATAACTTCATACAATAAAACACAATCACTCCTTGTGTTCTGTTAGCAATATCCAAAGTACTGTTACAAGGTATGTACTCAGTAACACACCCAGGCTTCAGACTTTACCACCAATCACACACCCTTCATATATAAAATCGCCAGCAATGATTAACGGAACAGAGATAGTGATTTCCTTTACCATCAGTTTTCTAGACTATCTATTCAACGTGTCTGTTCAAGTTAGACTTTTTTTCAAAAATATGTTTTTTTGTTTTTTTTTCAAATCTAGGAAAATGGTGGCTAGAAGCCAGACCCTTTTATTTTGTAAAAAAAATTTTGACCTAAAGATTGCAACAGAGAGGCAAATTCATCACATCTTTATAAAAACACTAGATGGCTTATTCACTAAACTGTTGAAATCTAAACTGTAAGATGCAGGACAAAATAACAGATTTTTTTTTGGGGGAGGAGTTGTCTGTTTTGATTTTGAATTTTGCAATTTAGTTTTCAATTCAATAATATTCAGTGTTTGTTGTAGTCATACTTCAGCAAATAATCTTAACATTAAACTGTAAACTAATGGGAATTCATAAAGGAGTGGCAAATGTTACCAAAATAAAATGGCTGACTTTTGGCCAACTTTTATCTTCAGCCATTGGTATATTCTCATTATATTTTAAATAAGGCACAGTTAAGCATATGACTCTGTAGGTTTTACCTCAAAAATATAAATGACATAATATCTCTTTGATCTAGGAGTAGCTACACCTGTAACAAGAAGGGTTGTATAGACTCCATTTAAAATCTCTTTATTCCACATACTGCAGAGAACTAACTTTTATATTCCCAGATGCCAAACTGTATTACCACATAAAACAAACTACAGAAACCTAATTATAACAACCCCTTTCATCTAGGACACTTACTTCATGAACTCTGACTAATATCTACCCTATCAACAGGCCTAGAAGCTGATAATACGCTCAGGATTATGGATTTAATTATAAAATGGTTGAAATTTTTAAGTGTTTTTCAAGTTCTAAGGCCATGTTGCCAAACTTGAAATATTTGCTAAATCTGCTACATTTTCGGTTATTTTGGGGTAAATTTTTTAAATTCCAGACAATTCACATTATAGAGAATACCCTATTGGTTGTTTATTCTAGAAAGTATTACATTAAAATTAACCAGGCTTTACTGAGAAAGCTGGGCCAGTCAGCTGATTCACTGAAATGCCCATCATCCTCAGCCAAAAAGGTGATTACTGGAGGCCTTAACAAAATCTAGATGATAGCAGCATCTACCCAGAAACTGGATTAGTGTTAAAAGCCTCTTGGTTGCAGTTCTAGCACCTCTGAAGCATAGCACAGTTAGGCAGTTTCATTCATCCATAAGCTGCCCTCTAGAATCATCCTGCATAGCTGCAATCAGTAACAGCTCTAGAGCAGCTGCCACATTTACCTGTGCTCAAATTCACACCCTCCCTCCTCCAGTCTAGAAAGACAGGATATGTCTGCAATTTCACAGCAGCTTTTTTTTTTTTTTCTTCTCTAACTAACTTTACATCAAATTCTGCTCATCCTGACCAGAAAGGGGGCGATATAATTCCATTAATTACCCTCATGTCTAGAAAAAAAGCCATGTTCTTCAACTATGATTGTGATATAGAAAATCTATAACGATAATAAAATACATCCCCTTGAACTATGATGGTTGAATGCAGTGTTCTATGAATTACTTTCTCAACTGTAATGAAACTAGAATAAACAGAGAGACATATATTGATCACAACCATGTGTCTCCCTGCACATATAATATATTATTAAAAGGGATCCAGAACCAGTAATGTTAGGATAGAACTGTGAGCACTGATCTGATACATTCTAGATCGGTTTAGAGAATGTTCAGAACCCCAGAGCTTCCTTCTGCTATGTAGGTTCATGGAGCAGGGCCGGATCACTGCAATCCTTCCCTCATTCCCTCTGATCTCACCTTTCTCTGCTGTTTCTCCCAGGCTGGATCCAGCAGGAGGTCCCTATCCCAATCCTCCTCTGGTTGCATATAATCGTTGTGCTGCCCGTCGTAATGATGATCCATCCCTGTCCCCTGCTTGCCTTCTGGTCTCCGATTTGAGGACTTTGTGGTGGTTCTGTGGACCCCCTAGCAGCAACAGCAGATCCAGAACGTGGAGCCAGCGCTACAATGTAACCAAGTGAGAGATCAGTATCTACAGGGGAGGGGGAGCCCTGGCCCAGCCCAACCCACCTCCTCCAGCACTGGGATTGGCTGCAGCTCTTTCAAGGCTGCTAGATCTGCTACTGGTATTAAAAAACATCAATCACCATCCATTCTCATCCAGAAAAAGAGAGCACCCCCAGATGTTGTAAGGCTAGGGCTTCCTATAAGTGTGGCAGAGCATCATGGAAGTTGAAGTCCTACAAAAATTGGTGGGATACCCATTACCATCTCTGTTTTAAACTATATATATTTGTATTATTATTATTTTTTTTAATTATAAAACACTAGAAATTGTGTTCGTTATTAATCTTTTTATTTCTGGTACTCTTTTTATTTATTTTTACCATAATTATGTTTTTTGTAAACTATACAACTATATGCTGAGTTAAAGAGGAGTTGGATACATTGCTTGCTAATGACACGTGTCATACTAATCACACAGGAATGTGATACCTAAGGGAAGGGTAGGTTGGCAGATTTTTTTTTGGCTGGGGGCAAGATCTTCTTATTGGTCCAGATGTTAAAGAATTAGAACCCTTCACACACCCAAAATAGAGTAATTGATTGTAAAACAGGCTCACCCACTTTTTGGGAAATAGATCCACATAATTTGTCAGCATTTCTGTGAAACACACTAAAAAAAAAAAACTGTATACTACATATTTATTTATTTTTTAATTAGATTTTTTAAGAAATCATTTAGAAACCTAAAGTAATCCCTGTTGTGTTATGGAGATTGAAGGGAGCATATATGCAAATAATATTTTGGGGGGTAATTCAATAAAAATAGAAGTTTTACAAATTAACAGTTTGTGGCGGACCCACTGCCTGTCTGTAAATTGCCTGTCTTTACATTTAGTTTTTCCCCCATTCTTTTGTTTATTGTGCCTGCTCCACGTTTGAGAGGTGTTCCATGAAGGGAATCCATTCACCTCCCGAACGGGGACCACCCCGATATCTCATTTAGAATGTTAGGTTAGAACGTACACACCTCGCTACATAGGTGTCAAACTGCAAACCGCAAAGGGAAACAGTTAATGAGTGCTTCCCTGGGTGGTCGCCACCAGGGGGAGCATTCAAAGATTGTTTCCAGACTCATTTGTCTCCCAAACGAGGACCATCCCAGTGCCCCATTGGAACGTTCACACCAATTAAAGGACCACTATAGTGCCAGGAAAACATACTAGTTTTCCTGGCACTATAGTGCCCTGAGGGTGCCCCCACCCTCAGGGACCCCCTCCCGCCCGGCTCTGGAAGGGGGAAAGGGTTAAAAACGTACCTTTTTCCAGCGCTGGGCGGGGAGCTCTCTGCCTCCTCTCCTCCTCCTGGGCTGAATGCGCACGCGCGGCAAGAGCTGCGCGCGCATTCAGCCCGCCGCATAGGAAAGCATTTACAATGCTTTCCTATGGACGCTTGCGTGCTCTCACTGTGAAAATCACAGTGAGAAGCACGCAAGCACCTCTAGTGGCTGTCAATGAGACAGCTACTAGAGGATTAGGGGGAAGGCTTAACCCATTCATAAACATAGCAGTTTCTCTGAAACTGCTATGTTTATAAAAAAAATGGGTTAACCCTAGAAGGACCTGGCACCCAGACCACTTCATTAAGCTGAAGTGGTCTGGGTGCCTAGAGTGGTCCTTTAATCAGAACGTTTGAACTCGCAACATAAGTGTGAAACCACAATGGAAGTAATTAATGAGTGCTCCTGTGGGTGGCCGCCATTTCGTATAGACGAACGCCGTCCAGGGGGAGCATTTGGATCCTGAAAGGAGATGCTTCCCTTGCCGGGTTTCACACAGGGACCTCGCGAGCGGAGTCTGGTTGAGGAAGGCACCGCTGTGAGGTCCCCTGAGGTTGGTGGGGACACTCATGGGGCACTGGCTAGGTTGGCGGGCCTGTCGGTGCTGGCAGGGCTGGCTTTTCTGTGTCTGGGAGACAAAGGGATGGTCCCTTTTCCCCGCGCATGGACTCCCAGGCACATAGGCTGCTGGGAAGAGGACCTCCTGGCAGCTAGTGTGGGAAACCCTGTGTTCACAGTGGCGGGCTTTGGGAACAAAGGGAACAGGGGGAGGGTCCCAGGGAAGGGGAGGATGTTTGTGTGGAAAACCCCTTGCACGGGTTTATGCATAAAAGCCTTGTGTGACCAATAAAATTGTGTTGTACCTCCAGGACTGTCTGTTGTCCAGTTACTGGGGGGAAATGGGTCTATTTGTACTTTACATGGTTCCAAAGTTGTTCTGATGCTTTCTGACAAGCAGTGCAAATCTCTTCTTTACCGCCAACATGCTGGCTTCATCCTCTACTCCTTGTTATCACCTAGGGAGTTTCCATAGCAGCCACAGCACATGCGCTGTGGTTGCTATGTGTGGAGAAGTCTCCTCTGCTAGCCTTTATCAGAAAACTCTTTGGCATAGAGCATATGCCAAAGAATTGACAGACAGGTGGGAGAAAGATCTGTTAATTATTTTCTGCTAGCGCGGTGTATAGATGACATTTTATGGTTTATTTACTAAAGTAAGAATTCAGAGTGAATTCACAGTGATTTTATTTTCACCTTAAATTTGTCATTCACATTGTATCACAAGCAACAATTTAACCAACTCAAGGGACTTGAAATTACTTTTGTAGCAAATAACCAATGATCCAAACTATTTGAAGAACAAACACCCTAAACACCTCCTCGACTTAATGATGCGCACAAGTGATGTAAACTAACAATTCATCTGTATTCAGTTGCATAAATTAAAGGACTAAAAAGAACTGCAAGCTAAAATATAACACAGCAAAATTAATGACACAATAAATACACGTGTACCCAGTAACTGAAATGTCCATTCAAAAGTTAAGGAAGCACTCTAAACATCAAAACCAATTATTTACCATGAAGTAGTTATGGTGCACAGATCATGTCCCTTTAAAACATTGCCATTTCAGGAAAATGTGCCTAGGCACAAATGAAGCATCCAGCCAGGATTTCGAATGCATTGTGTCTTAAATTTAGATAATACCAGGTTGGTGGATGGACATCATAGATATCCAATTAGATACCTCCATTGAATGGAGATCAAAAAGGTTGTGTATAATGCAAGCAAATAATACCCTTATTTAAATGTTTCCCACCCCTTCCTGTCAAGGCCGCACTTTGACTGACAGACGCTCACTCACTGACAGACGCATACACTCATTGACAGACACACACTCTCATATACACTGACAAACAATGACATACACAGACACACTGATAGACAGACACACACACTCACATTCAGACACACACTCACATTCACTGACACACACACTCACATTCAGACTCACATTCACTGACACACTCACACATTTTCCCCACTCATTATTATTAATATTTTTTTTTAAATTGAAAGCCACCCAGCCTCCCTACGTTTGGGATAGCTGGGTGGATTTCTCACCTGGGGTCTAGTGGGTCTGCTGGGCAGGGGGGTGGATGAATGTGCAGGTAGGCAGGCAGGCTGGCGGGCACTCTAGGTTTTCAGCGAGGGAGCACTTTCCCCTGGGCACTCTGCTCAGCTCCCTTGCACGCCGCAGAGTGATGCCGGGAGCCGGAATATGACATCATTCTGGCTCCCATCATTACTGCGGCTCGCACAAAGGAGCTGAGCAGAGTGCTCAGAGGAAAGTACTCCCTCGCCGCCCGACCAGGTAACCACTGCCCGCCTGCCCCAAGGGGAGCCCAAAGGTGGCCAGCCGGCCAGCTCCTGGGCTCCCATAAATCGAGGCAAACCAGGTATTTGCCTGGGCATTTGGAGGCGGCATTTTTTGCCGCCCCCTGGAAATTGCAGCCCAGGGCAAATTTGTCCCTGACCCTGTTACATATCTTAGTATCATCAGTAAAAAGACATACCTTACCATCAAGACCTTCTGCAATATCACTAATAAAAATATTAAAGAGAATGGGTCCAAGTACAGATCCCTGAGGTACCCCACTGGTGACAAGCCCATGCTTTAAATATGTTCCATTGACTACAACCCTCTGTTGCCTGTCACTCAGCCACTGCCTTACCCATTCAACAATATCAGGATCCAAACTTAAAGATTGCAGTTTATTGATAAGCCTTCTATGAGGAACAGTGTCAAAAGCCTTACTGAAATCTAGGTAAGCAATGTCTACTGCACCACCCTGATCTACTATTTTAGTTACCTAATCAAAAAAAATCAATAAGATTAGTTTGGCATGATCTCCCTGAAGTAAACCCATGTTGTCTCTGATCTTGAAATCCATGTGATTTTAGATGTTCAACAATCCTATCCTTTAACATGGTTTACATTACTTTCCCCACTACTGAAGTAAGGCATACTGGCCTATAGTTGCCCGACTCCTCCCTACTACCTTTCTTGTAAATGGGCACAACATTCGCTAACTTTACCTTTAGTTATGTCTGCCAGCAAATCACTCATATGGTTTGGAGATTTTTTGCACATTCATTGATTTTTTTTTGCACTTAATTGATTAATGTACCATTATTGAATGAATGATTAGTGGTCACTTACTTGCCTTAATTGGCTTTAATAATATTTATTTGCATGAGTTATATTGTAAGATATTTGCACACTAAATTATTGGTTGATCAGTAAGGAATATGTTCAATAAAAAGTTTCCTATCTGAAAAATCTACCCATCTCAACCTCTAAGTCTGGTGCTGTATTGCACAAAATCAAAGAGAGAACTCTTCACAAATATTTTAATTTCCGCTAGGAAAGTTCACAAGGAAAAATAAGACTTAAAATAGAAACTTTAATAAGATAACATGAAATTTAAAAGCGATGTTTCTTCTTTTTTCAGGTATCCGTAAAAACTCCTCTTCTTAGTTTGTTATAATAGCGTTCCCTTTTCATCCACCAACAATTTCGTCCTTTACCCACCAGGCTGTTTTACCCTGACACATTGGCATCCAAAAAGTAAGGCACAAAAAAGGGAACACTTTGTCTAGGATGGCTTGGCATGCATTTCTCATAAAGTTGGGAAGTTCAATCTATGACATGGTGTTGTCCTGAGAAATAGACATCTGTTATTTGAGTGCAGCCAACTAGTCTTGTGGATCAGTGATACATCCAGACTGCTCAAGATGTTTGTACATAATCACATTCTATAATGCACTTTTTAGAGTACAGAAACATGTGTCCAGCTCTTACAATCTCACAGTGTTCAGAAAGCAAGGACCTATCGTGGAAAAATTATTTTCCATCCCCAATAACTTATTAATCTTACAAACTTGGATCCATCTACTTTTTTAGTTGTCACAAACTATGATAATGCTGTGGAGGGGGTCAATACTCATAGCCACTGAATGCTCTAATAGGTGCACAAAATGGATAAAGGGTAAATTGGATTGAGTCCTCAGCTTTATCGATATCAAGACGAATAAAGGACTGAGGGGACACATGGATAAGTGTCAAACTGTTCGCGAATGTCTCGACTCCATACCGATAGGGGCGATGTCAAGGAACTTCTGGCACCATGAATACAGCATGCTGTAGTAAATGTAGGTCACCTTTAAGCTTATGGTTAAGAAATGCTTAGATTTAGGGGTTTAGGGGGAATGTAGTAGACTGTATTCTGTAGAATGTAACTCATATTATTCTCAGCCGGGTGAAAATGGAATAGGTGGAGGAGCCAGTGGTAGAACAAATGGCGAAGCCATCTAGCAGTCAAGTCTAGAGCCTTCTAGGTTGGCTGAGCCAGTTACATACTCAGAGTACTTATAATACAAATGCATTGTGAAAAGTGGAGGATTGGCTAATGGGTCAGGCTTACGCTACAAGAGGCTGTAAAAACTTTTTTGCCCTTCTTCGAATGATGTGAAAAATAAACCAAACTTGAATACGATGCCAAAATTTTTCAAACGTTCTTAAGATGTGTTGGTGCGTGGAATAAAATTGGAATGTCCCTTTAAGTATGTGAAACGGTTGGACAGTTTTAAAAATGGGCCTGTCTTCAACAAATATGTATAAATTCACTAGCCAGGCAAATCAGTTACTTGCAATCTCACTTGGTTTCCTTAAATTACGGCTAAGTGATTTTGAAGGAGTAGGTGAGGAGTGCACAATTCCTGTCTGGTTGTTCTCAAAATCAATGAACTTGTTGTTACCAGGAAACAGAACAGATGTGATTGTAAATAACGCTGACACAATACATCTATAACAGTATGTCATTGCAAGGTAGACGCACTGTTTAATGTGAACTAGCGGTTAGCGGAATGTATAGCTTTTGACATTTCATACTCTTGTATTGTTTGTGGAACTGTCTACACTACAAGAAACTATAGCATGACTGGCAATGGACTCATATTACTATGTACAATGTGCAACAGATCAAATATTCCCCACATTTTAAATACAAACCGCCGATACATTATGGCAACATGTTAAAGTTTACATTTCTGATTGGAATATAAATTCACTACTTGTCCCCCACTTCCAAGAGTAACTGCATTCTTGCTATCATGACAGTCAGGGTTTGATGTTTATGGTCAGTTGGTGAGATGGTTGACAAAGTATTCTGGGTTAATGGCATCTAGGTTTGTGAATTCTGACTTGGCTACATATTCAGTCATGCCCAACATTTTATACTCTGCAGGGAATCCCCTGGTAAGTGTACCCCTCAGAAAACTACTAGTCTAAATGCTGGCAAATCCTCTGCAACAAGCACGGGAGCTGCAAATACAACATGGAATTATAGCGCAAACTATTTTTTGTTTTGTTTTATCTTTAACATCACAGTTTTTATTGTGAATGTATGTTGTAGCTCATGAAAGTAACATAGTTGTCATATGCTCCATATTCGTAGACATGGCAAAACATAAAGGGTATGATACACATTCACATATTTTATCTTAAAGGAACACAAACATGTATTCCTGACTCTATAGTGTTAAAAACACCATTTAGCCCCTGTGGTTCCCCCTTGCCCCTTAAATATAGTAAAATCTTACTTGTATTCAAGTCTGCAACTGCTGCCTCTGCCCCGATCTGCCTGCTTGGCTGACATCATCAGAAGTGATTCTGTGAGCCAATCACAATGCTTTCCCATATGATTGGCTGAGACTGTAAAGGAGGCAGACCAGGGGCAGAGCCAGCACAAGTCAAACACAGCCCTGGCCAATCAGCATCTCCTCATAGAGATGAATTGAATCAATGAATGAATCTCTATGAGGAACGTTCAGTGTCTGCATGCAGAGGGTGGAGTCACTGAATGTCTGTAACATTGTACAGCACTGCCCACAGGAAGCACCTTTAATAGCCATCTGATTAGTGGCCAGTGGAATTATTACTAGGCTGTAATGTAAACACTGCATCTTTTCTGAAAAGACAGTGTTTACAGTAAAAAGCCTGAAGGGAATGAAACAATAAACTGTAGTTGTTTTGGTGACTATAGTGTCCCTTTAACAAATCAAAATTAAACAAACTAAGAATAAAAAAGAAAACTAAATTAGCAGAAAGGTGTGAGGTACCTTAGTAGTTTGGACCCTCTGGTTGAAGGGTCTGGTTTTAGATAAATCTATTGGACAGTTATGTCCATCAGATTCATACAGTCGGAAACTGCCAATTATCTTAATCACAATATAAAAGGTAACAATATAAACATAAACAACGCAAACAATTGATATGTCTCAATCTCTCAAGTGCATTGTGTGGAATTCAGGTATAGGCAGCCTTCAACACTCCAGTTGTTGTGGACTACATCTACCATAATGCTGGCAAAAGCATCATGGGAGATGTAGTCCGCAATAACTGAAGTGCCGAAGGTTGCCTACAAATGTGTGTTTTTATTGTTTTTCTCTCTAATATGAGAATATACTGTTTCCATATGTAGAGGATCTTTGTAGCCATTAATTCTTTATTATTTAATGTGCATGTCCAATACATCTTGAAAATATGGTGGAGCTTACTTAGGAAACGTGACCGAAGAGGAGGGTCTGGTTGGTTTCAGTGCTGTAAGATAGTTACGTGTCCTACTGCAGGTATTATGTGTGCACATTGTTTTTTAAATTAGGGACTCTTGTAAAAGGGGAAGGGACCAAACAGAGTCAAATCTGGAGTACGGTAATAGCAAAGAAAGGTAGATTATGTGTCTTGACATATTGTGTCATTGTAATCCAGAATACTTGAATATACAGACAATCCCAGAAACAGTGATGATACATATCATGCGTGTTCTTTCTGTTTTTGTACATTTCTGTAGCACATTTCAGCCCTATAGTAAGGGTGTTTAAGGCAGATGTTAGTCTATAGTTCTTGTAGATCTCTGTCTCCCATGATGCTCTGACAGAATGCCAGAACGTCACTCTAATTTGAATTCTTTAACAAGTGGAGGGCTACTTCTTGGCTGCCCCAGGTTTATGCTATGCATATACATGTTCATTATCATTGTGTCTATAAGTAGGGTTACCAGATCCTGTTTTCAAGTTTTATACATATTGATGGGCAGTACATGAAAAGAGCTGCCCTGAAGCGTGTAGAATTAAGAAGAAGGTATATAAGATTAAGTAATTAGGCAATAAAGAATCCTGCAGGATATGCATTCTACATAGTACAGGGCAACCCTTTTCATGCATTTTAATAAACTTTTAATAATTATATTGTCCCCAAAAACCTGATGGATCTGGTAACCCTATCTATAAGAAACTCAAGCGTTTGTGTATTACATTTGTGTGTGGGCTTGAGGAGTCATTCAATGTATAGTTAGTGATTTTGCTGTTCAGCAGTCAATGCCTTGGCCCTCTAGGATGTATGTGTTTGTCAGCATCTCCATCCATACAAATTAGGTTGGTAGGAGGGCCACCACTAGTTCTTAATTGAATGGCCTTCTCTCCCAACTTGTGCTTGATCTACCTCTTCCTGTCAGTTCTCCTCTTACCCAAAGCCACAACGAACCTCTTACAAGTTTATGCATCATTTTTGCCATCCTACATCTGCTTCCAGTAAGTCTGTGAGCTGTATTTTTTAACTATAGTATAATTGTTAAACCGATAACAACCCTTAAGAAAGAATAATCAATAAAACGTCATGTTTTAGATATTTTTTTTTGAATGTCCTTTTAGCCATATTGCTCCAACACTTATTAACTGCCCCATTCAGCCACGTTGATCCTACAATTTAAAACTGTCCATCCCGCCTAGCTATACTACACTGACACTTTAGAACTTTGTACTATTTTCATTAGATGTCTCTATATAATGGCTTTAAGGTGCCTCCTATTAAAATTATGCAAAAGGTCGGCTCTGGGGCCCTTTTTTCTCTCTGGTGTTTGACAAGCTTCCCAAATGATCAGCTTATATCTTAAAGAGTGTTGGAGCTTATTTGTTAAATACTGAATGGTAGCAAAGTAACAACTGAATTGCACAATTTAAGCAAATAATACACAATTTGGAGAAATTCTCCAAAACAGCTACAGTTTGGTTAACTTGACATAAATTGAATTATTTTAATTTACATTTCAAAATTCAAGAGGAGCTTAGTGAAAACCCTGGCCCTACAGCATAATTTCCATCACTGAAACAGCAACATTGGATACAAAAACCACTTTGTCAAGTACTACTTTGGGATAAAGATTTTTCACTGCGTTTCTGCAGAGTTATTGGGAATGTAAGTGAACAGGAAGGAAGTGTGATCTCATTCAAACACAGTTAGCAAGTAAAAGTCTTCGGGAACCAACCTCGCGGGGGGAAGTTAAATTCAGAATATGCCTGGCTGTTAAAAAAAAGAAAAGTAAAATGTGCTATTATTGTGAGTCTTAGACAAATAACTGATTTGTTATTACACATATATCATTTACATACATTTTAATACAAAAGGGACTATAATAATACCTTACATGTTTATTCAGCCAATGTGGAATGTAATTCTGGGCACTCATAAGCAAACGTGTTCATATATCTCAGCTTGTCATAAATGTACAATGACGGGAACGATTTGCATCGTGATCTGCAAGGAGTAACTCCAGGAAACGAGAAACGTATTCATACTCGCCAGACTATGACCAAAATGTCTTTTTAAATTTCTTAGAGAAAGGCAACTGTTTAACACGTTGCCTCTCCCAGTTACATTTTTGCAGAAACCATCTAGACATGACACATTTTTGTTCACTTAGAATTTGGGCTGCTGGTCTTTGGTAGTCATTGAGGGTTTCTGGAATGTCCACAGTGGTGAAAAAGAATTATTTATTTACATAGAAAGTCTTTCGGAGGAGAATTCAACAGGATTCTTCTCAAGTATGCTGAGGGACGTGAAAACAATATACTGTAGTTTTGCTGCAGGGTTAAACACAAAAAAACACAGACTAACACTGGTATGTTTGAGTTTAGTGGAATTGAGAATTTTATTTTATTTTATTTTTTTAAAGGTTTTATTGGAAGAATATTACAACTCCCATAAACCGCTGCTGTGTTACATTGCAGATAATAGCTTTATGGAATGATGACAATTGGAAAAAAGGGGTTGGCTTAAAAGCAAAACAATATGAACAAAAAATAGCTCCATCCAGCATAATTGTAACCCATCCATTGCACCTAACATATGGTTACTAGAAGGGACCTTTTAGATGTACTATGGGCGAATACAGAACAATATTGAAGGCAAGATTCAGTCTCTGGGCCAAACTCAGAGATCATACCATGCTGAGTACACACTTCATTTCACCTACCGCCAGAAAGACTACTGTGCATTCATTAGAAAGCATCTCTGGAAAAGTTGGACCGCATGCAGGAAGGCAGAATAAATGCCAGGAAATTATGTCCAGGATAATACTGCAGATGATGAAGGCACCCACGTTCTATAAATACAGTTCAAATTTGGACAAATAACGAGGAAATAAAATTCATCATTAGCACTGTGGCAGCATAAAGGTTGGGCATTGGGTGACAGGAGAGCCCCAGTTTGTTCCAATTGAGTAGAAACCAGGTTGACAAAAATCTAGTGGACTGCACCTAAAGACTCCGTGTATTATAGCAACAAAAATGTGGTGCGTATCTGTTAAAAGAATTCTCCAAGCACCATAACCACTACAGTACCCTGGCTTGTCCTGGAGCCATTGTATTCAATCAAACCATTTTAAGAATGGTTTGACTCCTTATCTGGGATCCACCGTTGTAGTAGGGCTTGGCTCATTGGCTGAGAGTGATTATTTCATGATGTTCTTAGCCATGTGCTAGCCCTGAACTGCATGGTTAACTCAGAAAAGATAATGGACAATTCTGCTCAGGAGGTTCTAGCTCTCCAACTGAGGTAGTAGTGGTGGTGGTAAGCAGCACCCAGTGGATCCCAGGTAAGAAGTTTAAACGTACTAGAATAGTTTTAATACTTATGGTACGGGGGCATCACGGCACTCCGGCACTATAACAACTACAACACCTATAGTTGCTATGGAACAGTCTTGTTCCATTATCATGTTGGAGTACACCTCTGCTTTGCATTGGGGAAGGCAGAGTTACATTGGTTGAACCATTTATTGTAGGAAGTTACCTTCGGCCTGATGAATATGTCAGTTTCAGAGAAGGACCACTGCCATTGCCTGGAAATGCTATTTTGAATCCCAACCCTGGGATTAAGAGCCACATATTTAAGATTTTTGTCAAATTCCTTTTTTTATCTCAAGAGGGAAGCATGACACCCTCGCTGTTGGAAGATGCCACTATTTAAATAATTTGATTAGTATTTCCTGAATGGTGGCATACTATTCTAACCCTTGGAATCAAGAAATGGAGGTGATAACACAGTCAGCTGAGATTAACTACGAAATTAAACATCATCAATTAAAAAAAAAAAAAAATCCACGTTATACTATGGTCAAAGTGATTGATGGGTTAACAGGACATGTGAGATTTCACTCACCGAGTTCTCTGCTCTGAATTAAACGTCTTTCCCTTATTGAGTCACTTAAATTTACAATGTGCAAAGTGTCTGCAACAGAGACATAAACTGTGTCAGTTACAGAATGTGAATTCCACACCTTAACTTGTTACCACGGCAGCAAACGTAGCAGCAGATAGAAATCTCACTTTATGTGTGTGGAGCAAAGTTTTGTTAATATAACAGGTCTGGGGATGTGGAGATTTGTTAGACTTTGCCCTCTCAAGAGAAATACACACTCACACAGGATTATTTTATATAATGTAAACTGTCTGCAATTCGAAGTGAATTTCATATCTGAGGCCTGTAATGGGATGGTGTTCTGAGAATATCACTGCCATTAAAGTCCCTTTTTTATTTCTATTGTTGTATGAATATTTAAAGGGACACTATCGTCACCTGAACAACTTTATCTTAATGAAGCAGTTTTGGTGTATAGAACATGCCCCTGCAGCCTCACTGCTCAATCCTCTGCCATTTAGGAGTTAAATCCCTTTGTTTATGAACCCTAGTCACACCTCCCTGCATGTGACTTGCACAGCCTTCCATGTAAACACTTCCTGTAAAGAGAGCCCTATTTAGGCTTTCTTTATTGCAAGTTCTGTTTAATTGAGATTTTCTTATCCCCTGCTATGTTAATAGCTTGCTAGACCCTTCAAGAGCCTCTTGTATGTGATTAAAGTTCAATTTAGAGATTGAGATACAATTATTTAAGGTAAATTTCATCTGTTTGAAAGTGAAACCAATTTTTTTTTCATGCAGGCTCTGTCAATCATAGCCAGGGGAGGTGTGGCTATGATTGACACAGAAACAAAGTGATTTAACTCCTAAATTACAGTGAATTGAGCAGTGAAATTGCAGGGGAATGATCTATACACTAAAACTGCTTTATTTAGCTAAAGTAATTTAGGGGACTACAGTGTTCCTTTAAGATAGTGAATTTGCATATATTTGCATCTATTGCTTTAGTTCTGTCACTATAAGCTGTTATGTGTTCAATAAAGCATCCCCCCCCTCAACAGAAGTGTTGTTTTGGTTATTTAGGGGGCATGATGGGTGATAGAGTCTGTGGAACAGTGTACTTTGAGCTTTAGCATTTGGGCCTGTGAGTCTATGTATCTCAGTAAAGATGTAGCAAGAAGTCAGAGTATGCTAAAGACTATTTGGCGTTATTTGGTAAATACTGAGTTGCTGCAAATTGACAACTGAATTGCAAAACTCATGCAAAAATAAATAACTAGATGCTTTGGAATAACTCTCCAACTCAGCTACGGTCGTGGTTTAGTTAATTTGACATAAATTTAACCATTTCAATTCAGATTTCAACATTTTAATCTGTTGAATAAGAGAGAGTACAACGCTGATGTCTATGGAGGACTGGTATAAATAGAAAGGACCGTAACGAAAGTAAGATCCACCTCTTGTCAAGCGTCGGAAAAATACACAAGACAAATAAGTAGCTAAATTGTCTTCTGGTATCATTTGTCTTTAGCAGAACTTCATAAAGATTTTAATTTATCTTGATGAAATACTCTTTTTAAGGGGGGAGGGGTTGACAGAGCCATTTAAATTACAATTCATATGGATTTCATGGATCTGGTTAAAGGGACACTATAGTCACCTGAACAAAGTACAGCTTAATGTAGTTGTTCAGGTGAGATCTATAGCTCCCTGCAGGCAATCTAATGTAAACACTGTATTTTCAGAGAAAATACAGTGTTTACAATGATTGATAGGAATACCTCCAGTGGCCGTCACTCAGACGGCCACCAGAGGGACTTCCTATCATGTATGGCCCTAAAAATGCCATGTACACGTCAGACATATTAAAATACGTCTGACTTGTGCAGGAGAGAGAAGGCACTATGTGCGCGCCTTCTCTCTCCTGCCTGTCAGCAGAGGAGAGGGGGCGGGCAAATACCGCGAGCTGAGCGGTCAGTCAGCTCAGCTTGCGGCTGCGCACACCACGCACATGCATGGTAGTGCGCTCAGGACTTCAGAGGTATGTGCGCATGTGTGGCGAAGCCGCGCATGCTCACAAGGGAGCAATGACGCTTCCAAATGGAAGCGTCTGATTGCTCCCTGCTCGCACCCACCTATTTTGTCATTTTGACGAAATAGGGGGCGCGCATCCACAAGGCTCCCGGCGCTGGAACCAGGTGCGTAAAATCCTGGAGAGTCCCTTTAAGCTCAGTGCATCCACAATGCATGATATTTGTATGTTCTCAATGTATTACATATATTATCATGCATTTAATGGTGCTGAAAAATATAAATGTATCTTACTTGTACAGGTGGTCCTCACTTTACGACCTACCTGTTTTACAACAGCTCATTAGCGCGAGGATTCACGGGATTCCCCACTTTAGAGAGCTGGTCCCCAAATATAGATTTCAGCGATCCCCTGGGCTATTGAGCTAATCTATGTTCGGGAAGTTTTCCCCCGAATGTAGACCTGCTCTCTTGCACATGCTCGCTAGCGCATCCTCATTTACTGACCAATTTGTTTTACGACCGGGTCGTAAGAACGGAACCCGGTTGGTAAGTGAGGCATGTCTGTAATGCTATATTGTGCCAATAAGCTTGACCTGTATGTGTGCATCAGTGAACTGTGGTCTGTGGTGAGCTTGTGTATGATTGTATGTTTCAGTGAGCTTGGGCATGTAGTAAGCTTCTGTGTTTTGAGTCAGTGAGCTTGTTTGTACTGTGCTTGTGAGAGCGCATAATTGAGTTTGTCTTTAGCAAGCTTGTGTGTGTGTCTGTGAAGTTGTTTGGGTGTTCCAAAGTGTTAGATCATATGGGTGAAACATTGCGATGTCACACCAATGTGGAGCATATTGTGGTGTGGTTCAAGTGATGTCACACCATGGGTGGTGCTTATGGGGTGTAGAGATGTCGCGAACTGTACGCCGAACTGTTCGCGAACTGTCCGCCGGCGAACAATAGCGTGTCCGCGTTGGGCGAACATATCCGATTTCCTGTCCGCCCCCTATACGTCATCATTGAGTAAACTTTGACCCGGAACCTCACAGTCAGCAGACACTTCCTGGGAGGGAGGGTCTGCTGCTGATTGGGTGGAATGTGTCTGCTGGCTGTGAGGTTGCGGGTCAAAGTTTACTCAATGATGACGTATAGGGGGCGGACCGGAAATCGGATATGTTCACCCAACGCGAACACGCTATTGTTCGCCAGCGGACAGTTCGCGAACAGTTCGGCGGACAGTTCGCGACATCTCTAATGGGGTGTAATATTTTTTGCCTAGGGCGGCAGAAATCATTGCACAGGTCCTGGATGGTATGGAAAGGCTCTTTCCTATAAGCTTGCCAAAGTGCCTTTTTTGTGGGAGATTTATGAAGTTTGTATTGTGTTGGGCAGGACTTGAAATTGCTTCTGGCATGAAATCATTTAAATTAACATGGGTGATGCCCTGATTAACTTAACTGATTTCACACTTTGTGAGTCCCTAAACTGTTAACTTTTTTTTCTTTGATGTCGCCAGTCTCATGAACTACAACATAACACACTCTCAGGCACTTATAGAGCATTCCATGTCAAAAAATTGGTATTGTACGTAAGCAGCCATGGTTGCCCTTAATGTCATGCGTGTTACAAATTTGTTAGTGGAACCGCTTTCAGGTATGAAACCTTAATTTGGCGATTTACCAACAATGGGGGACTAATGTTTTCTCTACAAACTGTAATTGGTAAAATCACAATCTGAGTGCAGGCCCAACTTTACCCAATGCAATCCTTTAGTTAAACGGTTAATCCAAATACCGTGACCAATTCTGCTTCTGGAAGTGGTCATGGTGGTAGGAGCACCACATCCAGAGATATTTGGACTTGTGTGCTGGGGGGGGGGGGCTACTTACACCCCCTGCACCTTTGACTTTGGTAGGCTGGAACACTGTCCTGGGCTGTCTAATGTCAATTCTGTGCATATTCTATATCTGTCATCGATACGCACAGCGAGCTGGCCACAGATAAAGTAAGATTACAAGGGTAGGTTTCCTCTTCCGGCCCTCCTGTCCTCTCTCTTTGCATTCTTTCTCAGCACTCCCTCCATTTTACATTATCATTTTTTTAATATAAAGTGCAGCCCTCCCCTCACCAGCTCTGAGTGTGCGCATGCGCTCTGAGCTGGTGACAATGGTCCAATCAAATGCTTCGAGGGAGCCTGTGACGTCGCAACAGGGAGTGGAGAACCAGGAGCTTCGCCTGGCGTTGGATTTCAGATAAGTTTAACCCGTTAAACCGGCATTTTATGAATGGGGTGGGGAAGGGTGTACCCAATGAGCAATGCCCTATAGTGAGTTAAATAAATTAAATTCACAAGTTAATTATAAAGTATTATAAGCTCACTATGTAGCTAAGCACTTTGTATAAAAGAGCTTCAATGGCTGGATATCAGCTTATGGGCAGGGCCCTCTCTACCTTTTTTATTTGTCTGTGTAAATTGTACGTCCTCCACTAATTGTACAGCGCTGCGGAATATGTTGGTGCTTTAAAAAATTTAAAAAAAAATACCAGTAATAAATAAATAAATATACATTCATTAAGAGTAGTTAGTGCAGGTTGCCTTTGTCATTTTATGTTTATACCAGAAGCATTACCATATATATATATATATATATATATATATATATATATATATATATATATATATTTGTATTTATTTATATTTATTGATATTTATACACACACACCCCTCACTAGGTAAAAGTGAAAGCTGTTTGAAGCAATGTATTATTACATGGAGAGGAGATATCCCAGGTTTGCTATACAAACTATGTGAAGGGAGGGAGGGAGAGGGAGGGAGGAGGAGGAGGAGACCCAGGAGCTGGCCATCCATGTAAGGTAAGGTAAAGGAGCCAGGCACAGCTATCTCCTTATATGGACACAGTCTAGCCACAGCGACCCATTGGTCGCGATGAAGTGACGTCACTCCACCCGCAGCCATTACCATGTCAGTAGAGTTCAGGCTGAGCAGAGCGACGGCGCGCTCGCAGACTACATTTCCCGTGATGCTCCGTCGGCACGAGCGGCCGGCCGAGCATGACGGGAAACGTAGTCCCGCACCCTCTAAATGTTGCTGTCATAGACTAGTAATCATGCACTGACATTTATTGTTGTGCCTAATAGGCAGCCTGGCTTGTCAGGGCAGTGATCACTCATTAAAAGCAAATGACACCTTGTAAACATAAAGAGGAAAAATATAATATTTCTCTAATTGCCTTCTAATCCATGGATTAGTACAGTGGGGTTAGTGCCACACCATGGCATTGTGGGCTGAAAGCCTGGAATATTAAATAAATGACATAAAAGCAGCATGTTATGCCAGAGGTTGTAGCAGAAAACAGGCAATTATCTCATACACTAATTCTAAAAATATGCAGGGCTAGAGCTGCTCCAAGACTTGTTATTGCAGGAGAATGAATGCACAATAATCATTAGCTCCTGCTTTGTTAAACTGTGCCTGTCATAGGTATAAAACTAGAATTTATTATATTTGAAGGGACACTAAGCTCCTTGCGTAGGTTTTGGTGGAAGCAGGCTCAGGGTCCTACCCCTTATCCCTTTGTACGCTGTAGATGTTCCGCAGTAATTTGCGAAAACTGCTGCAGTTATAAGTCCGCCCTTTGTACCTCTGATATCAAAGAAGGAAATTAGAATAACTTGTTTCCCGTACACGTTTTGCATACAGCGGCGAGTGTACAAGGTTCCCAGCTCCCCTTTGCACCTCGTTATATAGCTATTCATTTCCCAATTCTAAAATCTGTGAATGTAGCCATCAGTAAACGCATAGCAGCCATTGTAAAGCTGCAATCTATTTATTTAGCTGTCCTACTCATCTTATATTTTGAATGGAATAGCTGCTGGGCCTGAATAAAATATCCCTTAAATTCCCACACTCTTCACACATAAAGCTTTTCAGCAAGCTAAAATGCTTTAGCGGTCTGGAGTGTCCCTTAAAGCCCAGATAGCGAAGAATGAAGGGTCCAGGGTAGTTGACATTCCTGATAAGGAAGATCACTTTTGTTTAATGTGTGTTTGTGCATAGTGCTTACAGCACAGTCAACTTTCATGGAGAGGACCAAACCAAAGGCCATACGTGCACAGACTCCAGCTCTGCTGATCATTGCCTGTAGTACAGTTTACTCGACAGCGAAAGTAGCTGTGTTCGCTATTATAACTTACCCTGATGAGTGGAACTGGTCCTGAGGTATATGGGATAAGAATAAATTCCAAAAATCTGAATTGGATGCATTAGATGTATCTGTACTGGTGGCTTTGTTTTATGCCAGGGCACTGTGATGTTCCCTAACACCATACTTACCTTCTTCTCGTCATCACCAGTAACAAGTTTCATAGGATATAATAAGAGGGATATACAATAAAGAATAAAATGAGGATGATATGGGATAATGGGAAAGAGATGTAGTGAAATGGTTGTGCGTTAAAGGATTAATTCCACACACAACAATTTTGAGAAAAAATTGCCACAAATGAACATCCGAATGACAACAGTTAAACAATAATAGCTAATCTGAAGTTTAAAAAATAAATTTAAAAAAATCTACAAAATGAGCTAAAATCACAGCTTGGATATTTAAAACGTGAAGTTCAGTGAATGACCATTGTAATCACAGTAACACTTCATATTCTACATCTAAGATGTTCTCCATCACTGTTTTCTGAAACACAGATATATGATTGTGGTGTGAGGGAGTTCATTGCTACATGCCACCTGAAACCACTGTGTGGTGAAAGCAACTCTCCTGAAATGCCTTAGGAACTATACCTTAAGGCCATAGGAAACATCTGATTTGCAGATGTGAGTGATGCCTCAAACATGTCACTGCCTTGAAGAGACCATCTGGAGGGAGGTTCTCCTGAATAAATTCCTATTTTACAGCAGCATTAATAGCTACTGAGAGAAGGTTCTGTTTGCGATACACAGTGTCTAGTCAGACCACTGACAGCGATGGACACAAAGTTATCATTACAGTTACCAAGATCTAGTTGTTAAAACACAAAAACAGCGGGGGCGTGGCTAACCGCTGAGCAAGATGGACGCTTAGCAATCTGCTCTGGCACATGGGCTCCATTAATCTAACATTACAATCAAGCTGAAACCCTTAAACTTACTGAACACAATATGGCTAACTCCAAGGAGAAAAAAAGCAGCCACCCAGCCTAATGAACACTTCACACTGGGACACTTTGAAAAAGCCATGGACGCAATGGCATCTAAACTAATATGTACCTGGCAATCAACCGCAGAATAAATTAAGGAGGTGAGAGACCTCTCGACCAGAACCACCTCGGTGGAACAACACTGCCAGGAACTCTCGACCGCACAATCAGACATGTCAGGGCACTTGCAAGCTCTACAACAAAAATTAGAGAGCATGGAAACCCGCATGGCGGATCACGAAGATAGGGCTCGCAGAAATAACCTAGGACTGCGTGGAGTCCCTGAAACTGTCCTCCCAGAGGACCTGCAGACCTATGTGAGGGACCTCCTGCATGCTTATGCCCCGGACATCCCTGGGGACATGCTTCTTCTGGACAGGGTGCACCGGGTGGCAAAGCCGACATTCCTACCTGACTCCACTCCTCGCGATGTCTTACTCAGGGGGCACTACTATGGTCTACCACATTAAGGAACTAGTTCTCAAGGCACATCGCAGCAAAGCTGACCCGCATAAAGGAATACCCGTCCGTACGCATCATGGCGGATCTTTCAGCGGCAACCCTGCGTCGAAGAAGGGACTTCAATCAAGTAACCACGGAACTCCGCAACCACGGAATCCGCTACAGGTGGGGCTTCCCCACGAAAATAATCCTGACCAAAAACGGGAAAACAACATACTTCGCATCTCCGGAGGAGGGAATGACAGCGTTGGTAGAATGGGGCCTATATAACAAGCCCTCTGCAGAGAAACGACCAACTTCCCAATGCCCAAGCCACAACGCTACTATGGACTAACGCCACAAATCGATTGATCGAGGTATGATCAATGCAAGTACCATAATTGTATTATATATCGTTATCTGTATGATATGTCGGCCACATTTTGTGTCTTTAATTGCAGGTATACTATGCTCAACCCAGCAATCACCCTTCTCTACTCGCCTCTTAAAGGACCACTATAGGCACCCAGACCACTTCAGCTTAATGAAGTGGTCTGGGTGCCAGGTCCAGCTAGGAGTAACCCTTTTTTCTGTAAACATAGCAGTTTCAGAGAAACGGCTATGTTTACCTATAGGTTAATCCAGCCTCTAGTGGCTGTCTCATTGACAGCCGCTAAAGGGCTTCCGCACTTCTCACTGTAATTTTCACAGTGAGAAGACGCCAATGTCCATAGGAAAGCATTGAGAATGCTTTCCTATGGACTGGCTGAATGCGCGCGCGGCTCTTGCCGCGCATGCGCATTTAGCCGGTGACGGAAGAAGAGGAGGAGAGTCCCCCACCTGGTGCTGGAGAAAGAGGTAAGTTTAACCCCTTCCACCCCCAGAGCCCGGCGGGAGGGGAACCCCGAGGAAGGGGGCGCCCTCAGGGCACTATAGTGCCAGGAAAACGAGTATGTTTTCCTGGCACTATAGTGGTCCTTTAAACCGTGCCTATTAAGTAATATGGGCACCCAAACTACCCTCACACACTACCATCCCATATGGCGGGAGACCCACGGGTCGACCTGGGCAGACCTGGCCTTGGAGGCCGAGGCTCACATCGGGATAACCCCCTCAACAACCGTATTTAGCAGTGCTGCACTCACATGCTCCCCAATATCGACACACCAGTGCCACTACCCGAGTAAGGAGAGCCGACGCGCCACAACAATAAGAGGGACAAAGGGAGGGAGGCCACACGGGAGGCCTAATGATTGTGAACTCGTAGCCGGCTCCCACCTAACAAGCCTATACATGACACAATGAGCTAAATAATCCCTCACCGAGGGGACGCCCTTGGTGGGCCTCGGAGCATCCAAGCAACCCTCCCAAGTCAGGCAATATGAGGCACGATCACCCCCAAGCTCCCGTGTAAGAGATGAGTATGATGTAAGGAGGACACCTGACAGGGTGAGATGTAGAGGATGACACGATAATATGCTAGCCGATATAGCTGGATATGCAATCAACGAATGTTAACACAGCTGCTTGCATCAGGGGCGTTTTAGCCGCGAGGCAAAAAAGGCATTTGCCTTGGGCGGCATTTTCCAGGGGGCGGCAAAAAAAGCCGCCCCCAAATGCCCAGGGCAAATGCCTTGTTAGCCTTGCGGCTAACAGACATGCCGAGCGTGCGGGCAGTGCTGGGTGGGCAGTGCTGGGCGGGTGGCTGGCGAGGGAGCACTTCCTCTGAGCGGTCTGCTAAGCTCCCTCTCGAGACGCAGAGTGAGGCTGGGAGCCAGGTTGATGACGTCATATTCCGGCTCCCAGCCTCACTCTGAGGCGCGTGAGGGATCTGAGCAGACCGCTCAGAGGAAGTGCTCCTTCGCCAGCCGCCCGCCCAGCAGCCACTGGACCCCAAGGGAGAAAGGGAATCCCCCAGCATTCCCAAAGGTAGGTGTTAAAAAAAATAAATGTGTTAATGTGAGTGTGTGAGTGTGTGTGTGTCTGTTAGTGTGTGTGTGTCTGTTAGTGTGAGAGTGTGTGTGTCTGTTAGTGTGAGAGTGTGTGTGTCTGTTAGTGTGTGTGTGTGTTAGTGGGTGTGTGAGTGTGTCTGTTAGTGTGTGTGTGAGTGTGTCTGTTAGTGTGAGTGTGTGTGTGAGTCTGTTAGTGTGAGTGTGTGTGTGTGAGTGTGTGTGAGTGTGTGTGAGTCTGCTAGTGTGTGTGTGTGAGTGTGCAGTTAGTGAGTGTGTCTGTTAGTGAGTGAGTGTGTGTGTCTGACTGTTAGTGAGTGTGTGTCTGACTGTTAGTGTGAGTGTGTGTGTGTCAGTGAGTGTTTGTGTCTGCTAGTGTGTGTCTGCCTGCTAGTGAGTGAGTGTGTTTGTTTGTGTGTGTGTGTGTGTGTGTGTGTGTCTGACTGTGTGTGTATGCGTCAGTGAGTGTGTGTGTGTGTCTGCTAGTGAGTGAGTGTCTGTGTGTGTCAGTGAGTTTGTGTTTCTGTTAGCTAGTGTATGCGTATCTGTCAGTGAGTGTGTGTGTATTTAGAAGGCGGGGGGGAAGGGATGGGTGGGGGTCGCGCGCGTGGGGGGGTTTGGGGGGCGCCTGAGTTTTGTCCTGCCTAGGGCAGCACAAAACCAGGATACACCACTGGCTTGCATGCCTCTCTTATGTTATGTTATATGATATGCCATAATGCTTGAATACTTAATACTTTATGCTTTAATACCTTATTCCTACAGTTCATTAATCTGTTTATAAATGGTTTCAGCTCTAACTATAGACACAGAATGGAGCCCAGATAGCCACCCCGAACACTACCGACCCTACCCTCCCTTAGCTCTTTCTGCTCCACCCTCCTCCCCCGCAGAACCACAAAACCACAGAACAGCCTAACCACCTAAACAAGAAAGTAATACCATCACCCACGCTGCCACTATTATGATCATCTATTCACATAATACAAAAGGCTTAAACACGCCACATAAAAGGTGCATATTACTGGATGATCTAAAACGAACCAAGACAGACAGTCTGCATACAGGAAACACACTTTGCCACAAACCGCATCCCTACATTCGCCACTAGAGAATATCCGACACAATACCATGCAACACACAAGTCTAAGTCCAGAGGGGTCTCAATTCTGCTGCACAACTCCCTAACTGTAGAAACACTCAGTATCAACAAAGACGACCAGGGACGATTTGTGACCCTACACTGCATAATCAACAATAGCTCATTCATCTTAGTATGTCTTTACAGCACGAACGACCAGCAACGCAACTTCCTACATAAAGTCCTTAACAAACTCCCGGCTGATTCAACTGTCCCTACGATTATCTGCGGTGACTTTAATAACACCATGGACTCCCGCATAGACTCAACAACCCCTATCACATCGACCAGACACCACAAGCTCAAACCCAATAACAAAGCATTCATGAAACTCATCCATGAATACAATCTATACCTGGAGAACAAGACACCCATCCGAAAGAGAATATACATTCTTCTCGCAAGTACATAAAACTTACTCCAGAA